GCTTCGAAAATAGAATTTTTCACGGATGGCAAGATCCATCTTCGACACAGAAGGTTAATTTAAATCTGAAATCGTTCCTCGGAAGTTTTAAAAAACTAAAAATCGGAGTTTCATAAACCAATACCAAAAATGAGTATTTTATATTCCTTTGTAACGACTATAAAGAGTATTCACAGGCAAAGTGATAATAATCGAACACAGACGAAACAAACATTAAATATTTCATTTAAATGTGGCAATGAAAAAAAAAAAAGGAACAAAGAAATGAATTATTTGATGGTACCTTTGTCACGAATAACCAAAATAAAAAAAAAAACAACAAAAATTGAGAGAAAGGAAAATTTATTTTACGTCACATTGTTACCAAACATTGAAATAAATCTTAAATCTGGAAAGTTCTATCACCGTGAAAATAAAAAGAGGAGATTCACACGCTTGTTACTAATGTTGTTAAATATATAAAACGTTCAAGTTTGGTATGACGGCGTATTTTTTTTAGAATTTTCACTACACTATTCAATCATTGGCGCCAAATTTCGTGATTAGGGAAAAAGTTACGTCACAAGATCGGCGCGTTACAACAACAATCAAGACAGAAAGTAAAAAAACATCGATGCTAAAATAACTCGCGTTTCAATGCAGGTCAACGATTAATTGAAATAATTAATTCGCCAATCCCTGTACGTACAATTATTCCGACATCGGTCTGATTCACGCGTGCTGCCTTTATATAAACCACGCCTCCAACCCAGGGCCAAATTGATGGAAAATACAGAACCTATTTTTTACGGATGGATTCTCATCGATTTACACCGGAGACCGAGTACGAATTCCATGGACGATAAAATTAATTGCCCCGAACTGGCGCGCGTGTACGGCTATTCAGTTCGATGATCTTTGAATCTATTGCGGCCAGATAATGAAGATGCAAAAGTACTTGAACCATTAATCACGATGGACAAAAGGCTCGGTCAGTTTGTCTGTAATTACATCAATATGCCGGATGATGTGTAACGACTGCGTTGGACGAGGTCAACAACGAGAACAATTTCGTGAAAAACAAAGGGAAGGCGGGAGGAGACGCAGACGAAGAGGCAAGTGTAGAGAATCACTTGCGAAAGCGCGAGATGAAACGATGATTTTGATGCTTAATCGTTCAAAAATCACACAACAGGCTAAATTATAAACAACGCGTATTCTTTTCTAAAGTCAGTATCACGTCAGTTTCCACGGAGGGACACTGATACTTAACTTTCTTCTCCTCTGTTGATTATTTTATTATAACAATACAGTAACAACATAGCGCGCGAAATATACCAACTTCAAACAGTAGATTATTGTAATTAAATGTTTGGAGGGTCAAAAATCATATGCGAGGCGCGTATTCAAATTCAAAAATTCGAATCTTGGTAGAGAAAGATAAATGACTGTCTCGACGGGTCAAAGGCCCCAAAAAGGAATTCGGCCGTGCACGATTCGCGATACGCGGGACGACTTATACCATGATTACACCATTAAGGCGCGCATTAAAAAAATAAGGGGGCGCGAATCGCGGAAAAAAAAAAAAAAAGAAGGGGGGGGGGGGGGGGGGTGAACGAGGGCTTGGCCACTTGGGGCATCTTCTTCCTCTTTCCCCGGTTTGTTTTCCACGGCGGTGCGTGTCGCAAGCACGCGTGCTCGCGTGACGATGGGCGTGCGTGTGAACTTACGCGGCCACCACCACCGTCTTGTCGGTTTTCTCTCTCGATAACGCGTGTGCTAGCATTAATGTTTGCAGTCACAAGTTGGAAAGTTTTGTGATGGCAACCTCGAACGGCCAGTTACCAGGGCAACGGTTTGTTGTGCCATTGTGTGTCGAACCCCACCGGTAGAAATCCACCCCCCAGCCATCCACCACCCCATCGCGAAGGATGTCCCTACCTGAGTGCGACCTAACTCGGCTTGACCTAGCCAAAACTAGCTGGCTCCTCCGCTCTTACCACCCACTGGCCAATCGGAGGGGGGTCGCGTTTCCCTTGGAACCTTCCCGGACAATTTTCCGTGGAACATTCTACGCGGCATTCGATCCTCCAATTACGAATGATGTCTGACTGTATAATGCGACGATATGAAAAGAAATTGTGAACCGTTGTCGCGGGGAAAGAATGTTTGGATAGAATGAGAAGACGCGAAGAGAAAGGGGTGGGGGGAGGGGGGAAGTAAAGAAGACAGGGTGAGAGAATGGAAGGGTTGGAAGGGAAAAGTGGATCAACAGAGCGCGGCAGGGGACGTTTATCGATGGAGGGATTGACTGAGATTTTAGGGATAGATCGTCGGAGATTGAACGGCTGCGAGAAAACCCTGGATAAGACTTAGAGAAAGAGAGAAACAGGAAGGGAGAGAGGGGCTAACCTCTCAAAAGGAAACGAGTTAATTTGCTACTCGAATTTCTAATTTTTTCGTTACAAAATAAATTGTCTAATGTTAAATTATTATGTATGTTAAAAATTTAAATCTTTCACAATAATGACATGTATGTTGTAGAAAGAAACACGGTAAATGATAACGACAATAATCAGAAGAATGTGCATTTAGATATCAAAATTAGGACTCGAACGAGCAAAAAAATTGATTTTTTAAATTAACAACCAAGCTAGAAAATAAATATATTATATATAAATTATATGTCCATATATATTAAGACCTATTATATACATTATATTATATAATACAGTATATAGTATATATATAAATAACGTATGATATACATTAAAGCTTTCCATAAAGCTTTTCACAATCCAACTAAAATTAATTTTTCCTTATCAACAATTTTAAGTCCGTGATTGTTTAAAATTTCTAGTCAAAGAACGACCTGTTTAACAAATTAATAAAAACAATAAGATTGCTCTTTACGACGAACTCAATTTGTGGATTTAATGACAATTTAATGATTCATTGCGCGAGTCATTCAATCACTTCAAAACTTAAACAGCTGAGAATCTGTAAACGTTCGAACGTGTGTTCCATAACCAAAAGAGTCACAAACGATGGATCTAAATTAATTAGCCAACTACACTAGGAAGGAAAGCGCGCGCATGAATCGAATAGAATAGTACGATCGAATACTCGACAATGTAATCGGTGAATTAATTGCGGAGCCTGGCAAACACACTGTCAGAAGCGGTTAGCGTTGCGAAGAAATAATAGGTATTAAAGCTGAAGTTCACGGTGGAACGATCAGAAGATATGCCAATGAGGGACAAGGGAATCTTTGGGACAACACACATGGGATTGTTGGATAACGAGCTAGTGAAATTAACCCGTGTCGATTACCTAATAAAAATTCAATAATATTAACAAACTCGTTAATACTTTTATTGTCCACATAACTCGCGGATGACTAAAAAATGGAAATGATGCAACTGATAAGTAAAGTGAAGCAAGTTCATGGAATTATCGATCGATGATGTGACTAATAGAAACGAAATAAAATTCTGATCTAGATTTCTTCTAGATTTTAGTCTATATTAATCAGAGCATTACAATGCAAACAGATAAGGAAGAGGTCTTGACTTTGCGATTAACATTTTTTCAAATATATTTCGACAAAATTCTACAGTGAATTATTTGCCTATGTACGATAGAAGCAAAAATATGAAATATATCTCACAAAGAAGAACTAATCTTTGTGCATATGTGTATTAACAAGCTGTTTCTTGCTGTTTAATTTCAATTTAGTATGGCGCCATCTACTTTTAGAGTCCAGCAATATATTGTCGCGTAAATATTTCTCGAATGAAGCACCGTACACAAACGCGACTCGACGCTCATTCAATAAATTTCCAATCAATAGATTCTCGATCGGATCGGAACATTAATCGTATTGTTATAACCTAAGGCGACCACGTTTGTCACACGCAAAAACGTTAATCTCTTATCGGATGAAATCGTGTCCGATTCACAAAGGGAGTATATTTCGTTGTGGAAAAAAAAAAAAAGAAAAAAAAAAGGAAACAATGCAAAACCTATTTCAATTCCACACATTGCTCGCTTACACCGCGGATAGTTATCACATTTGCAAAAGCATCCTCGACGACATTTAATCATTATTCGCGTATTATCTAACGTTACAGCGAATATTTCCGGAAAGCATTATGCAAGCAAACACGTGATACGCAAAAAAACTATTGTATCATTCATTGTGGAATACTTTTTTTTGCTAATCCCCGCATTGAATAACGGATTAGATAATAAAGTTGTTGAAACGAATATATAAATGTATATTCTTCCGGACTCTACTTATACGACAAGTAGACACGAATCACACTCGATGAAATAATATGAATATAGAAAATATATGCTAGATGTTGTAAACATGATATAACGTTACACATACAGCATAAAACAGTAAGTACGATATGTAAAGATTATAGGTATTCTTATCGAGAATAAAAGATAAATTTAATAAAAATATATTGACGCTCAATTGCTCCATTTCGTCACGTCGATTTGTCATTATGCGACATTGGCCGTTTAGAAGAGCCAATCGACCGAAAACCGGCACGCAAAAACTACACGATATCCGCGCAAAATTACGTTATTAAGAGATACACAAAATTTCTACGGACATGTTACACGATTGGTCGCATGGCCGAAATTATTGACTTAGCTGTCGATTCAAAGCGTCTAAAAATTCCTAAGACGCAGAATTATCGTTGAAAAACGCCGAATCCGTTATCGCATTCAATGTATAACCTCAACGGTTCGTTCAACGCACGTTGTATTTTTTGCGAAATTGTTATGAATTTCAGATTCGAACGAGACTCGGAACGATCATTCTACGACTTGACCACGCGTACGGAAGAGGGCTGACGCGCGAGGGTCAGAAACTAACCCCCAAAAAAATGTATACGTCGTCCCTTCGGAACGAAACACGCTTCACTCGTCTAATCACGTGAAGCACACGAAATTTACAGACGCCGGTTAAGTAGCATTAGATCTTAATAAGATTTTCGACTTACCCAATGCGTAGAAGAACTCCAGAACTCGATAAACCGGATGAATTCTCACTCACAAACACGAAACTTAACAGCAATCACGATACAATGGCGAACAGCGGGTGCGTAGCCAAGACTGAGCTAATGCTCTCGCCATCTGTCGAGCGTTTCTCCAAGTCATCAGCAAAAACGTTTCTCATTGGTGCGTCTCGGCCAATGAGAATGCACCACCGATTTACGCGGGAACGTTTTGGCGCCAGGCGGCCATATTGTAGAAACATTCAAATTGCTAACCAAACAACGCAGTACTGAAAAAATGGACTGTAATAATCATAATGTCGTTCAATCGTCATTTGGTAATACTAAATTCGTGTTTCATTTACCATTTTTTTGGCAGCTTTGATGAATTTTCCAATATTAAGACGATAAATAATGTAATACTTTTAAGCAGCGTTACAATATTCTGGAATTCAGGAAACCTGGAATTCAGATCAACTATACCAAATGGACAAGGAGACAGAAGATACTAAATCAAAATTATTAGAATACCAAAAAGAATGTGAAGATACTGAGATAGAAATATATAACGTAAATCAACTGAAAGATAAGGGTGCGTTTGTACTGCAAAATGTAGAGAGAAAATACAATAACTTAGATGAAGAATTAAAAGAAATTCACTGTAATTATATGAAATGCAATGAGAAAGCAAATTTTAATGAGACCGTTCAACAAAGAATTAATTCCTTAATATCACAGAGAGATAACTTGAAAAAAGAATTAGATGAATTAAAGAAAGCAGCAGATAAGAATAACAAAGAACTAATACAGATACAAAACATGATTACAATTCAAGAGGTAATACATATTGCATTAAATATGTATTATATGAATAAATTATATCGAAGAATTCTTATATATATTTTTATTTGCAGAAGAAAAATATGGCACTGGCCCGAAAATTGAAAAAAAGGGTGGAGAATGTGCGAATAACTCCTGATTTATCTGAGAAGGTGAATATAATCCTAGCTGATCCCAGACTAACCAATATAAAAAATTCTAATTAATTTAAATTCTGTATAAATTATAAAACAACATATATACTATCTTAGTTATCTTACAATATCCTTAGCTATCTAATATTTATAATCTAATTTTATCATCATGTTCTAATAACATTAAACATTTTTCTAAATCCTCCTTTCTTTTTCTTATTGAATCCATAATACTTAATGACTTATTTAACGATTCTGTCATGTTATCATTCATGGTCATTATACTTGACCTTTTTTCTGCAATTTCTTTCATTAAATTTATGTTTTCTTCTTCTATCAGATTTACTTGTTTTTCCAATAATTCACTTTCTTCTTTAATCTTCTGGGCGTCTAGTGAACGTAGATGTAAGGCTACATTACCCGGTGGTCTCCTAAAACCAAACAACGTTAATAAATCAATATTAATAAATTAATAACCGTATATCACTAAGCCTTACCAAGCATCTTCACTCACGGAAGAATCAGCGTCAATTAATTTCGCAACCTTTTCCAATCCATTCTGCAAGCTTCCTTCAGTTAATATATGTTCTAAATCATCGTTCATATTATCCGTAAGCTCCGTGCACATTGCCTTGTGTAACTTTTGTCCAATACTCGGCTTTAACTTGAGAGTTGTAAGAATCGTAAGAATGTCCACGAAAGCATCCTCGCTGAAAGATTTTCAAACGATTCAAATATTTTCATAAAAGTCCATTGAAACGAAATGTAAATATTATTTTATTTAACGTTATTACATTTAATTAATCAATGTTAATTAGTCTTCATTTAGAGTCGTTTAATATAATTACTCATACGATACATAAGAATGTACACATAATGCAACCACTAATTCATGTTTTCGTATTTTATTTCACGATTGATTTCATCAACGTAAGATCAAAATATATAAAATTAAAATATGAACAAGCATTGTAGCATGTACAATACGGACGAATAATATTCCTCGTACACTAACATTATAAATGTACATTCAATGATCGTTGCATGTGGTGGCTCTACTATCGCCGGGATCAAATTTTTTTTTTCTTTATCATCCACATAGGCTTGAACGATTGAACAGGGAAAGAACCAGTATTCGGACAAACCAATCCAGTTTCGTACTACCATAAGCATACAATAGCAGTCTGCAATCGCATTGCATAATTTCGGGAATACATATTAACATGACGATCAGAGGAATTTTTTTACATAATTATGAAAATACATATGTATGAAAATAAACGTATGAAAGTTGTCTACCTTTATTAAAATACAATAGTACAGTGTTCATAATTTAAAGGAAAACTACGTATGTTTTGTAAAACAATCTTCAAAGAAGTCTTATGATTAACATACAATTATAGAATGACATAATGTACATATATTTAAACATAATATAGCAGCAGATATTACATTTCCTGTGATAAGTGCAGGAAATTGCCAACATAAGAACCACACCTTGAGTCTTCTTCCGTTGATTTAATGCGCACTCAATCAGGCCGGGACGGGTGCAATTTGATGTCAATACTACATATTTGCATTAGTCCTGACCTAATTGAGTACGCTTCGTGCCATGTTCCTTCATCTTCATTCTCAATCACGATATAATTTTCTCTTCACCAGCATGAGGTCATCCAGGAAAAATGTTATAACTTTTTACATAGAGAAAAAGAATCGCGCGATCGTTGAATGTATCGTACAAAAGATTCAAATAAACTAGGAACAACGAGAAGTTTGATCGTAGGGAATGAAACACGTTTTTCACTGAATTATTCCTATGTGAGAATAACGGATGGCCAGAGGGATCCGTACGATCCCCACGACACGTACTGTACGAATGATAGAGCCGAACGATGGTGACCACACCAGGGACCCTTTGTTTCCTCGAACACTTCGTGGAATTCTTCGAAGGTCAACTGGTGTGTTGGGTTTCAAAGAGCGGGAAGATTCTGGGAAGCAGGAACTGAAGCGAAACTCGATTTCGAAAATCGAGCCATTTTGCGCGTAGAACCGTCAAATAGCAGTGGACAATTGTTCGTTCACGTGAACGAATCGACAAATTAACATGCGACTCCCACAGAGGCCAATGACATCGAGTAGCACCATCGCTCGTTTGAGTCATTGCCGATCCCTCCTTCTCCTCCACCACCTCTTCCTACTCCGTTTACCGCCGATAAACGAAACATCAAGCTCTCTAAAACATTACAACAACGCACGTCCTGATCGGCCGTGCTGGGTTACGCGTTCCCTTTGACTTCCTTAATTAAAGAATTATTCTCCACTCGTACTTGACACACATACGTTGTACGAATGTACACGAGAACATAACCTGAAATCCAACAAAAATCTGACCAAGCCCGATCTACATCTACAATAAAAGCATGTAAATTTCATGCACTTCATTTACTTTAGATGTTCATTCAGAATTTGTCTTTATTTTTTGCTTCATTATTATTATTACTTTTATTATTACTAATGTATTCGCAAATTTTGTAAAATCTTGCGAATATTTTTCAAGCCAATATGTTCAATGCAGAGTTACTACACAGAGTTACTATATTAGTCGAGTTATTTGTGTAACAACCAACGTACATATCATGCTATATTATCATAAAAATATTGTAAACATAATTATAAAAGTATTAATACAGCGCAAAAGATTTGTTTGAATGTTAATTAATTGCGCATGCGTATATACGTATAAAAAAACCGCGAACGCCAAGCTATGGCAGGATGCATAACCTCTATCGTATCATAATGTTATATTCTTATACAATATATTTTAATATAATATTATAAATTCAACATAAAGTACAATAAATATTACGTGACTATGCATCTAATTTAACAGAAATTATATTTATATTATTCGAAACTACTACATGCTCACCTGACTGATTCCGCAATACGTTTAAAACAATTCAAAATTGCCAGTCGAAATAAAAAGACATTATTCGGATTCTTCTGATTCTGATCGTCCGCCATCCCTGAGACACGAATAACGTGTAATTGCAGAGTTCTCGAATTTCAGTAACTGAACACTTCAACGAAAGCTGGACAATATAACGGTTCCTCCAACTCTATAGAACCACTACAGTCGCGTCCCTCGGAACTGTTGGAAATAATTCGTCATTTGAAAGTATGTCGAGAACTTTGAAGTAGTTTGAAACGCTACATACAGATGGCAGTTTGATACTTAAAATCGTTTTCACTCGAATCAATGTTACTAGCATTTTGTTGGGAACATCGACAAGAATCGATATATCACCGATATAAATTTAAACAAAAATCGCAGTCTAGAATCTTCTAGTTAACCTTAAACTGTGCGTAATAAACAAGTATAAAATACTTTTTCTTTTTAAATATCACTATTTAAATATGTAATATTTTGTAATGTTCCAGAAAGTAATTTTATTAGCCAATGGATAAGTTGAGGTTACCCGACTAAAGTGAAAAACTATTTCGTGCGAACAAAATCAGTCGTAGAAATAGTAATAAAGACAAGATGATTCTACATATATAAGTAGCAACGAAAATAGATGCTGCGACGAGCGTCGTAATACATTACTCCAGCCTAATTAACATTCCGCTCAAATTAAACACGACTGTTACTCGAGTATCCTAATCACCTGTATCACTATTAATTAGACCTAACGTCAACTTTAATTAGCATGTATTCCTTACTAGCGGAGTCTATCAAATAGGTAAGACACAACAGAATTACTATTATAGATTGTATAAATATGTATGTACACCGATGTTATATTAAAAAATAAAATATTCTTCTTCGTTTGCTGAAAACTTAAACATACTTATTTCAAACATTTCAGATTCAATATTATTGCGAGTTGTATCTTAAACTCTCCATGTAAGAACGATCGAATTTACAACTGATTCGCATGCAGTCGTGCATCGTTCTGAATCGAAAAGGTTCGAAGAGCTTGCTCTTATATTCCTCAGTTTCCAAGGCGAACAGGTCGAGTCCGGGTGTCGGTATACAAACTACCAGACTAGAAATTAGATCATCTAACTATACTGCTCGGGGCTAATGGTTTACAGCATGACTGCACCCCTACCCTCGGCAAACATCGGTGTTACAAGCGTTCCGCTATACCTTCAGCTTCAAAGGTCAACGTTGACGTTGAAAGAAGAGACGTTCGCCGCTGCCGCGGATTCTCAAAGTAGCTCACGTTGAGTCGAACTGATGTGATGCGCCTTCGTACCATTATGCAACCGGTTTGAACTATATTTTCCTTCCCCATAGCCATAAGCTGCCTCACGGAGAGAAGTAGAGAAGGCTCGGAGCGCTACCGTGGGCAACTGAGCACCCATTCACTCGCTCACCGCGGAGACGACCCCCTTAACTCGAGAAAACTCTTCGTTTTCTCGGCGAGTTTCAATCACGTCGATTGCGACCGATGGATGATCCCGGATCGAACAATCGCGATATCGTTTTCAAATTCCATCGAAACAGTGTTTCATCCGTGGCGATTTCTAACAAAGGACGACCTTACGAAAAGTCTCTTTCTTCTCTCGATCGTTTTACCATCCTCATCCTGGTTGATTATATCGTTCAACTTGGTCGTAGCCCGAAGGCAGTTAAGCAGATGGAGAAATGTTTAAATTTTACATGCTGCCACGAACGCGAAGCGATTATCGTCACGATGATGGTGCGCTCGGTATCCCGGATGAAAGTACCAGCACGTATTTTAAGAATTCCAATACACGAGAATCGTCCGACAGTTGCATCAGAATTGTGAGAAGATAGCTACAGCTTGGACGCGGCGAACGTGTGCCCGTCTATCTACTTTGTCATCCTCCTTGTTATCATACCATTCGCGTAGTTGCGTCAGGACTACCTAAACCGCAAATATTTTCATCCTTCGTCGACCTCTGTGGCGTGGCTCTTTCGAAATGGTACACGATCATCCTACAGCGAGATCGTAACAAGGCTCAAGAGCCAATAGGAGGGAGGTATTATGCGTGCAATCCCTTCTATTCGAAATCATTATTCAATAACGACGTGTGAGCCGCTTCCGCAATTCGCGCTCGCGTCTTATTCTCTTAGAATTCGTATCGGGGAGAAAGTCGATTGGAATTGTCGTCCGATTATTTTGATTACAGGAATAGCATCGTGCCACTAGGGCATGAAATTGTTTCTCTTTACACGTGCATATACCACGGTGTGTGCACAACTGCAATTAGCCAATCTATCAAACCTGTACGAGAATGTTTCTTAATCCATTAAACTGCAATCTCTCCAGATGAACAAACAGCGATATTTCTGTTGCGCAGTGTACGTTGAAATCTTAAATAGATGGATGTTGATAGATGTTTCAACTTCACGAGGCGAAGATTCCGATATTCTTACTAGGCAATGCTTAGAATGACAATAAAGCCAATCCCTTTCCCTAAAACGAGCGAAACAATGGAGGAAAGATTCCCTTGTTGTATTATAAAAATCTTTTGTTCCTTCTGCGAGAGTATTCGCGCAGCAACGCCATATTCGGCTTTTACCTCGAGGATCAGGTGTCTCAGCTTGGAGAACGATGCGACGTTAGATGGCTTATTACTTGGCCAGGATCCCGTTTTCTCATGCGCGATCCTTTTTTGGCGACAGCGCCCACCGCTCGACAAGCGTCGAGACCGTGGCGGAACAGCTTCTCGATGAAGCGTTTCGCCGATGAACCTCACCTCTGGCATAACACGAGCAGCAAGATAGATGAATGCGCGGATAGCGCGCCAAAGGGCTGGGTCTTCTCAAAGCGTATCGGTGTGTTCGGCGACTCGATCCGTTTAGAAAGCATCCTAGATCTATTCTTTCCGTGGCCGGGTATACATTGTCTCTCTCGAACGGCTGCGCTATCCTATTATCGAGTCTCTAGCTCACGATTGCCCCGTTTTTTGCGCGAGCCGCGCCCCTGGCTAATCCGAATACGCTGGCAACCCAACCGACTCTATCGATCATCGAATCACGTTGATTTCTGTATTCTCTGTATCCAATGTTCCTCCTCGATTCCCGGCAAGATCTTTTCTCATCCGACTCCGATCCCAGTGATCCGATATTCTACGAGTTGAATCTATTACCAGCGATCGGGCAGATAAGAGTATTAATCTCCATCCAAGTTCGTCGTCGTACCAGTTTACTTGGTTAAACCGAATTTGAGGAACTTAGTATCCGTAGTAGACACGGATAGGGTCACTGGGTCACGCATCGTGTGAAAATTTCTCGAGAAACTTGACTCGTTTGCTCCTCAAGCTCGCGAAGCTAACGAAGTAAAAGTTGAACGGCAATAAGCAGGTGAAAAATTACGCATGGGAAAGATTACGGTGTGATTTATGATTTTCCGATGAAGTTGATTTTACTTTTGCTCCAGTCACTTTATCGACAATCGTCAAAGGGAATCCGCGAAAGCCGCGGGACTATAAATCGATTTTAGAAATTAAAGAGTTTACGTAACTACGAGGAGCACTCTGAGATAACTCGTTGGGGGAGTGAGATGGATTACCTCATCGATTCAGGAACTTTCTTTCGCTTATTATAAGCATCATATAGGAAGAAAGTATGACCGATTACGCAAGACATTTCACTCACCCTTCAGGCGATAGACGTCTAGTAGAGTAAGTACTAGACAAGATGTCGTAGCGATTATATCGGAAGGACGCCATCCGGCATTTCGAGTAGATCAAATCCTGATCCTTCTTCAAATCGAAATTACCTTGCAAATTTACGCGGGGCGTACTCAGTTTTAGTTCTTATGTACGAATGTATCTTTTTTTTTTTCCTCTACGTGGCTTTCTTCCCTCTTACGCTGCACTGCGCGGCGTACGCAAGCAGATGAACACATTCTCACGAGGGGCAATCATATCCACCAATACACGTTTCTCACCAATAACGCAACATCAATTAGCATTTCTATGCCGCGGTAATGAAGACTGTCTGGGGAAAGCTTTCTAATTATAAGCTTCAAGAGTAACTTTGTACAAAGGCGACAAAAAATATCGTTCTGATCATGATCTATCGTTCGTGAGAAAGACCAAACGGACCATTCGATAATGAAGACAGCGCCAACCGAGGTCACCGAGGGGTTAATCGCAGCTGCTGTGCTCGCGAAGAAACCAAAAATCTCCAGCTGGCAAAGATTAAGCCGATCCCCATGCACGTCGCCGCGAATCGACCCGGTAAAAGTGAATAAGGAACTAAACTGTTCGCGCCAGTCCGCTCCGAGGCAAAATCGAAGGCGACGTAGGCGAGAGAGGTAAAAGATGGTTATTGGGAAGCGATCACGTCGAGGCGTCTGCCTCAGAGCGTGAGTACGGTGACCCGAGGGGAATCGTTAAGCGGAAAGTTACGTGCCGATCGGTAACACTAGAAACGATTTGGAGCGGCCTCTCCGTGTACGTACACGCTCGCACACCTACGTGAAATTACGTACCATCGGCACGGCTGATGCGCAACGCACCAGGTTGCGCAATGATCGCGCGCGGTTGCAGATCGTGCGTTGCTCTCCATAAGCCATCCCATCTATCGTGGATGATGATGATGATGACGTCGCGCGACCCCGCACGATGTTCACCGCACGATGTCGAATACGAAATGACCGATATAATTACAAAGAGGGAACTCACACTCACCTGAAATCGTAGTTGGACGTCGCAATCCTCGGCGTATCTAAGAAAGATCGTCGCGGTCATCCCCGTCAAACACCACCGCTCTTCGTCCTTTTTTTTCCCGCAAGCGATTGTCTCTTACCAATCAAAGTAGCATAGCACCTTAGCAGCGTATAATCTTTCCTCTTCTATCAGCCATGTCGCCCCTTCGCTCGTCTATATTTCTTATACATGCCAATCTTACTTTCATGTCGACCCGATTAGCCGACCTTCAGGTCCGACGAGAGATGCCCGCCGATCTGTATCACCTGGTGCTTGCGCAACCACCCCTCATCCTACATCTCTCGCCGAGGCTCATCTTCAGCCGCCTTCTCCCTCGGTTTCCTTCTCCTCTTTTTCTCTTCTAGTCGCTCCTTCCTCGTCGCTCGTTCGTTAACCATGTTCGCGAACTTCGCCGAGGGACGCGGCACCGGGTGTTCACCAGAGCCGATGCTGTTTCCAAGAGTCTTCCTCTTGGGTGGGAGGAAGACGATTCTCCGGCCACGGATCGGTATATAAGCACGGTTGCTTCGACCTGAATCTGCACAGACCAATTATTGCTATCGTTTGACGATAGGACGTTTCATTGTGCGACCGGTATCATCGGGGAGGTTCGCTTTCCACACAGATCGAACGGTTCACCAGCGAGATGAGATCGGTACGAGTCGCATACACACGTTCGTTTTCACCCGCGATAGGTGGCGCGATATCTTCCGAGCGCTTCTTCCGGGTTTTTCATTCCTCGAAGACCGCGGGTCAGTGATGTCGAGCGTGAAGTTGCCGATCTATTTGATAAATTTTATCTACGTCTCTTGGTACAGTCCTTCTTTAATATTGGAAAAGAAAAAAAGGAAAACCAATCTCTAATATTCGTCTTCGTATTTCCTCTTTGATATTGATTTAGAGTCGGTGAACTAAGACACCAAGTTAGTGCGCTTAGGAATACTTTTTCAGTGACGCCCCAGACAAAACAATTATATCCTTTATATCTCAATTTTCAAATAACGAATTTCGAAAACTCGCATGGCATCTTCGACGGTTATAATTACTGACAACTATTTTAACAGCTCGCTGTCGCGCTATTGGCGGTCATTGGTACGTGTCGCTCGGCCCGACTAGACAACACTTACCTTCCCCCGGGCAATGCGGGCACAGCAGGAGGTGCAGGATTGATACAAGCTCCGAGTCGTGGCCATGGTGGTCCTGGAGGACCCGGAGGACCTGGTAGACCAGGAGGACCAGGAGGACCAGGTGGACCAGGTGGACCAGGTGGACCTAGTGGTCCTGGTGCATATGGCGGTGGTGGCGGAGGAGGCAGTCCCTACGGCGGCGGTGGCGGAGGAGGTGGTCCCTTTGGCGGCGGTGGAGGTGGTGGTACTTTTGGCAGCGGCGCTGGAGGTGCCTACGGAGGACGTGAGTATTATTTCTTCACTTCACTTTTCGACTTCATAACACAGAAATGATAATACAAAGTGTTTCCGAGATATCAACTCGTTTAATTTTAGTTAAAAGACGATTGACGATTTGACTTGAATAATTTTAGATAATTGAATCGAATGATTTTGATTTGAGAACTTGATTGAATTGAATGCGCAACAACTAAATCCAATGATGTTTAATGACCGATCCTCCAATATAGTTGAAATGATTAGTTCCAGCAACTTTTTAATTACTTGCACGTATTTTTTGAAAATGTTTTTCCCTGTTGTTCGCAATTTTCTTCGTTCAATGATTCAATAAAGCCGACAGAATTATTGATCTTCCTATAATAAATTGTTGCATCTTGCGGCACGAATAGTGCAACTAAATTGCAGCTTATAATACCGTAATAACATAGCGTTCCATGTTAGGTTTCAACGTCTCCTTACATGACGATATTATGGTTCATTGAAAATATCGTTGCCTCCATATATAAATGGAAATTGAATTTTTCCGAATTCAATCCTCGCTGCCGGTTTTTATTATCTAATCCTAATATCACGTTCCTGAGTGAAAGGCAATAATAATGATTTCATTCCTTTTGCGAGAAGATATTGCAATTACAGTTATCAAATCAATACCATGTGTTTGATCGTACGAAATTATCGCAATAATTATACAGAATGTACAAGTGATACTTCGTTGAAATCTTTCAGCAGAATTTTAATTGAATGCAAGTAAAAAGCACGATGCTTTCAAGCTCTCTTATTCTCTTCTTTCTCGTGTCTCATCTTCGATCTACGTAGAAGTGCAACTTTTTATACTTGCGCGTTACACAACCAAGAGAAAACATGTACTTAACCAGAGTACTCCAGCGCTATATATTGTTTTTTTTTTTCTTTTTCTCGTTAGTCCCAATCAAGTCTATTACCTCTCGTCAGTGCGAACATTTCACACATCATTAAAATCATTATTGCCGTAAAACTTATGCGGAGGGAAAAACTCGTTGCGCGCGGGGAAAAAGTTAGATGTAACAAATTACTCAATCACTGAGGGAATTGCCGGGACATTTATCACAGTTCGTTTCGGTAACACGTGCGTAGGGAAAATCATTCGATCGTGAAGCAGTTGTGTGACGTTACGTCAGTAAATAGAGAAACAGCGCACCGTGAAGAAAGGAGAGAAATCATCGCACGCGATGAGAGACAGTTGGTCGAGTTGCATCAAAATATGTAAAGTATGCTGTGAAACCGGGGTTCGTGTCACGGGGACGAAAGAAAAGTGAAAACCCACGTACAACGTGAAGCGCCTAATCACTTTATCCCTCGAGGCGCTCCTTTAATGAAGACACGCCAGCGCAGTCCCAGTAACGACGCTCTCGAATCCACTTACGTACGATTCGACGATGGTGAGAATCCTCGCCGGATTGCGAAAATAAGAACATCAAAGCGTCTCGCGTGTGTCTCCTTTTGTATAACACGTCGTCGCGACCGACCAGGTAATTAGACTCCATTCAGTTACGGATTAATCTCGAGTGTATTCGCGGATTTCACCTGATATGATGGCGCAACCGTAGTGCAGGATTGCACGGGTACGTTGGATCGATAAAAAGTCGATTATACGCGACAGAACGGGAGACGGTGATTCTACTCGAATCACTTGAAATTCTGACCTGGCTTGTTGCTAGTTTTTTTGACTTCTACGTGCGACCGGTCGATCATCAACTTTCTCAGGATTGCTTAAAAGTCAGTATTATACAAAAAGGGTACTCGAGTCGATCAAAGTCTGCGGTAACTCGGTTTTATTTTCAAGCTTCGTCCGAGTTAAATCGCTTTCTCGTTTTCCAAAACGTTGAAAATTTGCTTTAGCCAGTGGAGGCGGTGGGGGTGGACCAAGAGGAGGACCCGGAGCAGGCCAAGAGATACCTATCGTCTCGTTCAACAATCAGAATAGCGGTGATGGCAACTACCAATTCAGCTACGAAACAGGAAATGGTATCAGTGCGCAAGAAACGGGTCAACTGCAAGGTGAGATCAGGGCCATTCTAGTTTCCCAACAGCGATATCCCTCATGTTCCTTTTCTTCGCGGTTCGTCGCTGCCATTTCTAGCCGTTATGAATATTCCTATCCATCATTGTGAACGGCCTCGGATCGTTTCGTTTACAATAGAACCGTTTACGGTGAACGCAATAACAACGCAACTCCTAAAATGTGACTTCCATCCAACTCGCTCCCGGTGCTTCGATTTCCGCCGATGTTTTACTTACAAAACAGAGATTTCCAAAATTGATAATATTTCAACATCTTCGTGAAAGATTCTTCCATGACGAGTCTTCGATATAGTAAAAATGTTTAAAGATCTCTCTTCTGAAGAGAGATCATGTGGAGAAGCCACAGGTCTCTATCTGAGTAACCACATGTCCTAATTTCGGCCAATTCAATTCGCGATGAATGATTACCGAACAATGATCATTTCTAACAAGCTAGAAAGCCGCAAAAATGCTCGATACATGACGCAATCCTGCCAAGCACGTGTTGCGTCAAATATTCATACTTACGTCTTACTCTCCTAGGTAACTCGGAAACAGTGAGCGGATCATACTCATACACCGGACCTGACGGTGTACAGTATAGCATCACTTACACCGCGGATGAAGAAGGTTTCCATCCTCAGGGCGCACATTTGCCGACACCGCCTCCGATTCCGCCGGAAATTCAACGAGGCGTTGAGTTAGCATTGGCAGCTGAGGCCAGAGGTGAAAATCAGGATACTTCCGGTGGTGGTGGCGGCGGTGGCGGAGGCGGATATCCTTCAGGGGGTGGATATAGTGAGTGTTTCATCGATAATATCTTGTATCAAGAGTCCTTATATAAATAATAGAATTATATGCGATAGGAAATTTGGGAAGAAAATATTTCTTGGTTATTCTTATTCTGATTGATTAAATTACTGTTTTTTCTTTTTTTTTATCAACAGCCGGCGGAGGTGCTGGTGGTGGCGGAGGCGGATATCCTTCAGGGGGTGGATATAGTGAGTGTTTCATCGATGATATCTTGTTTCAGGAGTCCTTATAAAAACAATAGAATTATGTGTGATAGAAAATTTGGGAAGAAAATATTTCTTGATTATTCTTATTGTGATTGATTAAATTACTGTTTTTTTTTTTTTTTATCAATAGCCGGCGGAGGTGCTGGTGGTGGCGGTGGTGGTGGTGGTGGAGGTGGAGGTGATCGAGGAGGAGGCGGCAGCGGTGGATCTTATCAGGGTCCAAACTCGTACCAAACAAGCTCGGGCGGATACCATTACTAGACGACACCGCACAAGTCATTACGTATTACACGATCAGTCTTGTTCCATTGCAGTAATATCGTTTAAAGGCGGACGTATGTACATAAGAATATATCATTTATGTAACTTTTTTATTTATATAAAAAATGAGAATTTTATTTATGTTTTTTTCTTGTTCCCTGTATTGTTCCAAGTTTACTTTCCTTTTCACAACGTTGCTGTCGAATTCCGTTCACAGAAAATATTTGTTCGGCGGCATTTTTAAACGTCCTTTATTAACATAAGCAATTATTGTGACATAAATTACAATATTTTCGATATAACTTTTTAAAACATTTCTTTGGAGATCGAACATAGAATCTAGAAAAAAAAACTTAGAGAATTGATTATATATTAAGACATGATACACAGACTACTATGTAAATCCACGCATTAAATTTGTACATTAGAAAAGAAAATCTTAGAAATGTAAATAATTTTCTTAAATATCACATGGTATTTATACATCAACAGTTTGAGTAGTAGAATCTACAGTAGATGATTTAGATTTTGTCATTTCGTTTCCTCTGGCAAATTGAATGAAAAGCTGTTCCAACGTAGCTGATAAAACAGCGTAATCTTCAATACAACTGTATTGTACCTTTAAATTATTCATTGTACTGTACATTTTCTCCCAGGTCGTACCAATATTATTCACATGATATGCGATAAGACACTGTGAATTAGAAAATGAAATCAATAAAAATTTTATAGACATAAATCTGTAAATGTTTCACATTAGTCCAGAATTATTACCAAATTCTCATCCCTAATTTCACACGATAGAGAGGACTCTATAATTCTTTTTATAGCGCTGACATCATCGTCTGTTCGGCTGGGATTTAATTTAATGTGAATATCGTAACCAGCGCCGAATCGTTGCTTCAATTCCTGACTTGCACCGACGCAAACCAATTGACCTTTCACCATAATGACTAGTCTGTTGCACAAAGCTTCGCATTCTTCCATGCTATTACGAATATTTTTTTATGCAAATAGGGTTGTACAATAATTTTCAGTAACATGTAGTCGGATAAAGTACCTGTGAGAAGTGAGTATAATAGCTTGTCCTATTGTTTGACAGGACTGAAGAATATTCCACAGCGATCTCCTAGCCGCTGGATCGACTCCCGTTGTTGGTTCATCCAATAAAACGAGAGTGGGATTCCCAATAAGTGCCATTGCAATATTCAAACGTCGTTTATTCCCTCCGCTATAAGTACCACTTGGTTGATGCATACAAGCATTTAAATCTAATACAACAAACACAATTGTGAATCTACATGACAATTATTTAAAGTAAACTTAAAAAACAGAAAACGGCTTACTAAGTCTATTAATCCATTTGTTAACTTCTAGATCCACCTTCTTTCTGGGGATACCGCGAAGCAATGCAAACAGTCGTAAATGATCGAACGAATTCAAAGAATTCAGTAGTGCATCAGTTTGTGGACAATATCCCATTTGAGCAAGATACTACATGAAAGATTTACAAAAATATACTAAAAATAATATTAAAAAAGAAATGCAAAAGAAATTATGTATTACATTTTTTTTATCAGTATGAATTTCTGATTTTCCTAAGTACATTATTCCACTGTTTGGTACTTCTTCACCAGTCAATATTCTAAATGTGGTGCTCTTCCCAGCGCCATTAACGCCAAGCAATCCAAAACACTCTCGTTGCTTCACTCGGAAACTAATTTCCTGTACTGCTATCAACTTTCCGTAATATTTACTTAATTCATAAACTAAGAACAGGCTATCGTTACTATTCCCTGGACTTTGTATGTAATTATTTTCAATACTAGGAACTGTTTTAGTTGGTTCCTCGATGAATTTTTTCGCAGCACCTATATATCGTGTAAATTTTCATTTAATTTCTTCTTTTAATTTCTCTGAAAGAAATGGAAATACCATACCACGGTTTTTCAATTTTCTAATTTCTAACGCCACTGCATGCTTCTCTTTTTTCACTTGCTCATCTTGTATATGACATGGATTCTTCAAATTTTGTTTAAACATTTTAGCATACAGTTTATAATGTAAATTTTCCTCTAGAATAATAAGTATAGCAAAATATATTAACGGAGTAAGAGACAGGTATATGATGCAATCCCTTAAACTCATATCGGTATCGTTATTAGAAAAGTAAGAAAGTTGGTTTTTGCATACTCCGTCCGCACAATCCAAACCTAAGAAACCATCATAATTATATTATACATCGTTGAATTAAAAAATTTATTAAAATATATTATTAATATTAATCCGTACCACAACAAATATCCTCGGTACCGAGACAAACTACTTCTTGTAGTCGATTCGGTAATCGACGACATCTCGCGTTTTGTAAAGCTACGTTAAAGAAAGATAATTGACCATGAAATAGGCTCACGTAAGGTATTAAACGGAATATTCCTTTTTGAATTGAATGAAGAATTTTTAAATAATTAAACGTATGGGTCACTTGATGGAAAAGATATTGTAATAAAACTAGAATATAATAAAAAAAAAAATTAGTTTACCCATTTTATATTTTTCATTGTTTTACGATTCAATAGTGTATTATGACTTACCCAATCCAATTGGTACAAGAGTTAAAATAGTTATTACGGTACTTCTTTGTTTATTTATAAAACTGAAGATATATGATATGAGCAAACAATTCATGCCAAAAAGTAGCAGTAATAATATCATTGTCACTAAAAAGAAACAAGAATATATTAAGTTTCATCAATTTTCATCAATTTTGTAATAATAATAATGCAATAATTTTTAATATTATCTTACATATTTCTATCTTGTAATACAGCCGTACATCCAAAATAACATCCATGATATAAAATCCCGTTATAATAATAAATACAGATATTGCAAGAACTACGAAATCGAAAGTAAACATAGTAAGCCAATATGAAAAAGAACTAACTCCCGTCATTCTCTGAAGTTGCTTCATTTTGCTTTCCATTTCTTGAAAAGGGTGAACAACGAAAAGTGCAACAGTTTTAAAGAAGAAACAACAAAAAATTAGTGTTCTCGTCAAAGAGTCAACTTCTGGCATCATTAACATTGTTTCTGACAAAGCATTTGGTAATTTCTGACTTGAAAGATGAATAGAATATTCATCACCAGCCATGCTTTTAATTAGCACATTTGATAATAAATTCAAAGTTAAAGGTATACTATGAATTGCAATTCCAGAATAAAAACCATTGACAAACAAGACTTCGTCAGAAATATTAAATTCCGCAGAAACGATATAATTATTACGATACTCTGCGATATTGTCGACCGCCTCGTTTAATAAGGCTTGTGTAACGCTTGTATTTTGTACTTCTTTTGCGAATCCACCAAAATATTTTATTATATTCGCATAATCCATCCTAATGGTTTCATTTGTAGAAGAATATAGAGCTTTTGGATGTCTATACATACTGAGTTCTAGAGGAAATACATTTGTTGAATCACTAGGTGTGTCATAACTGAAACCTATTAATATGGCCGATAAAAGTGGTAAAAACAGTGTTAGTAATAGATTACTTAAATTCTTCTTAGTATATATCAATTTCTTATGATATAGTGCCAAAATTGATTGTATAAATAAGCTCCAGCCTTCTACTTTTTGCGATGGAGGGCAGAATAATTCGTTCATATGTTTTCCAGTATCCTCATTTTTAATTACTCTTAAGAATACCTCTTCTAATGTGATAAGAGATACACTAATCCCTGTAACTCCTAGATTCTTTTTCTGACTTTCAACTTTATCCAAAGTTTGTGGTAAAGTTTCAGTATTCGGTACGCTTAAGACAATCTTCTCACTATCAACGCTTATCTGTTGCGTTTTTGGATCAAATTTATTTATAATTTTATCTGCATTGCACCATGACTTTGTTGACAAAGTAACTTCTATATGACCATAACCATATTGTTTTTTCAAAAACATTGATGTGCCATAACATTTTAACCGGCCTCCATGTACAATGGCAATTCGATCTCCAAGTATATCAGCCTCTTCCATATTATGTGTGCTAATTAAAATTGTTTTCTTCCCTCTTATTTTTAATATAATATCCCATATATCTCTTCTAGTTTCGGGATCCATTCCCGACGTTGGTTCATCTAGAACAATGGTACTAGCATCACCAATAAGAGCCATTCCAAGACATAATCTTCTCTTTTGTCCTCCAGACAACGTACTTGGAAGAACATCTTTTTTTTCACATAATTTCAGCTTCTCAAGTAAAGCATTAACATTACGTTTGATTTCTTGTCGCTTTTTATTTGCACCTTTCAGCTAAAATATATGCATGTTTTTCAATTTTTAAAAATCGTTATTTACGTTTAATACTATTTAATTTCCACAAAGTAACTACTTACTAGACCAAAGAATTCTAATTGCTCAAATACACTTAAATAGGGAAAAACCATATTTTCTTGAGGGCATAAACCTAAATTGTTCCTAATAGATTGCAAGGTTCTTGCGATATTTTGACCATTTATGAGAACTTTTCCTTCAGTTGCACTTATTATGCCTATTATGAAATAATCAATTTAGAGAAATTGAATACACAAATATTAAGTAATTAAATTTCTACCTGTCAGAATAGACATAAGTGTAGTTTTCCCAGCCCCATTGTGTCCTAATAAAGCTGTAATTTGTCCTTCATATAAGTCCATTGAAATTCCTCTTAAAGCTTGGACTTCCTATATTATAAAATAATAATTATTAATCTAATCTAATTGATAGTTAATAGTAGTAGCTAAAATAATAACTACTAGGAGCTAATAATAATTCAAAAATTTAGTGAACTAAACAACTTACTGATTTTCGTAGACAAATACTTTTATATGTTTTCTTAAGATTGCGAATTTGTATTCCAGAGGTAAATACATCTTTTGCAACTGGCTCAAAATTTTCATTGTCTATGTTTTCATAGTCAAACTCTTCTATATCATCATCAAAATTTATTTTATTTTTCTTTAAATACTAAAAATACGTGTTATTATTGTAAGCATAATCAATGATATATAGCAATTTTAATTATTCTATCATAAAAATTACCTTCAAAAAATAAAGTGGATCTTTACGAACTCCATATTTTCCTGGCAATATGGCATTAACATATACAGCGAGGAAAAAATGTAATAAAGCTCCCATAATGGAGAAGAGAAGTATAAATCCACTGCACCCAATAATATTATATTGTGAATCTCCAACAACAAACATGTTTGACCATTGAATACCAGTTACTAAAAATTTTGCATATAGTTATTAATATTCAAAAGATTGTAAAGTAATATAGTAACAAAAAAACTCTTCACACACATTTAGCCTCATATGCATTTACTTCTTCAAAAAATCTGTATAACATTATATTAGGAAACAATATTCCCAGATATGGTATTACTGAGAAGACTTCTACTCTTATCAAATTTCCATGAAGTGAAAAAGCAGCGATATAAACAATTGACAGTGTTGTTATCACAAAACGTGCTAGAAAAAATCCATTGTACATTATTCCTCATTTGTTTTAAGTGATATTTATTTCAAAAAAACTTACGTCTTGAAAAATATGCAGCAATGTGCATACCAAATGATATTAAATGAGTAACGTGTACTGTAAGTATTAACCAAAATATAAAAGTATTGCTATAATACAAATATGGTTCCACATTTGCAGAAAAGGTGTTTTTAAATAATACTGTCATTGGTACTACGTAAAAAATACTAAATATAACGCCAATGACCAACCAACTTAATAAAGTTTGGTATTCTTTTACTCCATTCATTGCCATCAAAACATTTACGCCAATATACTTCTCTGTTGTTGCATAATTTATTTCTACACAAAGTGGAATTAAAAAAGCAATAACTGCAAACATACATATCACCAGTCTTAATATTGTATCAAATTCATCTATTTTAACATATGGAGGATAAGGCATTCTTTGTATTGACACCTAAAATAAATACAACAAATAATATAAGCTATTGACAATATAAATTAATATTATAACTTAATGCTATGCAAATGCAATACCTTTGTATTCATTATAGGATGTGATGCTGTGCGATATATAAAAGTTTCATCAACACACATTTGTAACTGTACAAATGGTATGGCATGTAAATATACAGCATGCGCATTATATGTCATGTCACTAAATACATCTTGGTATAACATATTTGGAATTTTAAAGGAATGTCTGATTTTGTACCTTATATCAGTTGTATTATATTGTTCAAATACAAGTGCTAATACTTGTATAGTAGAATATTCAGTTTGTAACAAAGTATAAGCATTAACCATATCATCTTCAGTTAAAAAACCAACTACACTTTCATGTGACAATTTCAAACACATTCGGACATCTTCCAAAATAGTTTCTGTATACAAATTTTGTGGTACATAATATAAAAATGTGTAATCTCTGTTTATTACTGTCAATTCTTCTTTGGTTTCTATGGGATAATATGTACTTTCATTGACCACACGAGGTGGTTGCACACTAAAATCTCTTACAGCTTGTATCAACATAAATAAGGCAATTGGTATTAGACATTGTAAAAATATTGTTGTTTTCCAATGTCTTCTTCTAATTATTAAATTTTTGTATAAAAGCAAGCCAAAAGTTCTGATGTCGCTTTTCATTTTTAATAAATCTCAAATAATCCTTTGTTTTAATGTAATCAATAACATAGTGCATATGTTTTGCACACATAGGCTGATAAACTACACAATGTCATGGAAAGTCATAAAAGTATGATGAATAAATTATTAGAATTGATGTATGAATCAGCATATAACAGAATACAATAGAATCTCCTATATAACCTTGACTATGTAGTTATTAAGTAATGTTTTTTAAATACATGTTTGGAAAATCTTTAAAAACTTTCTATCAGAGTTTCTTAAAATTTATTCTTTTCATTTTATTTTGTCAAGATTATCATAACAATTGTATCTGAAAAAAAAATTACTAATATAAAATCATAAGGATCAGACTATGAATGTTTGTACATTTATACAAAGTTAAAATTTTGAACATGTACTGAATGTACATAACACGTAAAAATATATAAAATAGTCAAAGTATTTGTAATATTTAATCAACAAAATAAAATTCTAGTTAAATTTTATTCCTTTAATGAGATTTATAAAAATGTATGCTGATCAATATGTAATGCCACTAATTCTAAGTAACGATATAATTAATGATATGGTGAATAATGGTATGATAATAGGGATATCAATGATAAAGTGATATTAAAGAAAAAAAACATTAAAAACGAAGAAAAATAAAGTCAATTAAAAGATGAAATACGTTTTACAATATTGTTTACAGAAACACATCAATTGCAAGTTACGAAATTTTGTTTAATAAAATAAAAACGGAAATTAAATAAAAAGAATTGTGTATGTAAATACCTGAGAAATACCTTCTATTAAGCCTGGGGCAAATATTTTATCAAAATAGTGGTATCACTTCATACATTTTTACACTTTTACTTTTATTAATTTTTAGAACGCGTTAACATAAGGAAACACAATTCGCTACTAAATACGCACAATATTATCATTGTTTTCTAAGCCGTATTGAAAATGTCACATACGTATGTCGTAGTTCCGTACATGTCATTCATAGATCATATACACTACAGCTGCGTTTAGAATTGTCTACACTTCCTTTGTCGCAGATAATAATGTCAGAAAATACTATCTTTCATGATACGAAATAACGAATAAATAACTGACGCTATTCTACATCCAAGATGGTACTATTCATGAAAGTACGTAAGTGAAATACAGCCTTAAGGTTGAAGCATGCTGTCGTCAAATTATGACGTATACTTGTACTGTTATGTACAGTGAACTGTGTTTCTGGTATCAGAAAATCAAAACAGATGCATCTGGCTGAGAGCCAATAAGTCATTAAAGACGTATGTATGTTTAAATTTCTGTGCCCAATATGCATACAATTGTTTTTGGTTTTAATTTAAAACTTTAATTTTAAATCTCTAACGCGATGTATAATATTACGGTTAGATTATTGAAATAATAGATCACTCATTATTAACGTTAATTTCTATTTAAATAGTAAATGATGTACATGTAAGATATATATACTTGAAGCAATCGTGAAATATTTTTATTATAATTTAACATTCAATTTTCTGTAAACCTAGATAATATTTATATACATGCTTGTAACGAAGAAGTTTCGTCCCGTATATAAAAATATGAAATGCAATTCATTTCAATATTAAAATACTGTATATTGTGTATTTAAATAGTAACGTAAAAATATTAACATAAAAAAGTTCTTATAAAAATATTAAAACTTTTTAATATTTTGTTTATTACTAAGAAATTGTTGATTATTTGTTACATGGTTGCATGTGTTTTTCTTGTTAACAGACAATGCCATGGATCTCAGTTATTTCAACAGAGATGCAAATCCTAAAATCGAGAATGAACTTTCAAACATCTCTAGCCCAGAGATGTTTGATAGCGACAATGAAGATGATAAAAAGAATAATGAACCATTAGTAATTGAAAGATCAATAGTAGCTAGTCCTAAAAAACCTTCTCAGGCTGATTTGATTACAAACTCTGATAATAACTTATTAGCCAAAATTAACAAACTATTAAGTGGGGTACCACCACCACCTAAGCTTACAATTTGTAGGACAGATTGTTCTGAATTATTATCACGTATTTATGAGAATCAATCTTTATTTTGGACACAGTGTGTGTTATCAGAGAAAGACACAGAAGACATAAATGGGGAATCCCCAGAACAACAGAAAGAAAATATTAGTACAAATAATTATCAGCATACCAAAAGTACTTCTAGAAATTTAAGTACTGCTTTTGATGCTTGTGATTCAATAAATAATATTATTAATAATGTAGATACAATAGACTTAAAGAACACTTGCAGTGATAATTTTAGACTAAAGAAAGTAGTTCCTAATAATGAAAAAGGCATAATCAATGCTAGCGTAAGTGGAACAAAATTTTTAAATCTTAAAGAAGTACAAGAAAGTGCAACTGAGAATAAAATAAAACAACAATCTGAATCAAAACAATCATTACTTTATTACACTATTAATGAGAAAGAAGCAATTACTTTAACATGGCCTGAGGCGTATTATCATAAATTTCATGGAATATAGTAAGTATATTAATGTACTTCTTATTGTTTATAATGTTTGTAAAAAGATATTTAATATTGCTTTATAACTTTAGTTATAACAGAAATAAAGCAGTTGAAGATTTTGAAAGCCTTACGTCAAAATTATGTGATAGATATATAGGAGCTGAAACTCAATCTACATGTACTGTATGGTTTTCTAAACCAGTACCAGGAAGTGCCAAAAAACGAAATCATTTAGCTAAACATAATAATGGTCAAAGTCCAACAAAAAGATTGAGTCATTTGACGAGGAGACGAAAAGTATTTTCTAGTGCGAACTTACAAGGACTAGCGCTCAACAACAAAAAATTTGTAGTATTAAATATCAAGTACGCATTAAATGCAAAACGTATTTCAAGGAAAGATTTCATTCATTTAAAATATAAAATTATTTTTCTTTTAATATAGAAAACCCACAGTTAAAAAAGGCAAAAGTCCGCGGACTAAAAGTCCACGAGGCAAAAGTCCGAGAGGAACTCCTAGGAGTTCAACAAAGAAAAAAGTAGCTCGTCGGCTTATTTTAGATGGAACTAGTCCGTTAAAGTCTAAAATCGAAACGTCTAAACGTGCGCTCTTTCAAAGCCCTCCTCCTGATCGAGCTGGTCCAAGCAAATTATTTACAGATAGGCCGAATCCTCAAAGCATTAAACGTGCCCTATTTACACAAAATACAAAGGAGAATGATTTTGAAAGAAGTCAGAAGGTAGCTATCGAACCAGAATCCAGAAAAAGAAAGAACGAAGAGGAATTAGAAGGACCAAAATGCAAATGGATAAAAAGTTTATCTTTCGACTGTTCTCACGAGTTACGTAATAATACGATGTCTTCCTGGGAGAGACATTCATCTAGTAATATAATTGAAAAAAGCAAAGGATCTATAAATGAAGGGAAATGCGAGCTTAGTGATACTCATAGAAAGGTACGTGTAGTTCTTCTAAGCAGTTCAAACGTTCAACCAATTGTTTTTTTTTTCTGTATAATATTATTATATTGATATCTATGTTTAGAAATTATTATGGGCAGTAGCAGAGGCCTTACGAGATAAAGGAATAGGTATGACTCATCCACAATTTAAGCAGTATGCAACAAACTTAGCGCGAATCATTAAAAAATTTATGCCTGATCTTGAGAATAAGAATATTCCTCGCAAACCAGGGAGTACAAGTGATCGTATGTTAAAATTAGCAAAATATCACGTTTTGTTTGTAATTGATGCGAGACCAACAGATTGACAATACTCATTGATATATAAAAAAAGATTGACTTAACTTTGCATAAAGTACATTATTTATCATATAAATATCAATAATCAAATATTGATATTACTATGTCGAGGTAGCATATGTATGAACAGTAGATTTTATTTATCTGAATATAGTGAGATATTGTATGAAAATGTATTATAACAAATCGCATAAAACAATTAATGCGTGATGTGTAAATGTTAGAACTATGGTATATTAATTATTAAGATATTTGTTATTGCATAAATATAAACTAAGAGGTTGTTTTTAATATACCTATTTTTTTATTAGCGATAAAATATTATATTATATATATAATATATATATATATATATATATATTTCACAACTTATAAATAATTAATAAAAGGTGCTTCTTTGAAAGAAAACATAATTTGTAATTAATAATTTTAGAAACAACACATATACATATTGCATACAGAGTGCTATCGAAAGTTATGTATGAACTTGCAAGGCGATTTCTTATGAAAAAATAAGGAAAATATAAGGAATATTAAAATTGAATATTTATTGAATGTACTTAAATTTAGCTAATTTTAGAATTGAAATTCTAAATTTTTCACAAGTTTTATATGTAAAAATTAATTGGAAATATAAAATATGATTCTTGCTTACTATTATTTCATACATTTTATTTGTCAAGAAATTAAATTTGAACATCAAATATTCGCGCGTGGTATGCATATGTCAAGTCAGTTCTCAACTAAATATATTCATAGTATAACAAAGTCAACTAAATAATATTCATTTTCTTAAACGAGAAAAATGTATTCTACATTTTTCCATTTAGAATAATAAAATCGTATTCAGTCAATAATTAACCAATTCATATGTACTTAAGAAATTTTCAAATTTAAGTTTCTCGAAAACGAAACTTCAAATAAAAAAATTTTATTGCACATTTTTCTTTTTATTTGTAAAGAATCATTTCTTGTCTGCTTATATATAACTTTCGACCACACTCTGTCTAGCAATCATTATTGCTAGCGCATGGTTGTGTCTAAAACGTTAAGAGCCGAGTAAAAAAATAAAGACTAATCGCGTTGCATCCGCGATACTTGTGTATATCTCCGCTTTTTAATCCACATTTTGATGACCCACCCTAGCAATTACTTCGTCCAATATTTGCGTTAATTCCTTATTTTCTTTAGTTTTCTGTTCTACCAATTCGGCCAAAGAGTTACTCTTTAGTTCCGCTTTCCTTACTAACGCATGAAGTTTTACCGTTTCATCTTCATGCTGTTTTCGTATAGCATCCAATTCAAAGTTAGCTCTGAAATATTTTGCAGATACATAATTTGCTCCTTTCATACTGAAGCATTTTCTTTTTTTTTAAATACTTACTTCTCAAGTTCGGTTTTCGCATGATTTTTCAGTTGATCATATCGCGTTTCCAAACCCTTTATTGTTTCCATATTCTCTTGAATACTTTCTTTCAGTACTGTTTCATTACTTTTATATACGGATACGAATCCTTTAAGCCTTTCATACTTTTGATGAACATCGTTGAAAGCGGCTTCTGTGTTGCTTAAATGAACATTTGTAGCTTGCAATTCCTCTTGGAGTTTTGCTTTTTCTTGTTCGAAATTCGTACGATCTCTTTCTCTCTCTGTAAGCAGACGACTAATCGACTTTTCATATTCTTCGACTACGACTCTGTAATAATTCGATTATTTACATATTAACGATATTATGTAGATATTTATATTAACAATACTATAAGGACAATTTAAAATGGCTTACGTCATTTGAGATTTACTTTTTATCTCTTGCGCTATTTGTGCTTGTAATTTGTTAATTTTCTCTTGAAAAGCATTCTTTTGCTTTTCTAATTCGGCTTCGTATTCTTTCTTTTGTTTTTCTAATTTTTCTTCTAAATGCAATACAGTTGATCTTACTAATTCTAATTCCTTACTCATATTAACGTCGATGATAAATGGTGTGTGTGGTTCCGATTCTTCTGTAGGCTGGTCACAAATATAGAATATAAATATAAATATATATATTCATCTAACAATATTAGTAAAAATATGAAATATGCTAAATACATACTTTGTTTGCCATTTTTTCTTGAAGTTCATCTGTTTTCTGAGTCATATTTGTAGAAACAGGACTATAAAAAAGTAGCCTATCTATAGCTGCTATGGCAGGATTACGTTTAGGAGTATCAATATTCGCTGGTATGCTTTCACTTTCCCCGTTTTGTTCTTCGTTTGCCGATGGTGTATTTCCTTGCGGTAACATATTGGTATCCGCTACCAATTTTTATATACAGGAATACAGTCCTTAGACGACTGATAATTTCCAAATTACCGTAATTTAGTAAAAAATTGAAGCTCGTGAGATCTTCGGAGACTGCGATATAAAATCACTATTAATAAACATTTATTAACATTCGGAAAGTTTCTTTATAAAAATACTCACTTTCAAATGTCGTGCTGATGAAAGCCTCGTTTTCTTCTGAGAATTCCAATGAAGATTTAAAAATATCATTGGCGAACTGTTTAGCAGCAAATTGCTGCTAGTATGATAGTAACGTCTAATGATATTTGCTGGAAATTTGGGCGGCTGTAGATGCGAAAGTTCGATTTTGACTCAATTCTTGTGTGTTCTGAAGAATATTATCTAAATAATATATAATATAATAATCGTCGCTGTTTAGATATATCTCTCTCCACAACCGGTCTTTTAAACTAGACAAGATTGAGTTCACGTACGAATCGTTCAAAATCTGGCTAGGATTTCGAGACACGAAATCTGTACAGATACTCTGTGCTTAAAATGCTGAGACTCTGAAAACTGCTTGCAGAGGACAGACTTTCCGGAGTCGAGTAGATGATCGATCCAACGTCGACGAACTCGCAGGCGAATCGAATCTTCACCTCATGCTCCACACTTTTTGATACAGAGTTGTCGCCGTAACTCTATAAAACAGAAAGAACACAATGTTAACGTTACATCAATTACAATTGATTTTTTTCTATTTCGATTATTGTTCACTTTGGTCACGATTTCAAATGAAAGATGAATCGATAACCAATCGATTACAATCTGAAAACAACCTCTAAAAAGGAATCAACGGAAGCTGTTGGAGATGCAAGATCTAATAAAGAGACGAAAGTTAAATTCATACTCGATTTAAATCCAAGAGTACAATTATTCAAAGTCGTCCGATTTCTGCGCTTAATTAAGGGGCCGGTTTATTACATCTCACTTCTGATCTCATTTAAGCCCATGAAAATAGATCTCATTAGAAAGACGAATAAACTTTTCACGGAGAACAAATGCATTTAGAAAGTAGAATATGTAAACCACGCACTAATCCGACATACTAACTATTATGCATATACATGTATATATATGTCCGTATCTATCGTTGATGCTGTTTCACAAAGTAATTCCATGAATATTAATAGTGTTTCTTTCTAGCATGTCGTTTTGCTTCTTTTGTAATTATATAATATTTATATTACGTAGATTATGTTTCCACATCATTTAAGTGTATATATTTTAATGGCTATAACGATAGCAAATAGCAATAGAGTGGCCATAAATATTTAAAATTAATTTAATATTTATAATGAAAATACAGAGATGCAACTGATTAATCACATAATTAATTCTATATAGCTGAAATGTGATAACAAATGATCGGAAGATTCAGTGAAAAAGTGATACAAGTTCATAGTGATAACTGCAGGAAATGGTATATTATCCAAATTTATATGAATACGTGTAATAAAAGTATTTTAGTCCCTTAGCAGACCAAATTTTTCCTTAATTTATTTTATTGGAAACGATTAAATTTCTTTATAGTAAAAGATGACTAACAATGCCAAGTGTAATACACTTTTCATGCCAAAAATAATCCAGATAATATGAACATATGCGTTAAGTATAATAACATAAATAAGTCCATAGAGTTTTATATTAAAATTGAATTTATCCACAGTTTTCTCAAATCAATGATTTTGTCACTTGTGTCACTTTGAGATCCTTGATTAGAGATGAAAAGAATCATTATCATATCTTTTTTACGTCAATTAAGATAAAAATTATCGTTTAAAAAATAGATAGAGATAATCGTACTCGAAATTAGATGATGAACCACGTGGTAATCGTAAACAACCATGCGTAACATTGGACGAAAATTGGCACGCAATGTTTAATAAGTCATCTTTAAATGCCAATTACAGACTCTTCGACAATATATTGATTTTATCAATAAAATTAACGATCTGACACGAAAAAAATGAAACACAACGGTAACAATTGAATTTAGGTCAGTTCACACGCGAGACCTAGACCGAAGTACTTAATTTATTTTTAATCTCGAGTGATTTTTAACATTCGGAGTGTATAATACATTGTTGACCAGCCATTATTAATACTAAAAACTATTAACTAATTAAATTATCGATACTAAAAATGTAGAGTAATGTACGACCAATTCATAGCTTTTCACAGAAGTTTTACACATCTGTTATGATATACTTTGAAAAAATTTTTTTTGAAACCTGTAGATAAAAACTTGTTTTTTCTGTTGCATTAAACACGTGCCTATTTTGTTATTAGCCTACATTTTCTTTCTTTTTTTTTTTTTTTTTTTTGGAGGTTGATACAAATTCAAATCATTAACTGTCGATAGTTCGAATGTGAAAGTACAAAATTGTATATGTTGTCCATGATGACATATGGCATTGTTCATTTTACTACAAAATAAATTAAATTTTGAATTCATTTGGAATTTGAATTTTCATTATTGAATTTTATTCGCGTCACGCGTTGCTTTCTATATAAGACAGCTGATTAACAGTGTATTAAAATCTGTTGCCTATTCGGAACGCGTCCTTCGTGTTCTCGCAAATGCGCCGCGAGGAAGTTCGATTACGGACTCGCGGGAAATCGATTTAAAACATATAGAAACGTTCAAAGACGATGGTCCCGTGACACCTATAGAAATATTGAAACGTGGAAACGAATATCATGATTTTACCAAGAAGGAAACACATTTTTCTAACGTAAAAGATATTACTTATCTTATGTACGATAATTCAACGGAGAAGACATTATAAATATAAAAGAAAAATTGGATGTTCACGTTATTGTTTAATAAAACAATTCTGTTTTCATCCTACAAAACCTGAAGCGATATAATCTACCATTTTCACAAACGTCGAATCAAGTCGAACATCAAGATCATCGGCAACAATTACTCGAATTCCTTATCGTCTGAAATGACGAGGGCATTTCCATGAACCGTGGCAAACTGTGGATTATTATTATACTGTAGGCGCTTTTACTCGTTAAACCTACGGTATAAAATGAACGTGTTTGCTCGAGCTCACCGTACACGAAGCGTTCAAGCGAACGAACCGATGTAATATCACAGGCAATTCCGTTCGAAACTCGAGAAGCTCGTACTCTCCTTATTCGGCATATTCTTGACATCATCGAGACCACCACGCGTACTAACTATGACTCACTCCCATCTGGTCGCGATGACAGAGAGAATCGGAGACATTTCTCTCATCGGAAGGGTGTGTCTCTCTTTCTCTCTCTCATCCCTGTGTCTTTGCTCCATTTCTTTGACAAACGTCTTGAGCATCGATCTCGATTCACGAGAAAATGGGACATAGCCTGCCGTTGAACGAACTCTGTTCAATAACACTCGATGGAGAACAGCGAAGTTTAGGGACGACAAGTAACGTGAAACTAAATCTGAGACAACAGATCGCCTTCTTGCAGTCCGTTTGCCTTTCCAGAATCGGAGAGATTCGCCGGAAGACACTCACCCGGGACCTGGCGATCAACGGAGGATATCTTTGGTCGAAATTCTAATATTAGCGCCAGCGCATTCTCCAGTCGATACTCTTCACCACTACCACTGACCTGCTCGCGACAGCACGCGACATCGTATCTGTAAGCGTGTGTACGTGTGAACGCACCACCACGGGCGTACAATGACAGAGCAAGAGCGATGGTACCAAAATGTGAGCGCCTCACCTGGGAAACGCGAATCCGTCAGGTAATTTGTTCAGTCGGGAACGCTTGCGGCTAGAGCACGTCCAGCACGGAACGAACTGTTTCTAGGTCGTAAAGGATGATCAACAATGTGAGAGTCATCGCTACCGTCTCGCCACGACGATACGCGTAACTAACACTTGCTGCTTGTAGACCGCTGTCGTAACGTCGAACCGCGCACACGCCGCACCAGCATTATGCTACAAAGATCACCAACTATGGAAATGGTGGGACATGATTCCATAGCACCGAATGGTGGGACGGCGTGGCGCTATCTGGAGTGACATGTAAATACTCCATAATCGTTGTTCGATTTGCTGAATGGATAAAAAGTAAATTATTGTTAAGTTCAGTATATCTCGCATGTTGTATATAGAGTATTACGTACAATTTCGCATTCTGAAACACTCATCGTCATTTTAAATACATATTACTCGATCCTTGGGACATTTTGAAGCATTGATAACTTGAACTTAACTTGATCTTGATAAGATTCAGACTCTTGAAAGTCTCATGGCTATCAAACAATTTCGAATTGCTCCGAAATTAAGAATCGTACAACCATCATACAACTTTCGAACGAAACAAGGAGAGTATGATCTGTAATTTTGTAACATTTAATCAGAGAATTTTGAAAAAACAATATAAAATATAATATTAATAATATAAAATACTATACAATTATTTCTACGATATCATTGGAAGATGAGAGAATATCGTGCAAAATGTAGACAAGTGCTCATTTCACCGAAGTGAAAATTCAGCCGAAAAGTAAAATTCTCATTTCAAAATAATCCTAGAAATTAAAAGTTCATTTATAGGCGTTCTCCGGCACAACAAAGAAAATTGCAATAAAAGAGGACATGATAATAAGAACATGAGATGTTAATTTAAAATCCATTATCACGCGCACTGCAAACGCATTATCATTCAAAAAAAAAGGCATAATGTATGTAAATACCTTAAAACGAGGAAATAACACAAGTGACGAATTATGAAGGGACGCAGTGGTCTCTCGAAGCATCACGTCAGTTTCTTCAGAAACAGAGCTATTGATACTTTGTGGACTTGACATTCTCATGATATTTTCGCAATTATTATCACAAACTTGTTGATAGTTTTATTAAACGCAACAATTGCAAACACGATGTGATATTGTGAAATGTTTCATACACAAATCAAACACAATATAATACAATATACAATTCACATTGCATGTTGTTCAACGACACAAAACACGGCTTCTTTCAAGCATCAACTCGCGTTAAATGTAAATTTTATAACACTACAACACCACAAAACTAATAATGTAATACTAAACTAAATAAAATGATTTTGTTTCGTTGAAATTCCGTGTACGCGATTTTTGATATTGCCCTGACAATGTTTAGCACACAATCGCTTTCTTAACGGTCGTTTAACATTTGACAACTTGAATATAAACGCAACAGCCAATCACGATGCATTTTAGCCACAGGCAAAGTATATGAATAGAAACAGAACATCTTACGAGATTTGAAATACCGACATAGTAAAAAAATCACTGGTTTTTGGCGCACTCTACATTTACACAACGGTGAGTTGAGGAACTACATAAAGTAAAACCACAGACGAGGTATATGAATAGACCTAGCATACAATGTACTTTTTTCATATCACATCCTGTCGTACCGATTTAGGCAATTTTTGCATTGTGAAAATCAGAATACGGACAGAGTGCGTATACACATTTTATATTAAAAATACATAATATAAACACAAATCTAACAACAATTGATTTAAATTTTTACTACAGAACTTTTGGACAACACTTCTTTCTAGATGATTCTTCTGAATAATACTTTCTTCTTTACAGACGAAATGTGCTTCGTTCCGCCATGCTTTCCGCTTACAAATCGATTGTGAGAAATATCGATTACGTTCGAAAATAGTAGCAAATGTATTCCGTATTTTACCGTTGGCACTATAATCTTTTAAACCCAATACGCGCATGTTTCGCACGAAATGTTAACTCAGAATAAAAAATAAAAATCTTTGGTCTAAATCAATTACACAAAATTCGTGAAAAATTCTTAGAAAAACACGAAAATATTCATATCTAGTAATAAAATTGAAAAAAAGCAAGACATCTTTAAATGAAGAAAAATGCATGCTTCGTCGTATATTTATTTGTTCTTCATTTCATTTTAAAGTACGCCCAAACAATTGTTTTTTATGTGTAATGTTACGTAAACGTGTGTTATCTTTTATATCTAATCTCTGAAATAAAAATATTTCTCACATCCCAGAGAGTACAAGTGATCATACATATGTTAAAATTAGCAAAATTTCACACTTTATTTATAATTAATGAGAGACTTAAGACAAAAAGTTAATTTAATTTTGCATAAAATACATTACTAATCATATTAATGATCAAATAATATTTGTATATCGAGATAGTATATGTGTGAACAATAAATTTTATTTATCTAAATATAGTAAGATATTATATTGAAATGTAGTATAACAAATCACATAATAATGCGTACTCTGTTTATGGAATATTAAGATATTTTTCACTGTATAAACATAAACTGAAAGGTTCTTTTTAGTATGCCTATATTTTTATTAGTGATAAAATATTATATTTATATATATTCATATATATATATATATATTTTACAACTTATAATAATCAATAAAAGGTGTTCTTCTGAAAGAACACATAATTTGCAATTAAGAATTTTAGAAACAATGCATCTGCACAGAAAGAGTGTAGTTGAAAATTATGTATAAGTATGCACATGAAACAATAAATCAAAAATATAGAATAAAATTTTTTCCTTTGAAATTTAATTTTTAATTTAGATTAAATTTAATTTAATTTAAATTAAATATCAAGTATATTTGAACTTGGTTAATTCTAGACTGAATTAAAATGAATAATTAACAAATTATTTTAGATAAAAATGAGTTGAAAATATGAGATAAGACATGGTTCGTAAAAAAATTAAATTTGAACATTACCAAATATAGTACACGTATATTAATTTATAACCAAGTACATAAAATATATTTTCTTAGAAACGGATTTTTAAACAAGAAAAATTTGTTTTATTTGTTTTTCAACATAGAATAACTTTTTGTTAATTATTTACTCGTATCCAGTCGATAATTAGCACAAATTCACATGTATTAAATAAATTTTTTAATTCGATCTTTTTATATACAAAACAAAAGAAAAAATTTTTTTTATACTTTTGTTTTTTTTTAGTAAAGAATTATTTAATGTCTGCTCATACATAATTTTCAGCTGCATACTGTATGTATGTTTAGCCGAATAAAAATAAAGATTAATCGCGTTGCATTTATAACTTTTGTTTAATTTTCCATTTTTTTACTCTGGACTTTGATGACCAACCCTGGCAATCACTTCGTCCAATATCTGCGTTAGCTCTTTATTTTCTTTAGTTTTTTGATCTACCAATTCAGCCAAAGAGTTACTCTTTAATTCCGCTCTTCTTACTAATGCATGAAGTTTTGTTGTTTCATCTTCATGCTGTTTTCGTATAGCATCCAATTCATAGTTAGCTCTGAAATATTTTGCAGATATATAATTTTTCTTTCATACTAAAATATTTTGTTTCTTTCTTTTTAAATACTCACTTTTCAAGTTCAGTTTTCGCATGATTCTTCAGTTGATCGTATCGCATTTCCAAACCTTTTATTGTATCCAGGTTCTCTCGGATGCTCTCTTTCAATAGTGTTTCATTACTTTTATATACGGATACGAATCCTTTAAGCCTTTCATACTTTTGATGAACATCGTTGAAAGCGGCTTCTGTGTTGTTTAAATGAACATTTGTAGCTTGCAGTTCTTCTTGAAGTTTTGCTTTTTCTTGTTCTAAATTCACACGATCTCTTTCTCTCTCTGTAAGTATTCGACTAATCGATTTTTCATATTCTTCGATCACGACTCTGGAAGTAACAATTCGATTATTTATATATTAACGTAATATTATATAGATATTTATATTAACAATATTGTAGGGACAATTCATAATGACTTACGTCATTTGAGATTTACTTTTTATCTCTTGCACTATTTGTGTTTGTAATTTGTTAATTTTTTCTTGAAAAGCATTCTTTTGATTTTCTATTTCAGCTTCATACTCTTTCCTCTGTTTCTCTAATTTTTCTTCTAGTTGTAATACGGTTGATCTTACTAATTCTAATTCCTTATTCATATTAACATCGATAATAAGCGGAGTGTCTGATTCGGACTCTTTTGCAGACTGATTCTGTACATATAATATGAATATATTATAATATAAATAACAATGTCTTATAAATATATCTTCTTTAAAGATTCATCTAACAATATTAATGAAAACACGAAATACAACATACTGTGCTTGTCTCTTTTTCTTGAAGTTTATTTATTTTTGGCGTCATATTTGTAGAAATAGGGCTATAAAAAAGTAGCCTATCTATAGCTGCTATGGCAGGATTACATTTGGGAGTGTTAAAATTCACTGAAGTACGTTCAGGAGTATCAATATTCATAATGCTTTCATTTTTATCGTTTTGTTTTTCCTTTATGAATTGTGTATTTCCTTGAGTAGAAATACTGGTATCCGCTACCAATGGATCAAATTTTACATACAAGGATTCAGCCCTCAAACGATTGACAGTTTTCGAATTACCATGTTTTATCAAAAAATCAAAACTCATAGGATCTTGAAAGACTGCGGTATAGAATCAGTATTAATAAATGTTCATCAACATTTAAAGTATTTCGTATTAAAAATAAATACTTACTTTCGGATGTCGCGTTGATGAAAGGCTCGTTTTCTTCTGAGAATTGTAACGAAGATTTATAAACATCATTAGCGAATTGTTCAGCAGCAGATTGTAGTTCCTCAAAATTTGGTTGTTCGATGTTCAATGTATCTAACTCCTCTTTAGCTATTTCAGCTAAATTGTTTTCTATCGGATTAAGTTCCTCTTCCTTAGAAACATGTGTACTTTCTTTATTAGGTGACAAGCACATCGTTGAATTTAAACTAGAATCCTCTTGATTGCGTGGCGCTGAAATCTTATCAATGTCATTAATAAAGTTGTTCTCTATCGAACTAGATTCCTCTTTCTTAGATACATGTGTAATTTCTCGATTAGGTGACAAGCACATCGTCGAATTTAAACTAGAATCCTCTGGGTTGCGTGGCACAGGAATTTTATCAATGTAATCAATAAAGTTGTTCTCTATCGATCTGGATTCTTCTTTCTTAAAAACATTTGCAACTTCTTTATTAGATAACAAGCATACCATTGAATTTAAACTAGAATTCTCTGGACTGCATGACACGGGAATCTTATCAATAAAGTTGTTCTCTATCGATCTAGATTCTTCTTTCTGAGAAATATTTGCAACCTCTTTATTAGGTGAGAAGCACATTGTCGAATTTAAGTTAGATTCCTCTATGCTGCGTGACACTGAAATCTCATCAATATCATCAATAACATTGTTCTCTATCGATCTAGATTCTTCTTTCTTAGGAACATTTGTAACTTCTTTATTAGGTGACAAACACACCGTCGAATTTAAATTAAACTCCACTATGCGTGACACTAGAATCTCATCAATATCATTAATAACATTGTTCTCTATCGATCTAGAATCTTCTTTTTTAGGATCATTTGTAACTTCTTTATTATGCGACAAGCACATTGTCGAATTTAAGTTAGATTCCTCTATGCTGCATGACACTGGAATCTCATAAATATCATCAATAACATTGTTCTCTATCGATCTAGATTCTTCTTTTTTAGTATCATTTGTAACTTCTTTATTAGGTGACAAACACATCGTCGAATTTAAATTAGATTCCACTATGTTGCGTAATACTAAAATCTCACCGACATCACCAATGGAATTGTTTTCTATCTCCTTAGAAACATTCGTAACTTCTTTATTAGGTGACAAGCATACCGTCAAATTTAAGTTACATTCCTGTATGTTGCATGACAATGAACTCTCATCAACAAGGATATTTTCTATTAATCTAGGTTCCTCTTTCTTAGAGACGTTTGTAATTTCTTTATTAGATGACAAGCAAGTCATTGAATTTAAGTTACATTCCTGTATGTTGCATGGCAATGAACTTTCATCAACGGGGATATTTTCTATTACTCTAGGTTCCTCTTTCTTAGAGACGTTTGTAATTTCTTTATTAGATGACAAGCACGTCGTTGAATTTAAGTTACATTCCTGTATGTTACATGGCAATGAACTCTCATCAACAGGGATATTTTCTATTAATCTAGGTTCCTCTTTCTTAGAGACGTTTGTAATTTCTTTATTAGATGATAAGCACGTCGTTGAATTGAAATTAGATATCTTTATATTAGACGGTAGTGGAATCTTATCACTATCATCAACAGAGTTGTTGTTCGTTTGATGATCACTACTGCTTAAGTCGCTCTTGTTAGGAGAGCTCGATCTCTGTACCGTCTCTAATCGTATAAAACTATTCCTTCTGTTTGATTCTACAATCGCTACAGGTTCCTTAATGCAGATGGTACCAAAAGTAGCTTCATCATCAATCACTTCGGTAGAATTAATTGGCGCAGACATAGATTCACATGTTGTCAAATTATCATCGACGACCTCCACCACGGCATTCTGAGAGTTCGTTAAGGAAATGTTATGCGAGAGATTTTTGCTGACATTGGCCGGTTGATCGGTGGCAGATGCAAACGTCTGATCCTGACTGAAATCTTCCGAGTTCTGAAGAGTCCTATACGAATGATCGTCGTCGCTGTTTAGATGTATCTCTGCACAACCGGCAATTAGGTCCTCCAAACCAGATATATTCGAATTGACGTACGAATCATTCGGAACCTGGCTAGGGCTCTGAGGGATGAAATCCGCATAGATACCACTATTGCTTTTCGTGCTTAAAGTACTGCTGAGACTTTGAAAACTGCTTGCAGAGGACAGACTCTCCGGTGCCGAATAGGTGATCGATCCAACGTCGGTGAACTCGCGGGCGAATCGGACCTTCACCTCATGCTCTGCATTTTTTGATGCTGCGTTGTCGCCGCCACTCTATAAAACAGAAATAGTACACTGTTAAACGAAAACATGTCGCATATCAACTGTAATTTGTTTCCTTTATTTCGACTATTACTCAGTTTTCATAATTACACGATTTTGAACGAAAGAATTCACACAATTCTAAAAACAACATCCGTAAAAAGAATAGGCGGAAGTTGTTGAAAGATTCAAGGACACCATCTCGTTAATGATGCTGCGATCTTCCGAACCAACCTTGAACTCATTCAATTATTCGATGCTCTACAGTCACGCTAATTAACGAGAAATTTCTCGCTGTAGCTCACGCTCGGACGAGCCTAAAAAGACTACGTCTCCTCCTACCAATTCAATGACGCGAGAGACATGCATTTAATCAGACTTTCGACTGGTTAGACGCGAAATACCGATTGCGTGGGCGATGGCGATGACGTCCTTGGCGGGATCACGGTAGCTCGCTGAAGTAGTTTATTGATATATTCCATTTTCTCGCGTAACAACTAAACAGGTGTAGAATAAAGATGCGCGATCAGTGACTAGCTGTCGTCCACTGGGAAAATTCCGGTTGCCCGATATTTCGTAGCGAGGCTCGCGGATTTCTTTCAGAAATTGCGCAACTTCGTCGCTGAGACTAATTATAAAATATACCAGGGGCACGAGGAAGGGGAGATGGGATTTTGTTTTGACCGATCTCGCGCCAATCTCGCCAGTCTCGCGAATCCCTGCCAAGAACAGTTATCAGCGGACAGTGGTCGTCCAACGAAAAGATATCTCGTATCGATCATGATCCCGCGAATCGGTAGCTGTTGATCGTCGATGCAATGCTGATCGTTTAAATTCAAGTCTAAATTTAAATGCAGGAGTGAAGATCGTTTGCGTGACGTTTCGAACGATTTCGATCTTGTATGCATTCTCGGATTAAAACTTTCTAATGCTCCTCATAAAGAAGTTGCTCGCGAGTTTTTTTTTTTTTTTTTCTCAACTCTTAACCACTGATTTTCCAGCATTCTTTTTTACCAGAATTATTATTACGACGTTGGTCGAATTTTTCTAACATACTAAGACTTATAGAGATGTAGCTTGTGCAAATTACTCCAGTTATTTGAATCTCAAGCGCTTGAGATTCAATAACACGACTAATTTCAACAAGCCTTTGGTTTCGAACGTGATAATACGGATGACCAGTTCAGACAATGTGGTTATTTTTGACCGATTCGATAATTTTACGTTCCGAAAGCAGCAGTTCATACGATTCAGTATCTTCGCTAAAAATCCAGCGTATGCTTACTTTCTTTGTTTCTTTACCTACATTTGCAGACAAAATGGACGTGAATACGTTTTTCATCGTGTTTTCACATCACCGTCGTCATAAGAAAAGGAACGTCTGGCAAAGACTCACTTTCGATTTTTACCGATTCGAAAGAAGATCAGTTGTCACGCGTTGCAGACAATTTTTTAATAGTAAATTGGAAAGTCAATGAAATGTGTGATTTTGTTATTTGGACAATTTGTGCAATTTGGGCACATTATTCGCGGATTTTTCGTTAGAAAGTGGTTTTTCTTTCTTTTCTTTTTTTTTTNTTTTTTTTTTGAGAAGATTACCTTGTAGATGAGATTCCCCATGACTTCCTGAAGGACCTCCACTTTCGGCTGTCACTGCTGGTCGATATGAGGCCATACTTATCCGCGGGTTCACAGAACCCCACGTAGTGAACTTTCTTTCTTTCTCCCCGCCTATATATTCTCGGTCCCGACACGTTTATTTCCGACGACACGGCGCATCTTTCGTTTATCATTCACCCCTTTCGCGGCCTCGTGTATTTTTTCTTTCGTCTCTCGTTTATGCGGGCCTCTGTGTTTCGCCGACGAGAAGAAAGAAAACTCCCGGTGGAAAGGCTTGTTTTCATCTTTTTATAAGTCTCGAAGTAGTTCGATCGGCGAAATTGCAAGATTATTCAATTGAAAAACTCGTACATATATTCACCTCGCGTATATTGAATGTGCGAATCAGCCAACCTCGAAAAGAATTTGCTAATTCAACGATATTTTTCAAAGATAACGACTAACACTCCTTACTATTAATGTAAAAACTTTCTCCATTCACTATCTTTGTCTGCTCGCTTCTTATTCTGAATGCTGTTATACAAAGTGGTCCGTAACTGATATAGTTGGATACAGAGGATGTAATTGGATTCTACGAGAAAAAGTGAGATGCAGTTGTTTTCATAGGGGACTTTGTTTTCGAGAAAGTCGAGTTTGAAAATTTATTAAATACAGTTGAATTTAAATTGTATCACTAATTACGAACCACTCTGTACAAATAAATGAAATTTATAATATATTCGTACGTTGTTATCTTACGTACTTTATATTGAGAATGTATGTACTGTCATTAAATACATATATATATACACACACACACACACACACACATATGTAAAAATATCTTATAAAAAACGAATACTATAGTGGACAAGGTCCTAGAACGAATTAATTCATTATATGATACTCTTACATATTTAAGAATAATACATTTATTCTTAATACAATATATATATATATGTGTATATATGTATACACACACATTATAAATTTAATTTATTATATTTATAAATTCGTAAATTTATAGCATACTTCACTGTATTTTGAAGTACACATACAAAATTGGTTTTTTCCAGAGCCATTATGATTAATACAAAGTCCGACTCCAAAAGCAATCTTCTTTTGATATATGTATATTGAGTAATGCTTCATTCATAGACACACCACTTTAGAATTTCTCATAAAACGCATGTTTGGCTATCGGCAAAATGAATCAACCACATTGAAAGCTTAATCTCAAAATGAGTGTCAAAGAGAAAGCACGATTATTGCTATTACTATTTTAATACGTCAAAAAAAGCAGCGTCGTAGAAATAGAATTTTATGACTGATACTATTAACACATAGCGACAAATGTCGAAAGTAGTGGTCACTTTAAATGATCCAACATATATCTTTGTACAAGATAAATCATCTGAAAGTGGAAGTTAAAGTATTATTGAAACAATCAATTATATCGAAAAATATTTCAAATAAAAGTCAAATGGTTTCAAGGGAAGTATTATTCGAACATATAATTAACATTTCTGTAAATGAAAGCGTCTTTTTTAATCAGAATCATATATTTTTAGTACATTAACCAATTTATTTCAGCATTTTCTATAGAAAAAAAAGCATTAACTATTTATATCGAGGGATCACTAGTTTAATTAATTCACGTTATAAAAATGCTACCAGTGCTTTTCAAAGTGGACGATAGTGTCCTTTGGACACTGGAACGATATAGGAAAGTAGCCTTAGGCACAACTAAGAGCGTTGAATAAAACTAGAGGAGCGATGAAAAAATAAAGAGAAAAATATAAAATTTTGTAAAATCCTGTATCTGTTATCTCTTAACTAACAACAAATGAGAAATTTAAATTTAAATTCAAAGACGGCTACAAAAGCAGATATTCACACATTATTCTAGATTATGCTATAGTACAAAGTTTTTAATTGAATTTCCTTCATCACATTTAGGAACGTGGAGCGTGGATTCAGTGGGTTCAGTGGTCAGAAATCTAAATAAATCTAAATAAAGAAAGAAATCGATTACAAATAACTAATCATGGTGATTTAGAAATACTACTGACAAAGATAGAGTCAAATTATTTTTAATATTATCCTTCGTTATTCTAATTCTCTGTGTGTATTGCGAATATTACTATAATCGATTTCAATAAATAATTTTATAATTTTTAAGCTTCAACGTGACTTATTTGTTGTCATAATATCTTTTTTTACTATGTTGGAAAATATAGAGAGATATAGATACATAAAAATAACACAAACTTGTCATGCATTTTTCTATTTGCTTGGTCAAACAAGGTAAATTTTCAAGAGGACGCTGAGTAATTTTTTATTTGAGAAAAGAACAGTAGGCCAAGTAAGTTTGGGAACCTCAGTTATAAAAACCTGTCATATGCAAGAAAAGGATAGACAGGAAGCAATAGCCTGTGTTTTCCTTGTCTTCAGTATGTAAGTTGTATAAAATTTAAAATATCTGCCAAACCACTGCTTTTTTGACACAAATAGACTTATATCTTTTTATCGAGAATACTGAGATGAAGCAGTGTATTAAAAAATATATGAATCTATTTGGAAAACCACATGCATAATCCGTTCATTTACAGAAATGAGGGTTATGTCGGTTAATGCTCTAGCTTCGAAACCATTTAACATTTTTCAGTATAATCAACAGCTTTAATAATACTTTAATTTCTAGTCTCAAGTGACTTATTTCTTATGTAACGTATAAAATAATTGTACAAAATATAAACAAGTATAGATAGATCCGTTTTACGCGCCGAGGAAAAATATTCCTACGCGGGAAGCAAAACTTATTTTCGTTTCAAGGTGCTCCTGGAGATTCAAAGTTTATTTATAGGCGTTCTCCGGCACAACTGTTTGCAATAAAAACAAAGAGAAAAGGCGAACGAGTTAAAAAAGGACATGATAAAACGATAAGAACGCGGGATATGCCAATTTAAAGTTCATTGTCATGCGCATTGCAGGCACGTTATCATTCGCAACGAAAGCATGTATGCATTGTATATATGTATGTAAATACCTTACGAGGAAGTTGCATAGGCGACGAATTATGAAGGGATGCAGTGGTCTCTCGAAGCACTACACGAGTTCCTTCGCGAACAGAACTATTGATACTTCTTGGACTTGACATTCTCATAATATTTTCACAATTATAATCACAAACTTAACAGTTTTATTAAACGCAAGAACTGCAGAACACGACGCGATATTGAATTCAATTGTGAAATGTCTTGTACACAAGTCAAACGGCACTGATAATTCAATGTTAGTATTCACATTGCATGTCGTTCGACATGAACAAAAGACACGGCTTCTTTCAAGCATGTACTCACGTTAAATGTAAATTTTATAACACTACAACACTATACACTAACAATGTAATATTAAAATAAATAAAATGACTGTTTCGTTGAAATTCCTTGTACACGGTTCTCGATATTACTTCCCGTACAATGTTTAGCACACAACCGCTTTCTTAACGGCCGTCTAGCATTTGACAACTTGAATGCAAACGCAACAGCCAATCACGATGCGTTATTGCGTTTCTAGAAGCGCCACCTGTGGCGCCACGTTTCTATTTCTTCTCTGTCGGTAATGTCAGTTTCGACGTTTACTCCATCATCATAAGTTGAGTAATTTACAAATTACACCGCAAAAACTAAGTTTTGGATAGTTTTTATGGTATTTATGGAAAAAATTGGATTGATGATCAGATTTACAAATATTTATTGTCAAATTTTTGATATAAATGTGTATAAACAACAACTGCAGTTCATTCCATCTTTTTTTTTTCAACTTTTAGTACTTGAAAATGTACATATACATAAAAATTCATTCACCTGGCTCGATAACGCATTTTAATAATACGTTGCGTTAAAATAAAGCGAAATATATAAAAAATATTATTCACAATGTTTTCTTTAGCTCAGTACTAATAAAAAACAGTTATTTTTAAGGACACGTTTTGCAGGTATTAATATTGTCTACAGATTTGTGAAAATAATTATTATTAATTGTCCCTAATGTATTAATATAATCTATCATCAAATTTTACTGCATGAATATAATCACAGAAAGTAGCCATGGACTTACATGTAAGTTTACATTCCTCTATTTAAGGCACTTCTTTTAAAAATTCATAATAAAACAAGTAGTATTAAATAAATTCAATGTCACTATGGACATTACTATAGAAAATAGTTAACACCTTGTACTATAAGGCTTACTATTAGATGACAAATATCATTACACAAAGAGAACTTATTTTTTACAGGAAGAACCATATTATTTACGATAACGCAATGTATGCTGCAATTATCGTGCACTCGTGTAATCCCGTACTTAACTCATTGTGCAATTTTACAAAAAGCGAAACTGTTTAAAGTAAGTAATCATATTTCTTGACAAACATGTACATTACTATATTTAATTAAAATCATTCACCAGCAATTAGTAAATGAAATATTGAATTAAAGACTATGAGGTATTTATAAATATTTAATTATGTATATGGGTGCAACTGCGGTGGAGGACGCGATGGTGTGGTAGAATTCTTTTGACTACTAGATGGTGGAGTTAAAAGACTACTTTCATTTGGACTTTGTCTACCAGATTCAATATTAGAATCTGATTCATTTGTGTCAGTAGGAGTTTTATGTACTAATCGTTGATGTGCCCTTTCTAACATATTTAAATCTACAACATGAGTTTGTATGCGATGCGATTCATCCATCACGATGTTAGGCACTGTTGCTTTAAGTCCAGATCCAGAATGAGACTCCAAAGATATTATAGTAGACCTTAAAAGGCACTGAGAATCTTCTTCAGCTGCTGTCATTGCAAAAGGAGTAAGCCATTTGACACAGGGTGCAAGCTGGTCCCATGGAATGCGTGATACTCTCAAGGCACATTCCCTTCCTTGTGTGTGGAAAATTGCTGCTGCAGCAATGTGACTATAAGGAAATTTCAGACTTCCTTCGTCTAATGTAGCCAAATCTAATAGTTGAGCTGCTTGAGAGTATTGTAAACCTCCATATTGTGGGTAAATAAATGCATTTGGCCTTGACCAATCGCCTGATTCAATTTGCATGTATATATTAAGCCAGCCAGGAGCAGTAACTGGGGATAAGTTCCATCCAAGTCCTTTTAAAATCACTAATTCTTTTCCTAAGATTTCTTCTTCTGTGCAGGCTCCATCAGTGACATACGCAAACTCTGCTATTTTGGGTGGATATATTTCTTCAACCTATAAAAAAATTATCAATTATTCATTTAAAAATGCCCAATTAATAAGTGCAAAAAAAGACAATTAAAACATGTACAAACCTTGGCAGCTATAAAAAGGCATGTAATACCTATTAATTGTAATTGATTTTTGGGTACATTTTGATGAATGGACAAATATCTGTCTATGTAATCCATTGCAAGATAATAAGTTTCTCTATGTAGCTTGTACACTTCACAAACTTCAATCAACCAATCTAACAAAATTGCCCGCATTCTTGGTTGTAATGTTGGATGCCTTTGGAACATTTGTGGATTCCTTTGAGTAACAGTCTTTTGATCTCCCATACACATGAGAGACCAGACTTGAGAACCATCAGCCCATGAAAATGATGGTAATGGACTTGGTCTATTTGATACATTTTTAGAAGATGATGGTGTTAAAAAGCATGTTGCAGTTCTCAATTCAGACCATGTGGCTGGCTCTTGTTGCTCTTTCAGAGGTGAAACTTGATGTGGATTGCATGAATTTTCTAAAGGATGTACTGTTTGACATGATTCTGTGTATGATACATGTGATACAGCTGGTATTTTACTAGGCGGATATACATTTTCTGAATCTTCAGAAATCTCTGTTGCCCGCCTTTTGCGTTTTGAAGTTTGTGTTACTACTTTGCCTCCTTGCAAGTAAGTTTGTGATTTTTTCCCATGTAAACTGGATATGGGAAGAAAATGACTTTTTATTGACATTATTATGATGATATAAATGCTTTGTTGTATCAGAAAAGCTCAATGTCTTTGTAAGATGAGTAAAAACATTTTTAAAGGATAAGAGAGAATTAACGTCTTAATTAACGTCTAACATTTTTTTTTTTTGGAGTTATATACATTCTATAAAAATGTTACAACTTAATAAGACAGTTTATAAAGTATTCACAAAACCGTAAAGCAAAAATCCATGCATGTATTATTCACATAATGTTATTACAGTTTTTGAAAAGAAGATGCTGATCAAAGAAGGTTATACACGCATATTTCAGAATTTTTTTTCCAATTAGAAGGCACAGAAAATCATGTACATCAGTTGGACTTATTTCAAATGAATTCCACAAGTTTCTGACAAAATACAGCAACAATTAAATGAAATTTTAAAACTGAAATGAAAACTTGTTCGCTCACCTCGTTTGCGGCATTTTGCTTCGAAATTGTCGACGTGTTCGAAAAATATTCCGGATAGGAACAACTTTTTTTAATACGACTTCGAGTTCTTCGATGTTTTAATTGAACGTCTGCTTAATTGCTACAGCATACGGTCTGTAATCGAACCAGAAACATACGTAAAGTAAAAGAGCGCGCAAAGCTCACACGCACCCGATCGCCATAATGCACGTATACTTGGCTGCGTTTGATTTCGATATTTTATGTCATAACTATCTTCTCGCAATGCATTTCTCAATACAAAAATCTCTCAAAGTCTTTTCCGATATAGTATTGAGCCTCGTGATATCATAGAATGGTAATTCTTCAAAAAAATACGGGACGTGGAACTCGAAGCGCGGGAGACCAGCGCGCGAAACAATGACCAACCCCTGCTTGCAATCTGCCACTGTCACGCCCTCTATATATATAACATAACCTCAAAGGGAAAAAAATTCCCAATTTTCGGTGGACACCTTCTTTGAAGTCCTATTGTTTAATTCCGGTCAATAAACACTATCGCTTTTACATACAAACACTGAATTGAAGGGCTTACACAAGCGTAGCACAACGTTGGCATGCTTTGACAGACGCTGTTCTTATTACGTTTTTGCAAGATAAAATGTCACAGAAGTTTGTAACCGTCACTGTCCATCAACCGTGAGGACTGTATTTTACTCATAAAACGCGGCACGTTCACGTTGAAACGATAAATATTGAGTACAGGCAATTGCACAAATCCAAGAAGTCAGAGCACCCACGCGTTCTGTGCATCTATTTCCCGCTCGATTTTACCACAGCCTTTTCAAAGAATGTGAGAAGATATTATCACACTTGAACGTACTGTCCGCGGTGTAGCTGAAACAGCTGTATAATCATGCAAAAACAGATATATACACACAAAATAACACTGTTGAACGGAGGACAAAAGTTTATGAGTTACTTTCGCGGGAACGCTGAAATCTGTGGTCACCGGTCATGTATTTGAGGCGCTGCTGTGCAATAGTAAAAGCGATTCTTATTGGTCGCCGCGAAGAGCACAGCTGGCGCTCAGCTGATCTGTCGTACACACACAAACGTATATCAATGCACGCATGCACTTACGCCCTGACCACGCGGGAAATGTGCGCGCGTAAATTATTTTTTCCTCAAGACAAAGGCAAAGTCATGACTCGTAGAAATAGGAGTAAATGGTATTTTGTCAGGCACATTCCCGAAATGGATACTACCACTGAGATGTTAATTTCGATCTGTATCTTCATATGTATGAATTTTGTACTTAACTGAATTTGAAGTATAAGATTTATATTTTAGTATAAAGAAACATCTGCATCTAATCTAAGTATGATCACAAACAAAATATAGCATAGATCTAACGCATTATAGAATTTTGTTATACATAAAGATTAATCGCGAAAGATTAATTATTTTACGCCATCTACGATTCAGAATAGTAATATTTAACCATACTATATTCAACCACAAACAAAGCAAAGAACAGATCTATCATCCAAAACATTTTTTTATCTCGTGTGTCAAGTACTCCTAGAGCTCCTTTATCATATTGATGTCATTTCCACCATTACCGATTAAGTGCAGAAGTACAACATTAACAGCAGTTGTAAATTTATTTCTGTCGGTACACTTTTAGGCCTGCTCTTTTTTATCAATTGATACCATAGTTTTTCGTAGTAACTCATATACAGCGCTCTATTTGCACGTATAATTTTAAAAATCAGTTGGTTATCTACCTTACATATTTTCAATGCCATTCCTGTATATTTTTAAATACTTGTCATTTATTTTGTAACATAAGAAATAATAATTGAAAGATATATTGTACTACAATTAAACATAATGGATCCATTTTTATCATTTTTATACAATTAAATTATAGCTTTCAGTAGGTATAGTAGTATTTAAAATTCTATATTAAAATAATATAGAATTAATATCAAATTAGTCTATATTTAAAATAATATTTTATTATTAAGCTTTCTTTTTATTCATATATTGAAATTTATATATATATAATATTATAATCTGTATATACATTTGTGTGTGGGTTCCATGCTTATAAAATCCGACACTGTGCTTGGTAGAGAATATTGATAATCAGTTGGCAATCCTCAGTGATAATGTCACCGTAGCATGGGGTACTTGACCGAAGTAGACAGCCCTGGTTTTCTGGAAATCGTCAGTGGTCCGGGGCCATTAAACGCGTTATATGTGTATTGCAATTTGATCTCGTAGCGCTTGGTTGGAGAGTAATTTACACGAATTCCTGGGCATCCGGGTCTCCGCAGGTGGGCCACCAGGGTATCTTTTCACGTTTGTTTTCTTCAGCGTTGCAGCAATTGGTATATCGTTTCATTATTTGCTAAACATTCAAGACCTGTCACACCGAACATCTTAGAAAAACAATCTTTGCTAACATTATTCCATTGACTTTAGCTACGTGTATAATTAAAATTTTCCTACTCCATCTGTTCGTTTCTTTCGTTCTATGATCGATTAATCATCGATCTCAATATTGGGACAAAAGTTTTACCTGTACTATATCAATAAACATTTTTTTTAATCCAAAGTTTTTTTTATTTAGTCTGCTCAGTCAAGATCACTTTAATCACTTTTATAGGAGACGTAAATGTACGTGAGTTTTTAAGAGGTGATGCAGGGCATAATGCCAGTTAAAACAAAATCTCGAATTCCTGAAAATATGGGTATCACAGGTGGATTAGTAGATGCTAGGGATAAACAAGTATTAAAAGAAGCTGTGGAAGCAGTCGTCAACAGCTTTGCTAAACATACTCAAGGCTATGGAAGAGGTATAATTACATTTTCTTTTTGTCTTTCTATTTGATATTAAAGTTACATATATTAATTACATATATATTACCTTATCTTTTCTTATAGTAAATGTAGTAGAAGCTTTGCAAGAATTTTGGCAAATGAAACAAAGTAGAGGAACTGAGCTAAGAAATGGAGCATTAGTTATTTATGAATCTGTACCTGGCACCAGCCCACCTTATGTGTGTTATGTAACTCTTCCTGGAGGATCTTGCTTTGGTAGTTTTCAGAATTGTCCCACTAAAGCAGAGGCTCGCAGATCAGCAGCAAAAATTGCTCTGATGAATTCTGTTTTCAATGAACATCCAGCACGTAAAATAACAGATGATTTCATAGAAAAAGCTGTTGCAGAAGCAAGAGCTAGCTTTGCTAAGCCTTCTGCAACTTCGAACAGTAATCAAACACAGGTATGTTTTGAATTTGATCTGAGTATATTTGTTATTATAAGAATTATATTAAATGAATTATTTAATTTTCAGGGAAGTGGAGATGAGAAAGAAGATCCAAATACAGGTATCGGAGCATTTCGTTTTATGTTAGAATGTAATCGTGGAAGGACTATGTTAGAATTTCAAGAATTAATGACAGTCTTTCAATTACTTCATTGGAATGGATCTTTGAAAGCAATGAGAGAAAGACAATGTAGCAGACAGGAAGTAGTTGCTCATTATAGTCATCGAGCTTTAGATGATGATATGCGTAGTCAAATGGCATTGGATTGGGTAGCAAGAGAACATGAAAGCGGTGGCGGCGTTGTTGCTATGGAATTGGCATTGGCTGAGAGAGAACTCGAAGCAGCACGTCTAGCTGGAAGAGAACTTAGATTTCCTAAAGAAAAAAAAGATATATTAATGCTTGCACATGCTCAAGTATGCCCTCAGTGATTTCTACAGAGTGAATGTGCATTTTACACGCAAAAAAAGATATAAAACTGGTTTTACAAAAGCTGGTATTAGGGGAATATTCATTTTTTAATGACATGCAATATCACTGTATTGTGAAATGCTTTATTGTTGTCTAGCATTGAGACACATAATCCGTCCTTTTTTTTATAAAGTATTTTTGGTGATAATAGAATATTAATGAAATTATAAATTTAATGTATTTTTAAGAATATATTAAATGTGAGACTGCCATTATAAACTGCGATAGAAAGATACAGGACAAATTGTTCAAATCAAAATTAATTATTAATTGTATATAGACATATTTTGATACAAAATCTTGTCTTCCATTACAGCAGTTTAAGTCGTCCCCTCTATAATTAATAGCATTACATATGTTCAGCACATAGCGAGAATGCTTGGTGATATACTATTTGCCTGAATAATATCAAAGAAATATGGTTTTTTTTATCAAAACATTAATTCATATGTTTGTCATTCATGAAATCATCATTCTACGTTATATATTTACATGATATTTACAAAATATGGGCACATTTACTGTGTTTACTAAATACAGTTATATACATGATATAAATTGTGTTAAAAATATTTTATTACTTTTTTTAAATATTGATTAATACATGTTTTAATAAAATTATATAATTTTAAGCACATGTGTTCTTTAACCCTAATATTAAGGTTGGGTGGTAACTTCAAGAGTAACTTCTTTCAAGGTTCTTTCTTTTAAGTTTGTACTTTCTACTTTTTCTTCTTCTTGCATCGGTTGACATAATATCTTATCTATAATTCCAAATTCCTTTGCTTCGGTGGGACTCATAAAATTATCCCTTTCCATGCAACGTTCTATAAAATTATAACGTATTATAAACATACATTTAACATAATTTTGCAAATTGACATACCTATTTTTTCCAGGTCTAGGCCTGTGTGTTTGACATATAGACGATTGATTTGCTTTTTGAGCTTTAATATTTCTAGGGCTTGTATTTGTATATCAGTAGCTTGACCAAATACACCTCCTGATGGTTGATGTGTCATAATTCTTGCATTAGGCAACGAATGACGCATACCGTTTGTTCCTGCAGCTAATAATAAACTTGCCATTGAGCATGCTTGTCCTACACACCATGTTGCAACAGGAGGTAGAACATATTGCATAGTATCATATATACCGAGCCCTGCAGTTACACTTCCACCAGGTGAATTAATATACATATGAATTGGATTTTTACTATTCTCAGATTGAAGAAATAGAAGTTGAGCTATCACTACTGAAGACACATTATCTGTAATCTATAAAATAATATACTCTTGATACTCTTAATTTTTTAACTTAAAATTTAATGATAGATGAAGAATTCTGGTAGAGTATAAATGTAATTAAGAGGAAGATGATACGTACTGGGCCCATTAGACATATAATCCTTTCTTTTAAGAGACGTGAATAAATGTCATATGCACGTTCTCCTCTACCACTTTGTTCAACAACAACAGGTATGAAATTTAGATATCTGTTGCTTGTTTTTTGACCAGAACTCTGTAAATTTTAAATATGCTGATATAGATTAAATTTTTGATAATATAAGAACGAAGAAATAAATATCACAAAAATATATTGTTATAAATACTTACAAAAATTTGTAGCAAGTTTACTCTCCTTAACAACATTTTAACAATTCCACGTTTATTATTTTCATTAAACTCGGATTACTGTAAACAATATTTTGTATAAACTAATCAGCAGTTTACGAAATTTTAATTAAGAAAATAAAGAATAAAACATAACCTAAATAAAAGATTTATTATCACAACTGATTAAACGATATAAAAAAAATTCATTGCATTAATTACATGAATTATATCATAATTAAAATTAACTAATCCAAATATTTCATTCTTCGTACTCTGGTTTTTGGACTTGTTTCGTTGTAGGTTATATTTTATTTTTTTAATTTAATTTTTTTTTATACGAGCAAATATTTAATATATTCCATTTTTATCTTCGATTTTCTATTTAAACAAATCAGTTAATTCAATTACAAAGAATTTTTTATGAAATGGCTGTCGAAACTAACTTGATTCAAGTGCGATGTAAATAGGGCATTTCTTTATACAATGTGTTTCACTTATTTGCATTCTAAGAACTTTTATAGAACTGATTAACTGATTGCGTATAAAATATTACGTTTATAACATATGATAACATAATTCTTCATACGTATATGTATATTTAATGTAGTACATGTAAATGTATCTTTAATTTTTTGTTATTAGCTAAGTTTGATGTGTACTTTAATGTAAGCAGTTTAACAAAATTGAAGTACATTTAATAGAAATTTATTTTTTACGAAGTATTACAGTTAAATAACTTTTATTATAGTAAATAATTTACAAATTGTCGCAAACTTCTATTCGCAATATTATCAACATCATTAATATTTATTGGTTAGTAAAATCAATTCTACCTTATCACCTCAATTGAGGTTAACTTTATCTTTTTGGCATAGAATTTTTATTTTTTAAATTTATACATGTAAAATATTTTTACAGGAACAATGAACCTATATTCGTTATTCAAGACTAGCTGTCAAACAATAAAATGTGCAACAAGTCTAAGATTATCATCAGCAGGACAATTCACAAAAATTATAAATCGTAATATGCATCATTTATTTGATAAACAATATTCAAATAATTTAGCAAATGTACATAAGAGCAAAATTAGTTCAATATTACTACAACCATTATTACCAATCTATAATATTGTGTGTGGCTTGAAAATGAAAACTGTGTTAAGACGAAGATGTAAATATTGTATACTAATGTGGAGGAATGATAGGGCATACATAAAATGTAAGGCAAAACCAAGGCACAATCAAGTGGAAAGAAAGAAAAAGGAGTATAAAACATGGATAGTAACATATGGTACGCAAACTAAAGTAAGAGAGTGGTAGAACATTATATAAAATAGATATTATTAGAATTGTATTTTAAAATAAAATTATTCTAAGATAAAAATTTATATCTATTTTATATTCCTTATAATATAATAAATTTCTAATTGACATACATATTTGACATGTTTATGATATTTTGTATATTAATAATAAGCAAGTAAAATTGCTTACATAGTACATGGTATTCTACGGTATACTAAAAAATGTATTTAACATTTTCATATGCTAAATGCTGAAAACAATAATATTGTTATTTTTCACTTTTTTTTTTGTATTGTGCTATGTTTATTAGTTAAAAAACATATCTTACTATAAGGAAGACAAAAAAAAGCGCAGATATTACACAGTGTATAGATAATATTTATTATAATAACATAGATGAGGTATATGTTTCGAGAATTATTTATTGAATTGAACATGGTGGTACTTCATCCCTGAAGGAATATAACGATTTAAAACAGCGATTGATGGAAATTGGGATGAAAAATTTATTATATATTTAATTATTTACATCTATTTAAAAGTATTAGAAAGAAACTGACTGAAACATATGTTTTAACAACATTTAATTAGATATGAATTAGATATGACGTTTTTTACTCAATTTAATATACTTCAGAGACTGAATGAATCCTGCAAACTCGATATTATAAAAGGTTGGACGTACATATCAAAGAGAAATGTTTCTATGTTGTTTGGTATAAAGTTATAGTGTGTGGTATAAATTATTTTTTGCAGACCGTCTGATTTTTTAAATTTTGAAGTCAAATTCATTTTCTTAAATAAGATGGTTATTTCTTAAGACGAATTCAGTGATTTACATACGAGTGTATTTATTATTATAACTTGTTAAAAATTAATGAATTATTGTTTAAAGTTCAGTAAAATGGCGTAAAATATGGCCATAGCCATAGCTAGTATAGCTAGTTTGTCACTTAGTAACGGAAGATTTCAATTTTCATGATTGATCTGATCATGAAAAGAAAAATTGTTCAATGATGGAAACTTCTCTTTAGCACGACATTTGAATTTTTACAATATTCGAAAATTATTCACTTTTACATTTGTTGCATAATGTAAAAATCAATATCTTTGAAAAAAATGGATTCAGGATTATTAAAGTAGAGACTGCATTTTAAAATAAAATCAAGTTAATTGTTCTACCATTTTTTGCATGAAATTATAACAGTTTAAAGTATTAATAATTTTTCATCCAATGTATGAATATTTTCGTGCTTTTCTAAGAATTTTTCATGAATTTTGTGTATTTGATATAGACCAAAGATTTTTATTTTTTATTTCGAGTTAACATTTCGTGCGGTTTAAATTAGTTAAAGATTATAGCGCCAACGGTAAAATACTTGCTACGATTCTCAACCATAATCAATAGGATCGATTTTTAAGCGGGAACATGGCGGAAAGAAGCACACCTCGTAAAGGAGAAAATATTGTCCAGAAGAATCATTTAGAAGTTTTCCGGTAAAAATCAATATCTGTTAAATTTGTGTTGTGAATTTTTAAGATAAAATTTGCACTTTTGGCCTGAACTCATCGAAATCTGTCAGATTACCAAAAACAGTGCATAATTTTCAGTAAAGTTTAACCAAATAAATAATTACACACGATTTTCAACAAGAAATAATAGTACATAAACATTCAAACAGAACATACTATGATAGTTATTTATAATTTTATACCAAAATTTAATTTCATTTCTAACCAATACAAATATTATGACTTTGTAATATGACTAACTTTTTATATATATAATATGCTTTTATTTCTATTGTAACATTTTGTATTCATTTATTGGTTTCTTAATCTTATACTGCGTAATTAACAATTCCAATACTAAATTCAACAATAATTTATTAAGAATGTACGTATTTAATGGCTAAAATAATAATTCTACTGCGTAATATAATAACATTTCTCATGTCTCAGTTTAAAGTATTGACAATTTTTCATGAAATATGTGAATATTTTCGTTTTTTTTAAAGAATTTCTCATGAATTTTGTATATTTGATTTAGATCATAGTTTTTCATTTTTTATTTTAAGTTATCATTTCCTGTGAGACGAGCGATTACAGCGCTACGACACGGTGAAATACGGAAATACACTTTCTACAATTCTTGAATCATGATCGATATTTCTCACGATTTTTGAACGGGAAACATGGCGAAAAGGAGCACGTCTCATCCGTAAAGAAGAAAGAATATTATCCGTAATATTATCCAGAAGAATCATTCAGAAAGAAGTATTATCCAAAAGTTCTCAGGTAAATATATAAATCAATAATTGTTGAATTTGTGTTTGTATTGTGAATTTTTAAAATAAAATGTGCATTTTTGACTTCAATTCAAGGTAAGGTTTAACCATAATTATTACATACAATTTTCAAGAATTAAAGAAATAATAGCATATAAAGATTTAAACAGAATATACCATGTTAAAATTATTTACAATTTTATATCAAAATTTAATTTCAATTCTAACCAGCAAATATTGTAATATATAATATATAACCTTGTAATATGACTTTTTATTATATCTATATAATATTATTTATATTATATAATTTTATTACATGTATATACTATGCTTTTATTGTAACATTTTCTATTTATTTGTTGATTTTTTAACCTCATCTATAATTCTTAACAATTCCAATACTAAATTCAACAATAATTTAGTTAGGATATACGTATTTAATAACAAATAATAGTTCTGCTGCGTAATATAATAAAATTTTTCATGTCCCAGTTTGAAGTATTAACAATCTTTTATCAAGTATGTGAATATTTTCGTTTTTTTTAAAGAATTTCTCATGAATTTTGCATATTTGATTTAGACTAGAGTTTTCTATTTATTTCCTTTTCCCAGTGATCATTTCGTGTCAATGAGCGACTATAGCGCCAACGGAGAAGTACGCAATACACTTCCTACGATTCTCGAATATATCGATATTTCTCACGATCGATTTTTGAACGGGAAACATGGCGGAAAGGAACACGTTTCATCTGTAAAGAAGAACGGTTTATCCAGAAGAACCATTAGAAAGAAGTGTTATCCAAAAGTTCTCAAGTAAAAGTATAAATCAATAATTGTTGGATTTTTGTTTGTATTGTGAATTTTTAAAATAAAATGTGCATTTTTTGGTTTCAACTCAAGGTAAGATTTAATCCAATAATTATACATATAATTTTTAACAATCAAAGAAATAATAGCATATAAACATTTAAATAGAACATACTATACTAAAAGTTATTTATAATTTTATACTAAAATTTAATTTCGATTCTAACCAGTAAAAATATTGTAACCTTGTAATTGACTAACTCATTATATATGTATATACACGTATTTTATCATATGCCTCTACACACACACTTTTATTATAACATTTTCTACTTTTGTTAATTCTTTAACTTCATACTGTGTAATTCTTAACAATTTTAATACCAAATTCAACAATAATTTATTAAAAATGTACGTATTAGCTAAATTCCCAAATTCTCATTTCCCAAACAAAGTAAAGCGTAAAAGGTCTTGAAGGCCTCGAAGGCCTTCAAAACAACAACACGGAAATCTTGTTCGTTCAGGTTTGCCCATCCCCTACTACTTTCTCAATAGCAGAACGAGATGTATCACGGGGAGTGATTCGGTTTTTGAATTTCGTGATAATAACACGTATTACATCGCATTAGATTCGCAACTTCCCTAATCGGTGGCGTCCCTTCGATATTTTTACATATTTGCTTTCATTTGATATATTTGTTGTAACTTTTGATTTCTTTTTGTGCAGGTTATTCCTTGATTGCAAAAATAGCATGGAATGCATGGACATCACAATCATTAATGAACAATCATTGATGAACTTTCACGGAAAGTTGGTAACATTTTACTCATTCTAGGTAACATTTGCTATATAATTTATATATATTTAAAATATAATTCACAATATGTTATTCGTAATTATTTGGAATACAAAGATGAAAATGGAAAAGATTAAATTAATTAATATTTTATTTCGAATGTGGAAATCATATCTTAATGGTATATACTTTCAAATGGATATATATTCTTGTATTAGATTATTAAATTCAAAGTTTTTGTATTTTACTCTCTTATACTTTGCTACAATTGCTTTAATTATTTTTTAGATAGTTTCTTCAATCATTTTCTAGAAAAATTGTAGTATTTTTTAAATGAACGTACTATTTGCCCTTCCCCTTCTAATCAGTTTTATTTTCAGAAAATTTTTATGACCGCGCGCAATGCGGTCGGTAGAGCCAGTGTTTGTGGCGCAGTATTTTAATATTTTTCTAAAAGCAAAATGACTGTTATTAAAATAGAATATTAATTAATTTAAATTATAATTCGCGAAGTTAGAGTCAGTGAGTTCGCCGATTATTACTTAAATGCGCGTTGACAGTCTTTTATTTTTTTTTTTTGTATTTTTTCTTGTTCAGTGTTCGTTTTCGGTACATTAGAGTCAAAGTGCTCAAGAAGATAAGGCCTCTTCTGGAGATCAAGATCGTAAGTTATATATTGTACTTTAATTTACTTAATTTTTCAAATTTGACAACAAAGTATAATGTTGGATGTTTTGTTACAGACGTTTCACAGCATCAACTTTTTGATATATTTTGGGGAAAATTCAACAGTGGTTCCAAAGCCAAGAATGTAAGTATCTCTCATTATTTCCAACTTAAGATTTTGCTTTGCTTTTAAACATAAATTCTAATGTTTAGTGTTTTGTTACAGATTATCTACAATCTCCCTTTCCGCTAATCTTTTAAGGATCTTATGCTGCTTCAAAAGCTAAAAATGTAAGTACTTTAGCATGTTGTATTTGAATTTTATTCTCTATAGTACTTTTTCTAAAAACACTTCAAATTAATCCGAATTTTTATCATTATTAAAATTTAAATTTTCACAAATAACACTGTGTCTTTAGAAACAAAATATTTTATGTTTTTCAGGAAATTTTTCACGTCATTCACCATCGGTATCTACTTGATGAGGGTCTTCACGATAACTTTCCTTAATCTAGTGCAACATCGATGATAACGTTCTTCACTTCTGTCGCGTGAGTCGCATGCATTTATGTTCCTCCGGTCACTCAATCATGTCGTAGGACGAAAGGTCCGAATCGGCACGGGTGACTGGTTGTATACGTAGAATTTTTGATGAGCATAGTGACCGCGGTATTTTTTATAGCCGTGAGTAGTAACATTTTTTCAGATTTTTTATGTATTAGATCAGGATAGGACACTTCTTGCACATCGCGATTTTAACAATTAAATTTGTAGTAATTACTTGTAAAATCAAAATATCTTCAATATAAATATTTGTAAGGATAAAAATATATCTTCAATGTAAATATTTGTAAAGATAATATGTATATGAATATTCATATGAATATATAAATTATAAATAATTATTATTAAAATGATTTCGCTTGTACATTCCATAGTAGAGAAGACGGATACCCTCCGACTTCGTTGCTATGAAAGATTTATTACTTATTAATATTGATGATATATTTTGTTATAATAATTAATAATTAATAATTTTCAATTTCATTTTTTTTTAATAATCGTATTAAATGTAATTAAATATAATTATGAACTTCGGTAGAATTTAAAATATAATAGATTAGAATTTTTCCCGCAGGAAAACGTATGAAATTTTATGTGCAAGAAGATAGTTCGCGAAAGGTAGATTTTTGAATCAAAGCAATAAGTTTGATCACTGCTTTCACATTTTCGAAAATGTGCTTTGATGAAGAAGTCGCCTGAGATTATTTCCATTAACATTAAATTTAGAGTCAATTGATTTTGATTGTTTGAGTCAATTATTAAATTTTATATTTTTTTTAATAAATTCAATTCTTTGTCTTTAATCTCTTGCAATTTCAATAATTTCTGAAAGAGTAGAGTTATTATAGAGTTTAAAATAAAATAATGCAATAGTCCGTTAAATACAAATTACATAAACTAATTATTTTTTTTAGTTTAGGATTTTCAGGTTTAATCCCTTCCGTGTTCATTGTCAGGATCTCACTCACGTGCCCAGGTGCTGCTTGGGTGGGTGAAAGACATTGGGCATGATGACCATAGTTTGTAATTTTATAAAAAATTTCTCAGCGACTGACAGTATGTTAGCGTATCGTGCACGACGTATTTTCCACATGTGTGTGTTGGTTAGGATGTGGAATTGCGTCGTTTTTATTGTATTTCATTTATCATAAGTTGTAATATTTAAAATATTTACGCACTAATTTGAAATATGAATTTATTATAATAATACTCATTAAATGCATTCTAATTATATTGTTAGTTATACGATCAATTATAGTAATGATTCCAAGTTAACTTGCACATGTAATTTCTATGAAAATTATATATATTTTTTATCAGTTATTACATATATCTCACATATAGCTGTAAACTTGTTTTGAGTCACGTTTTACGCAATGGTCGCTTGCCATTGTCAGTCGATTTCAGGAAATGGTACGTAAATTAGAGTGTGAAAGTTGCGTGTTAAACTCGGGTGTCGGAGGCGTCCCGGGACGTCCTCTCTAGTTTAGGTCTCTGCGCCCGAGTGGTATGCGTGAGAACCGTGGAGTGAATGTGTTGGTGTGTCTGTCTTTTGCCATTTTTAAATATAGGGCGATTGTTAGGATAGGTAACTTACTTTCTGGTATGCCTGTGTTTAATTATAAGTAGGTAGGGCCGGGCAGGTTGGCACAGTCTCTGGTCGCGTGTCCTCTTTTCGCGTGTCCAACCTGTTTCAGGAAATCTAATTTGAAAAATCGACAGTGAAATTGGTACAAATNCGGATAGGTCGCGAATAGGTCCCGAAACGAACGTTTATGTAGGTATTGCTCGAGCACGCACATGCGAACGGACAACGATCATTATGATCGATGGTCGTCCATGTGTATTCAGGTCAGCTTCCGCGGTTTATCTTTTCATTTCACCTTTATAAGTTATTTTTTAGTTTGCGATTAGAAAGACTCGAGCTAGACGTAAGTTTCAGCGAGCATTGCGCTCGAAGAAAAGAAGAGGCTAGAAGCCGAAGAGACCTGGCAAACTGCCACGAAGAGGGTCACAACAAATGGTTTCTCATCCTCTGGATCATTTAAATGATTCCAGAGCATGGGAGATCATTCTCGTTACTACTTTGTCACTATGCTCTAGTATTTGTAGTTGTATTTTTTTTTCTTCTCCATCATTCATCATCGTTTTGGGCAAATCGCGATTTTTCTTGTTAATGTTGCGAAAGATTGATTACGGTTTAAATTAGAGTTGCAAAGAAATGATAATTGTGTTTGCTTTACAGTTTGCGAATTGTTTTTTGCATTTTGATTTGAATTTTTATAGTTATTTAGTGTAAAATTTATCTTGCTTTCTATTGTTTTAAACTAAATTATAGAGTCATTGGTTTTAGAGTTGGAATATTTGAACTAGCTTTCTGTTCAGTTTTGCATTATTCGTCGTAATTTTCGTTGAATTTAATTTTAGAGTTAGTGTTGCGATATTATTTTATCGCGATTTTCAGTTACTTTTACTCTTAGTATTGTGATCGTTCCAATTAGTTTTTCTCTTAGTGTTGCGATAATGAATAATCGCGTTTCTTGAAGTAGCGTTGCGTTTACAAAATGCCCAAATTCTTCCACTGGATTCGTGGAAGTCTGCTTTTGCTCCTGAATCACCTGATGCAGCTACAAGAGCTGTACAGAGCTGGTAGTTCATCAACAACCTCCAGCATGGTTGCACTAGGCGTGTAGTAATTAGTGTTACGCATTTGTAAACACGAGTGCATAGTTTAATAGCGTTTCGTACGTATTTCCGGGAGTTTGAAATATGACGAAGCACTCTTAGCGTTTGATTTTGAAAATTTCCTATTTCACAATTAATGCTAGTGAATTAGTGTTACGAAAACAAGATACAGTTTGTTCCTCGGATTCGTAATGTAAATAATTGTATAGTAGCCCTTCTGGTTATTGTATTGTAGAGTAGCAAATGCTTGTTTTTTAATAGCCCTTCTGGCTATTGTATCGCGGTTTCTTTTTTAGTAGTCTAGCCCTTCTGGCTATTCATTTGCTTTTTTTTCCAAATGTCGGGACTGTTTTAGTGGTGTGGAATTTTTGTGTTAAGTTTTTTAAACTAATAATCCAAAAAATAAGTATGTTACAGATTTATCAATGGATCTATGTGGGTGGATAAAAGATGGACTAACATGGATTGTGGAATTTAAACGGAGTGATGCCTGGATCCTGCCTAATGGTAATTAAATTTATTTCACAAATGTTTCTGACGTTAACGGAAAAGGAAATTATATATAAAATGCACTAAATGTAGAAAATTCGATGAAATATCCAAAACGGAATGCTCGTTACAAGATGACCGAAATAAATAAATAAATTTCTGCTAAAATTCTATTTTTCTAATTCTATTTTAGAGAGATATAAATTTGTAGAAAACATTCGCACTCTAGCAAGTCTTTATAGTTACATTGATTTATTTGATTAATGAAATCGTCTAGCGATTTCTGATTGACAATATTTGATTTGGATTCGGGGTAAATTTACTTTCATTTATTGTTGAAACTTTCGTTTCTTAAAATACTTGGTAGGGACTTAACGTTTGAGGGATATGCTAAAATAATATATAATAATAAAATAATAAGTTTTAGAACTTTATTATAAATTTAATATATTTACATATATGAAAGTGTAAGTGATTTCATGTGTCAGGTGTGTAAAATAAAGTGAGAAAAGTATTGTAATAAAATATTTAAATATTACAATGAAAATTTCAGACTCTTTTTATAAAATAATTAAATTGATAGTACCTTTTAGAATATTGGCTTATTTTGAAATACGAATCACTTTATTTACCTTGATATTACATTTATTTTATTATATTCATTATAATAATTCAAATTAAGAATAAAATGTGCTTAAAGAATATATTTCGGTAGGGGAAAAGTAAAAATGATCATATTAGAATTATTTACATTGATTTCGTCCCATTTATCTAACATTTCATTTTCTGAGATTTCTCTCCATTTATCTGTATGTAGAGAAGAGATTCCACCTGACCAAGCCTAGAAATGTTTTAAAATTTTACTTTTTTGTACGTAAAATATAAGGAACATGATAAAAAAAAGATATAAAGAAGATAGGTGATAAAAAAAGATATAAAGAAGATAGGTGGTAAAAAAAAAGATATAAAGAAAATGGGTAATTGATTTCTACATAGAATATTTTTACTTTGATAAAACCTTTTCACAATGTAGCGCCCACGTGTAAATCATTTTGTTCTCCATCTTTTTACATACTGTCTGTAACTTTTTTAAAAGTTTCATTGCCACATTTACTTGTGATCTTATCATCCAGTAATATGCTTTCAGTAACATATATCTGTGATAATACCAAATATTTCTTTTAGATATCAGAATTTAATCATTTAGAATTGAATCTATAAACTAAAGTACCTAGGAATTGTAATTTCAACAATCTTGCACATTTTCTTTGCATCTTTGATTATACTTTTAATCTCCATCATTGTGACAGCTGCATCAGCATTTCTACTATTTAATTTATGTACTATACATATGAAACTTTGATAAATTATCATAGAATTTTGTCTTGAGTTAAAATAGAGAAACTAAAATAGAAGAATGTGTACCATAAAGAATTAGTAGACCTTCAAGTTTCTTCAACGAAGTAATTGTTGCTGCTACTATATGCTCATCCGTTACATTAGTGCTCTCAACCTTTCTACCACTCCATACTTTTGCAGCTTCCCATTCTTCAGTTCTGATACACCTTGAATATCATAGATTATTGTGCTGATGTGACAATAACAGTGATGTTAATCACATATCTTTCAGTTTCCTATAAAAATTGAAACGAAAATTTTACTACATACCATAGCCACATAGATGTAAAATATCGTCTTTCCGCTTCTGGATCGTGTAAACTGATCATCTGTTCGCCTTCCTGAAGAAAATATTGTTCGCAAGCTTGGAACGAGAGTATCGTTATTCCAGTATCTAAATGAACGTCAGCGCAAAGCGCATAGTACCAAGTACGTCCAGATTTCTCCAAATCATGATGAGATACAAACTCTGCAGTTATACAAGGCATTTTATTAAGAGTATCGTCAATTAAAATTAGATAGTTTATTACCCAATTCCCTTAATTGAGTAACCACTTCTGAATGTCGGCAAGAGATCATTAGCAAGTGAGCTAATCGTGGTAGTATAAGCAGCTTCAAAAACGTGGATCCGATCGTATTGGCCATTCTGTAACAAATGAAACCAATCTGGATAGCTTTCGAGATCTGTCCCTTTAGCCAGCGAGAAAAGAATATTCCTGCGTAAAATTCAGCGATCACATTCAATTCTTGAGATTCAAGTGCTTCTTTTTTTTCGTTGCAAATATTGATACCTCTCTGTTCCAAGTAAGGAATGAGGTATCTGTAAAATTATATTACAGTTGTGTCACAATATCGAATGTTTGATCATAATCTAAAAGTACTTACCTCTCTTGATACATGTGTGCTGTGATTATCATGTTGGTGTATGCTGTGCAGAGAACATGCAAATCTTTCTTAGAATCCAAAGCTGCATTTAAACCCCAAATTGCTGCTAAACGAGCGTGTTTCTTCATCCCTTTAAACTGTACAAAATAGTGTGAATGTTCTACGTTCAAATAATTCCAATTCCAGTTAATTACCCTGAAGAGATCGAACATTCGTGCCAAGCATTCTGATAATTGTTTTGTATAATCCACGTCGTCCCCCTCGATATTGGTTTTAAGTTCTGTATCATTGAAACAAATCAATTTTAATTTCAAGTTCACTAATTGCACGGTCGAATTCAGATCAATCATCATTTCTAGCTTTGGAAATTTGTATCCTAAACTGTTCAATGCCATTTCAAAGGTTTCTTCAGCTTCAAAAATGGAGCCGCTTTCGAGAAAACATTGCCCCTGAAGGGTTTGTATCTTCGCAGTGAGATAAGGCAAAAGAACCATTTCGTCTTCGTCCGACTCGAATAGCTTCAAGTATTACACATATTAGGTCAAATGGATATCCAATTTTTAGAAAAAAAAGTTTCTTTTTTATACTTTTTTTAGAACAGTCTCGCTCTCAGATAGAAGCTTTCGAGCTTGCGGTATGTTACAAGCAAGCAAGCAAATCTCTACAAACTCTAGAAGAGCAGTCAGCGTCAGTTCCATTTTTCCTGAAATATTAAATTTAGATTTGAATTATGTTACGCTAAATTATAATTGCTAATTCGGCGAATTAATTAATTAATTAATTAATCGAGGAAAATATTTACCAATGCCACGACAGTGATCGAGTATTTGAATATAGACTGTCATCAATATTAGATCGCACAAGCAGTTTGAAAAATCCACGTTTGAAAATGTTAGCGTCGGCTTCTTCTCGATACTCCGAAACAAATTCAGACAAGAAACTTTCAATTTACTTTTTTTCCTTTCCTCGGTGACATCTACATCGTTATATTCTACGTTGAGAATTTCTTCTATGTCTGTCAGTCTTCTCTTTAGTTCCTTTGGTACCTCATTTTTGGTAGCGTCTACATCTTTATGTGCCATGTCAAACGTTTTATTTATGTCTGTCAGTTTTTTCCTTCTTTCTTCTTTCTTCGGCACTTTTCCCAATAATTTTGCAAATTGACCTTGCCCGCAATAAACGCAACGTCTTGTATACTGTTGCAGATATTTCAATGCCTGGTTGTGCAATTCTATCTTCTGATTTTCTGTAAGCAATCTTCATGGACATATTTTTAAATACAGTTATAGTTTTACTTTGTTTTTTTTTTTTTTTTTTTTTTGGAACTACAAACTTTCAAGTAGTATCGTTGAGTTATAAATGACTTTAGTAATTACAAAAATTCAGGATTTAATTTTATTTTGTATTTTAAATTCTCGAGTGAACGTTCGGTTTTAGTTTAATATCGTTTTACTTCAATTGATAAATTAATAAATGGAAATAAAATTTCCCAGTATTAGAAACATCGTGAAATATTGAAGAATTATATAAATCATCAAATAATTTTATTTTAAAATTGGTTTACTTTAAAGGTTAAAAATGCTAAAATTAACTTGTAATCTAAAACCCCTAATTAACTTGTAATTATTACGGTCCCTAATGATACCACTTAAGAATTAATATTTGTACAGTTTTAATTAATTAAACATACTGATAAGTGGTATTACGAAACATGGACATCTTAAATCTCATAAAGCCACACGAAGCGTATCTTGGTAGGTCTGCCAGCTCATCTAAGAAAATATACCTTTTCGGTTGTTTAAGTCAACTATATGTGTGTTTGATTAATATATATTTTCTTTGTTAATTAATACCTGGAATATGGAGACCAATACACTTGCAGAAGAGGTCCATTTCTGAAATATGATTTTGCACGTTTCTGATAAGTATTATAGGGCCTGTATTTTTGGTAAAGTCCCCGACTGCACACCCAAAGACTCGTATTTCAAAGAGTTTCGTAACAACTGACAAATTACATAGCTCAAAGTAGTCAGTTAGACATTATCGCACGTAAATAATAGGCGTGTTTTACCAAGTGCGATTTCTCTTTTAGAGGTGCCGAACATTAAACTTTCTAGCATGTGTCTGTTTATTGTTTCTCCGATGACAGAGGCATACTTCAAGAGAAGCTGATCAAGAGGTGTCAGCGAATCAAATAGCTTCAATATCATAACTTTAATAACGAGATATTTTCTGTTATTTATCAGTATAGTAGATGAATTATACTGCTAATAGATAAATTATTTTTTAACCATCCATTGTAATTTCGGGTTCTATGTCCTCGAATGTGAAACTCTCGGAAATATTACAAACCGCGATCATGGTCTCGTCGTCTTCGTTGTCGAGAAAGTGTGGTTTGTGTATGCCGCTTATACTTTTCTCCAATAATGATATTGCACTGTCCTGAAACAAAATATTGCTGTTCTCTTTAATGTAAACGATTCTTTGACTAAAAAGGAAAAAACGTACTTTGAAGCTTGTTCTGTATATCTGCCACTTGTCGTTACGATTATTGTGATTAATTACGGTTTCATTCGTTAGGTCTGCAGAATATCTGATTTTAAATTTCGTCGAATTAGTATTTGTCCATTACGTTTTTATAAATATGTTTTTTTGTTCAGTAAACCTTTTTAACATATGTGTAGGAGGGAGCACATAGCCCTTTATTCTCGCTTCCTTTTTCGTTATGTGTATTATTTCTAAATCACCGACTTGAAGAAGACTCACTAAATAGCTCTCGATCCAGCCAGGATTTCCCAAGCTTTTCTCTTGTATTCGTCTTCAAAAATATTGATATCAAATCAAAGATAGAATTTTGTAAAATATTCAGGCAATTTGCAAGTTTATTCTATTTACTTTTCAAGCTCCGCAGGTAAACCTTTTACGTTAAGTATTTGACATACTAAGCCAGCGTGATACCATCTGTCTATTCCGTGTAATTGAATTACCTTTTTAACGAACAATTCAAATTTTTGTTGCCATTCGATTAATATTATATTAATATTACAAGTGTACAATATTATATTAATATTACAAATATCAGAAATCGAAAAAGTTGTGAAATTTTTTAATAAGTTCTATTAAAAGTACGAACCGTGGAACTTTTTTAAGAAATGTTCTCACGTTATAAATTCTAATGGAGAAACAGATAAAGGACAGTTTTTGGAAATAGACAATTAAAAATTAAAATTTTCCTATAATTTGAACTATATAATATACTATGATATTACATCGTTAAATAAAATTAATGCCTAATAGTTTGCAAATTTTATTTATCTCATGGAACCTTTTTTGATAAACGTTGTTTGATGAAACTTTTATTATGCGAAATATATATTTGAAATATTCATATAATGAGAATATTTTTTAAAAGCACCATTTCTTTCCGTAAAAATTCCACAGGAACAGAAATTTTTTTAAAGATACAAAACAAACAAAAGATAGGTAACTGTTTGATAGTTTGATCGTTGGAGGGAATAAGTAAATCAATACCTTCCCTCTATGCAAAAGATTGAAATACATTGGGAAATCCGCGCTCAATTTTCGACCAATGCTCAGTACAAAGAATATCAGATCTTTCTTCGTAAAAACGTCAAAAATGCTCAAGGACTCCGGATCACAATATTCTGCATCGTCAATTATCACCACCCACAATTCTTGAAAGCAGCTTTTCATCAATTTCAGTAGGAACTTTCTTAAAAGCTTTTTCTTCTCCGCATCAGTTAGTACGTTATAATGTTGAGTGATAGAGAAATGCACGTTGAAGAGTTGATTAAAAATACACAGAAAGTACGGATGCTTCAGTTTGCCCAGTCGTAAAAGCAATTTGTCTTCGCGTTCTTTTCGTGTGGACGTGTCAGTGAAACCAAGAGGCATTGAAAATAATAAATGTATCAGGTTGTACGGGGTCTGTACTAAGAGATAAAGCAAGTTTCTTTGATTAAAAGTTTAAGAAACAACAGTATGAAATTGAAGGCATTAACACTTCAATGAATGGAATGTATCCTGTTTCTGACGTTTTGATTATTTAAATTAGTATATTGTTCTAATCAATAAATTATTATCCACATTAAATGGAGAGTCAATTAGTGTAAAATCCAATTTCTCATCTAAAAAGCAATTTATCGTGCAATGTCGTGCAATAATAGTCATCTATAAATCACTTTTTTTCGCGTTAGAAACACACCATCAATAAAGTGTTAATGTTAGTAACTATTCATTAAATTCTAAAATTTCATAATAATTGAAAAGTATGAAGTGTCAACCTCGCTGTGCTCCGCTTGTAAAGAGATATAATTACACTGCGTTCCCACTGGAATGTTTTGCGTAAATTCATCTAATAACCTCGTTTTCCCTATCCGTGGTTCGCCTCTTTGAAAAACGCGCGGTTGAAAGATATATACGAGAAATATACGAAAATGTAATAATAGCAAAAATGGAATAATAAAAATAGGTACTTTATAAGAAGTGTGTTATATTTTGGTCGAGAGCTACGACTTTCCTTGTTTGCGTTCGAGTACGATAATAATTTCATTAGCATCTTTTTAAAAATTGTAAGTTCTTTGTGCCGACCAAGCAGAGGATACTTAATCCAAACTAAGTCCGATGCGGTATACCTAACGAATTAGACGTGAATTTATTAATTTTGCTTTTATTTAAGTGAGGGCGAAACTTTTTAACCACGTTAGAATATTGTTAGTATATTAGAGTAGAATTACTTTGGTTGTTCCTGAAATTCATATATCGGCCCGACGTTGGTGATTCCCTTTAAATATCTTGGTTCTTGTAAAATGAAGTGCCTCGCCTCCAAGTGAGAATGAAGGAAACTCTCTCGATCACAGACCACCTAACAATTCTTCGTTTTTTTCTCTTTTCTTTGTGAATCAATGTCTGAAGATACGTTAATTCTCACCTTGTCCTTATAAGCTACCATAAGTCTCGCAGCCTTGTTCACTGACATTCCAATCACAGTGTACTCCCTTCGTAAAATATGACCTACAACTCCACAATATGTCATCCCCGTGGTCACGCCCACTGTTACCGATTTGATATTTTCAATCGCTGTGAGTTTCGATCGTAACTTCGACGCGCATCTTAAGCCGACTTGTGACTCCAATTCATGTTTATCGCCACGTAAACCGAACACGCAGAGAAACATCAAGTCTTTGTCGAAGAGGGACGTTTTGTTCACGCATCCGCGCATCCCACCGACGACCCTTTCCCGAAAAATCGAAGGAAAATTGATCGATGAGATTAAATAAGTCACGACTAGTGATGGGCATTCGAATTTCATCAAGAAAACATCTCCAATTTGGAAACTCAGACAATTATGAAAATTATGAAATGGTATAGGTATGATCTGGTCCAATGGACGACCAATCTTGTAGAAAAAATTAATACGCCATCTTTTTACATTGACATTTATGTAGTAGTTTCAGTCCAAACCCACAAAAACTTTCTTCTTTCTCTATGTCCAATAGTTTCCCTCGTAACGTTTCATAAGTTTAAGTCTTATTACTTGGCATCTACAATTTGTATTTTGAGATGCGTTTTAACACTAGAACGACCGATGATGAAAGTTTAAATTTCTTCTCAGAGACATTAAAATGAAGAAAGAAAAAAATACCTTTCGTTTATCATACATTTTACGAATATCTAAAAAATAAGCTGTTTTACATTTATAAAATTTCTAACAAAATAAATTGGTCATTTTGATCACTTCGGTAGTTCTAGTGTTAATAGTCCTATAATAAATTTGATTTTATGATTACATTACACGTATTGAATTTTTTGTTACATTTATATGTTCAAAACGACCAAAAATACTTCGACAGTTCATTATTATGCTGCAGATCTTTATACATTTATAATTAAAAACTTGCACATATCTAATATCCAGGAATATATCCAAATTATTATATTAACCACTATTATTTATAATATTTAGTGGTTAATACAAATTTGTATTTAAGTACAATTTCTTTAATTGTATTAAAAATTTGCATAGAAATTCGCAGTCATCGCTAGCCATCGCCAGTTGTGACGAAAAGAAATAGACTTACTTGCACACTAGTTTATAAACAAAATCCACTAAGAGAATTAACGTTTGTTTGTCTACGTTCAAGGTGATTATATTGATGAAGAGTATCACCACTTGTCTCATTTCGGTCAGATATTCCAACGGTTCGTCCATTTCGACAGATCGAATCACTGGTCTCAGCATGTAACTTTTTAAACCTCCTTTCAAACGATCCTTTGCTATTTTTATAACTTTAGGTCGTACTAAAAATGTCATATTTATTTAAACAATAAATTACTTGAAAGAAACAAAATGATAGTCTTGCTTACAGCTGTAATCGACTTGGTTAAAATTTCCAATCTCGTAATGCTTGCCAGTCAGACTCATCATTACCGCTTCAGTCTCACGATCGACCATTCTGGGTGTTATCATTGAATCATAAAAATTCGTGTAGTATCCGTTCTCTTCATCTGTGCAAAATTTAAAACATACGTTTATCCCTCGATTCATGCGTTACTTATACACAGTGTTAACTGATATCAATTAAGGTATTAATTTACGCGGTTAGAAAATATATTTTTCTACAATCTTCGTTGAATTTATATATAGGGCAAGTCCAGCATTTTAGTATTCAAATTTTGCTCAGTCAATTCTATAGATAAAAATAAGGTTATGGCAAAAAGTGAACAAGACAACAAATAAAATTTATATTGTTTTTTTCTTTTGAATTTTTATTATTATTCCTTTTTGTGAAAATATATGGAATAAATATAATTTTTATAATATTGTTCTTTCTCTCTAATATTCTTTTTTCTATCGACAGATTCTATTTATGCGAGTTTCTTCCATATAAAAAGAGAAAAACTGTAATTCACGTAAATCGAGAGATGGGTATACATTTTTGATTTAATAGAAGTTTAATAGAATAGAATAAGAGAACAGATTGCGAGAAATATTTTGACTAATTTTGATACTACCATCTATGGCATCCATTAATTCCTCGTCTTTAGCCTGGTACCACATGCTCGTGCAAGTTATAATAAGGGTGTGTATACCATCTGGAAGCGTTTCGTGGACATATTCATTTGGATTTACCCATTGCCAGCTACTAGGAGCTACTAGGATATCACCACCTCTGATAAAAATAAACGTGATAATTATCGAATTTCTCGTTAACGCGAGGTTTCTCTGATTACCGGCAAAGGCCTTCGGCAAATTTCACATCCCACACCGGTTTTCCGGTGATAATATAGTGAGACATGCTGTCTTGATCTCCAATAGATGTGAAGTACGTTTTTCCAGAAGCAATCGCTAATTTTACTGTAAAAAGTATCAGAAATTTTTCACAAATTGTTCGAATCGAACGTTCAATATTTACTGATTATTTCTGACTAGTATGAATTTTATTTTTCTCGTTTTATTCGTCCTATTTTTTTTGATAAGGATTTTACTAAGGATTGCTATGAAATAATTTTCTCAAAGCAACTATCTATTTTCGTGCAACAAAAATACATTAAAATGCTTGAAAATGCTAAAATGATTAAAAGTTTACCGTTAAGTGAAATTCGAAATTTATTTGTTTATTTATTATGATGACATTGAAACGATATTATTATTAATTATTTACAATAATATTATTTTTCGCTATTAATACGAAGTTAATAATATTAATTTTATTAATTATAGTACAAAATATTTCCCTTTCTCAGTGAACAAACCTTTCAAAGTCACTCCAACTTCGGTATCGTAAGATCCAAAATGTTTTTGAATGACACATGCAGTTTGCATTGCTTCTATAGCTAAGTCCCGCATTATCATTCCTTCGTGGAGCTTCCACATCACGATAAACGCATCTCCAGAAAATTTCAATACGTCACCGTTATGGGATAGTATTTCCTGTACCATAGCACCGATGTAACTGTTCAATGTTTCTGTCAGTTTCGATGGTCCGCCTTTTCCTTTAGTGAATTTCTCGGCCAGTTCTGTGAAACCTTTACAAATCGGGAATATCTTCATGTTATTGTTAGATTACGCATTTATAAAAAAAAAGGAAAGGATTTTTATGCATTTATAAAAAAGAAAATACAAAACTTTTGTGTGAAATTTTATATTCACATATTTCTGCAGCTCTATTTTTCAATTGAATAGAATTGTCATACTGTTATTATACCATTATACCTGACACATCGCCAAGCATTAAAGTGGTGTAATACATTCTGGTCTTGTAATCGTTATAATGATCTAGAATTTCATCCGGACACATCGAGGCAAATATTTTCGTGTGATACTCGATTCTCAATTCCGCGGCTCGTATCTCGTTCTCTGAATAGTCCATGAGTTTCTGTTTTTGTAAGACTGTTGCATAATTATTTATTATGATTCGTTACAATAATTATTCGATTCTTTCGAGTTTAGATTACATTAACCTACCACTTCCATTTATTGTTCTACGACTTAGCCTTCGTGCAGCTCTAGCACGGCCGTCCATATTTTATTCCTATAAAAATCTACTTCCGTTTAACTTATCATTTATAGGTTTGATTTATTGGAGGAAATAATGTCATTATGAGCGATCTTCTTTTATGTGAGGAATCACTGGACAACTTCAATGTAATTTATATTACGCTGTCAATTATTACTTGTAATTTTTTAACTTTAATATGATATGATGAAGCATTTTCTTAAAAGGGAAAGTAAACTTACGTTGTTCAATTTGAAGTATAATACGATCACCAGAAACTACAGAAATAATTCATATTAATTGGAAATGATGGAAAGACTATGCTGAACTAGACTTACTAAATTTGTAAATTTAATTGTCAAAGAAGCTGCTGTATCGTAATGTAATTATATAAGGATTTTTTTGCTTGAGGTTCGAAAAAATATGATACTATTTCACGTTCTTTAAATGTATTTATTTAATTCAATGCCAGGTCTATAATCGAAGTCTCGGAGAAGGGGATCAGCGTTTAACAATGAATACACTTCTCGTGACAATAGACAATATGTGTTTATTTAATAGTCTCGCTATATAGATACTTAATATGACTTGTCGTTCTAACAGATCGCTGCCTACAACGTGACGGCCGAATTTTATTGTGCCTGGCCCTACTAGTTCCTTATTGTGCTTGAATCTATGATGGGTCGACGTCATCTTTGGTTTACTTAATCACTTCTCTCTCTCTCTCTCTCTCTCTCTCTTCTCTTTCTTCCTCTCTCGTTCACTCTCTCTCACTTTCTCTCTCTTTCTCTCTGTTTCGTTCATTCCTCACACCGTCGTCTGCCAACTGACAAATTGGATAATACTCGCTATTTCTTTAAGACGTCGCGACACACGAAATCGAGTTTCGCAAATGTAGGAATTCGTTCTTGCGTGGGTCTCTAAGAAATTAATGACTTCTTCTCTATATTCTGATCTGTTCTTTCGATTCTCAATTTTCTTTTTTCTCTTCGCATTTTTTTTTTTGTTTTGTTTTGTTTTAATCTTTTATCTGTTTTCACGCAATACATCAATGTCTAGAACGTGATCGATGAACACATTAGTCTTACGTTGTGTATGTGACGCGTAGTTCTCTCCTGTTAATCATTTTTACAAGTGATACGCACACGTAAAACGTAGATAGCAATATTGTTACATATATATATATATATAGTTTTGTAAACGACCATCATTAACTGGCAACCACACCGTTTAGGTGGAAAAATAAAGAAAGAGAGAAAATTAATAAATATGTACACATTTCTTCGCAATCGATATGTCGACGAGATCGTCCGGTTGTTGAGATACCAAAACGGCAATGTTAAAAAATTTTTTTATCAGATGCATGTAGCACGTGCGTAGTTACCAGTTACACGTCGCTTCCCCTAAATAACGCAAGAATCATTGAAAAAATGAACGCTGCAACAATCGCAAAAAGGTTTCCTTAGTCGAGTTTCCCACGATGTGCTATGTTTGCGTTTTGTTTTTATGCGTGACACTGCTCGGAACGTTAGTCGAGTTAATCTCGATCTAATCGAGTGTCGCGGTATTTATCTCACGTTGCGAATGCGTTACATCGATTAAACGCGCATGCGATTAATTGTACATCGACGGCGGATACATTAAAAAAAATGTCTTTTTTTTTCTTTCGTTCTTTACGTTACGAATCCTCGCAAATTCGTACGCTGTTTGCCCGTTAGTTCCTCTTTCCTTTCTTTTTATATATATATATATTATTTTTTAATTGAAAAAATCTTCTTCGTCTGCGACAGAGACTCGGGAGGTTCGATGGAAACATCGTATACGTGCCCACTCGCGGTAACATACATATGTATACATTACATGTACAATTGTCATATTTTTATATGGTGCTTCGGTCTTTCGGTTCGCATGGGCAGGTATACGCGGCTCCTTCGAAATTAGCTTATGCAAAAGTGTTCCTTTTCTCACACTGTTCAAGAAATTCATCGAATCTTCATTCCTACGGGATATACTAATTGCAAATTGTTTAAATTGCGTTTGAGGCGTGAGTGTATATACAGGATTTTCTCCTGTATTTCTTTTTTTTTTTTTTTTTGGTCGCTTTACGTTATTCAGTGTGTTCGTAGCGTTTTAAAAAGCGCGGAAACGGCGTGTCCTGTACGCAGAACGAAGACTACGGGCCCTGATACCATTTCGAAGCGGTGTAACGAAGAAGTTCAGACAGATGGGAAAACGCGCACAAGAGATATTTCATTTCACATATTACACTGTTTTTTTTTCTTTTTCTTTTTTTTTTTTGTTTTTGCTTTTTACGACAAACGTGACTCGTTATATAATGGCACACAGCATGGCAGTTGCAACAATGTACTTCAATAAACGGTTTATTTTTTTTCTTCTTTTTGTTTTTTAAATAACTTATCTTAGCTTAGTCGATAAACTTACTCTAGCCTAGTCGTTTTTTTTCTCCTATCCCACGGCGATGCGTGTCTCGATCGAGGACTTCTGTCCACGTGCTTCGGAGAAACAAACGCGGAAAGAAACGGCACTTCCGAAAGGGTTTCTCGATCATTGTCGATCGTCGTATAGACTAGGCTTAAACACGACTCGTTTCGTTCGCACCAGTGTTTCTCCTAACCTTTTCTTTTTTTTATTTTGTTACTGCCTCGCAAAACGTTCACTCTTCTCTCTCTCTCTCTCTCTCTCTCTCTCTCTCTATTTCACACTCACGCATTATTATCATTCTCTTAGGTATGTACACACGGTCGAAAATCGTATTGCGTGTTTCAATTAACGAACTCGAACACGGCGTACGATACTCGATATTCTATTCATCGTTTTTCTTTCGCTTCATCGTCGTATTTCCCTCATTTCTCATTTCTCTCTCTCTCTCTCTCTCTCTCTCTCTCTCGCCTTTCTCTCTCGTCTCACTCGTTGCACTCTTTCTGTTCCTTGTGTCAGCTGTTTTTTGCTTAACGATAAAACACGTAGAAATTGGAGAATAAAAAAAGGGGGCGGGAGGAGCGACGTCGTCGCAGCGTTGTTTCGCACGTGAGATTCGTGGCCAGCGCGTTTTATTCTTCCGATACTGAATTACTTTGCCAATTGGGCGACTCACCGACAAGAAGATCGATCGAAATCGACTCCGGAGCCGACATTTAAATTTGAACACAAATGTGGCCATGATTCCGACGCAAGGTCCGTTCACGCTGCAACGACTTTCCTTACGCAATATTCACGTAAAAACGTTTTTTTTTTCTCTTTTTTTTCATCATAGATACTAAACAGTCGAGTCGAAAAATAATATCGAGACGGCCTCGTTCACGTTCTCTCACGATGCTCGCTCACCTCGTTTCGCATTCTCGCTCGTGTTCCACGGAACAGTCTCAGCTTAGGATCACTCGAGTGCGGCACGAACGATTCAAGCTGCAGGGCTGAGCAAGCCTGCTCGCTCCGGCTCTTGTCGTCTAGCAATTCCTCGCTGGGCGATCGATCGATCCCTCAAGTTCGGTTTCAAGAAACGCTTAAACTTCTATTCCCTACTTTTAGAAACACAGATCGAACGTAGACAATTGTTAGCTCTAAAGATTCGTATCGCCTAACGAGTTTATCCAAGTTGTACGATTTCGAAGTTTGGCCATCTTTTGCTCAAGAGTAGTGTTACTGTATGTTTCTAGGGAATACGATCTAAAGGGGATTTTTCAATTTGTTCCAACAATTGTTTCCAAATGGAGGGTTCGTTTCATTTTGTCAGTGATTTTTCTCTCAAGCTCGAAGACAGAAGAAAGGAACGAAACTGGCTCTTCCTAATCTTCCTACTTGAAGCTTATTCCGTTATATATTCGGTTCAAAAAGATTTTAATAGTGTTTTCTGAAACAGCAAGATTATTATCGACGTACTGACCGGAAGGTTCTGCCCGTCGTATTAGTCAGTCGTTCTTTCTATATGTCTTTCGTTTAACTATTGCATCTTGGAGGACAGACTATTTTTTTTTCTTTTTTTTCTTCTTTTTTAAGTAGAACGTTGTAATATCGAAGTTTCTCGTCACATTCGCCTGTTCATTTATTCGTTAAACAGTCTTAAAATTGAAGATAATTAATCAATTATTAAAGCGAGATTACATTCTACGGTTATAACCTTTTTTTTTTTTTTTTTTGTTAAAGTCTCTAATAAAGACGATACGATGATAAATGTCAAAGTGATTGAAGTGATATAGTTGAATATTTCGGACAATAAAGAGTGCCAGTAAGAAGATCTTTAAGATTCGAAAACTTGCTCTCAGGCCTTCTCAATTTTCTCGAGCGATCGAAAGAAAAGACTTTTTTTGTTTATTCACCAATTACGCATACATACACGCACGCACACTAAATTCAGCCACTCCGTTAACAATTGTGTCAATTAACGATAATATTAATTTCTTTCTGTTTAGCTATATATATATATATGTATATATATATATGTATATATATATGTATATATATGTATGTATATATATATGTATATATATGTATAATGTAACACGATGATATAGGCTTGATATGACGGTGGCACACGTTTACTAATCTTTATCCCTCTTCTTCTCTCTTTTATTTTGTCTTTCATTATTTTCCTTCCTATCCTTCTCTCGACTCGATAATTCTTAGAACATTGATTAGGCGGAGAGAACGAAAACTCTCTGAAACGATATTTCGCACTACGCCTATGTAAAACTTTCGAGCAAGAATACTTTGTGCTTAGAAAAATTAGGATATTCACGGAAACGAAGAATATCAGGTAAGAACGAAGGTACCTTTGATTATCGTTATCGGTTCGTTTGGTCAGCCTCGTCGTCGTTGGATTGTCTGGACTTTCCATGAAACGTCTAAAAGAGATTTACCAGAAAGAGAGTCTTCGTTCTTGACAACTGTTTTTTTGTTCTTTTCTTTTTCTTTTCTCTCGCCTCAAGAAATTCTATACGCTTACTTTGCATCTTCTTCGTTGAACTGTTCCACATCGGCCTGTACTTTTGAACATACTTTTGAAAGAATTCGAGAAACGACGATTCCGTCGATGTTTGAGGGCCGGTGATTTCAACGGCCGCACAGGAAACGAACTAATTGTAAGAGAGGTCTCCGTATCGCTATTTTTATCCTAGTTGATGACGGTCGAGTCGAGACGGACGAAAGAAGGACTTATTCCTCTGACTAAATGCTTGCCAGTGATCAAAATTCCGACGCCGTTTCTTTCGATTGCACAGGGCAGAGAAGCCGTTCGATGAGGTATTGCTGCGCGTTTCACTCACGCTTGTAATGTCGTTCTCGACGATTTTCTGCCCTGCCTACGGGATCCGATGCCCTTCGATTCCGCTCCGTGATCTAGCTTCTAGGTCGGTAGAATTCGCGCGAGCGTTAAAGTTTTTCGGAGAAAGGAGGGTTTTCTAAATCTTATTATTCGAAAGGTTCGCGTCAGAGATCGAATGGAGAAAAAGATGTGTCGTGTACTAGCAACGAGAAAGTGCGTTTTATCGACGAATCAAAGAGAACATCTTCTTCTTCTTCTTCTTCTTCTTCTTCTTCTTCTCCTTTTTTCTTCCCCTTTTTGTAAAATATTAACGATAAAATTTTACACTTTCAACATGTCGCTTAACTCTTCGTACGGCAGACACGACGATATATGTATGCTTCATTTATATATATATACACACACACACATGCATATGTATATATATATGTATAATATGTATACAACGAGCGGACGCTGGACGAAAAACGCGTCGTTCGTATTTTGAATCCTCCGCGAGATTTCCTTTCCCTTCGAAGCTCGAAACGGCGAACTTCGTCCACGTTGATAGCTCGCAAGAATTCTTTTCTTTTCTTTTTCGTTTAATTCGCAACACGATTGCCCGGGATATTCGCGACACGAAGAAAGAATTGCACGTTCGCAGCGAAACGTTTGCTTCGATCGTTCGTCGTCTCTATCGCTCGGCCAACGGCATCTTCCAACGTGATTCTACACGATTTTCGTTGGTCGTGCTCTCGCTTCCTTTGCTGGTCGCGTGTCCCTTCGAATTTCCCGCGTGAAATCGCGGCCCCGTTACGAACAATCGGTAATCATGCAAATCTGACACTAGCGTTCGCAGATTAGACTGTGCTGAATGCTCGACGAAATTCGTTCAGCGAGATATAACTACGTACGTATAACACGTAATACAGGTATTACTCTATACTAGCTGTACGCTTGGGAATAGGTACGCAGAACCAGCGGAGACCATAAGTGGGCACGCTTTTTCTCTCCTTATCACCACGAGCAGGGCTATCGAAGAAACATCGACACACGATTATGTACATAAACGGCTCGTCTCTGTTCTATCTTTAGTGCCTCCTAAAAGGTTTCGTTAACTCTCCTGTTCCGTGCTCTGTCGGATAAGCCGTCCGAAATTTTTATGTTCGCGCTGTGCACGCTGAGGTGAAATACTCTCTCGAGAACGAGTCCTGCGAGTGTTGCGACGATTATCATAACGCGTTACAAACACGGACGACATACATTTGCATCCAACAAATTTGAGTCCATCGTTCACTCGTCGATCGTCGAGCTTATGACAATCGTCGCTGACCATCGACCATTGATTATCTGAGTTCACGAAGGGCTCGACTTTGTTTGGAAAACAGCGATTATATACCAGTGTATATATACCTTCCTTCCTCTAGGACGATCGTCGTAACCCCTATATATCTTGGATTTCGATGACGCACGAAGAAAACGCTCGATGATTTCGCACGAATGAATTGTACATTTGGCTTGCGATCGACGATTACCTTTGGAACTAGTAGCACAGAGTGATAAATGGTATAATAGCTATAGTTTTCATCTCAACAACTTCTCGATGGAAGATCGAGTCCGAATTAAAATCCACGCGATTGAATTCTACTCAATCAACCCATCGTTAGGCTTTCTAGTTGAAGCTCGATTAGATACCGGTGCAATTTGCTCTTATATAGACTACCACCGAAGAAAATATCATCTTGTCGAACAAGCTGATCCTCACGCTTGCAAGTGGATCGAGAAAGAAAGAAACGGAGTTAAATCGTTATTATGATTATCTATCTCAACACCGTGATCGATAAACTTTGTAAGAGTTGCAACAATATCGAAAGAATGTAGACGGGACAGTACGAAGAAGAATAATTCGAACCGGAGGAAACAAATCGTGACCATACCTCGCACGAAACAGCTATAAACGCTCTAAAAGTCTCATCTATAGTTATACGTATCTACTCGTGACGTATTTACACGTGTAAAGATTTCATAACAGTATTCGATAAATCGTCGTTCTATCGGGGGATCGACGAACGAAGGACTCTCCAACAATTTTCATAAACATCTGCAATGGCAATGTCAACGTAAAATAGACAAGTGAATGGGGCTGAGAAACTATATGGAAGTCGTTCATGCGTTAACAGTTTTCTAGATTACTCCACCGTAATCGGCAGCTCTCTCGGCTAACACGCCAATGACACGTTTACAATAGTACTCTACAACTGTATACATTGCGTTCGCGGCGTAATTCACGATTAATATGTACATCACACGATCCGGTAACGATGCCATAAATTATCTATCACACGATACACACGCAGCCCAGTCGATGAATGTTCAACTTTTGATTCTACGAACCTAGAAGAAAATCTCGTCGCGCCTGACTTTCTCGCGAACAACGTTTCCTACGGAACCAAACAGCGATTCGCGTTGAAGATTTTGCAACGATAGATCGAGGGAGAAAGTGCGTTTTTTTCGCGCGTCCGAACTTTCTTTTTCCTGTCATTCGTTTTTTTTTTCTCTGTTTTTTGCATTTTTCTTTTTTTTTCTCTTTTCTTCTTTTTGCATCGCAAGATCATCGAGCATGCACGAAACGTTCGTTTTATTGTCATCTTGAAAGCTAATCAGCACCGCGGCTCGAGTTCCTTCCACTTGTCCTCGTGTATTTCATTGAACCTCGAAACAACCTCACGGCCTATTCGCGCACGTCCAACCTTTCAATGGCAGTTCACAGGTATTCGCGTTTCTTTTCGTTCTGTCTAACCTATATTTTCTGTTCTTTTCTTCCTATTTCCTTTCTCCCTAGTTTGTTCGTTACTATTTCTTTATTTTCGCTTCCTTTCAGTTAGAGTTTTAGCGCGAGTTTTGGACCCGTGGCAAAAGATCCTAAGAAAGAAAAAAAAAAAAAAAAGGAAAAACAGTAAGAAAGAAGTGAAACTGTTTGTATGCTCGAACTTTCTTTCAATTGATTGCTCTTTTCTGCGAACGATAGGGAATTAACGAAGGAAGGGAGTACGATGTTTTTCAGAGTTGATCAACAGAGTGATTAGTTTCACGTTTCCTCCTAATTATCTAAGGGCAGGGACACGTAATTTCTCTCAAATCAATATATCGAAAGTGTGAGATATTTCCGAAAAGGTGATACTATTTTCCTTTACTCTCTCTTTCTTTCCTTGATACTCAAATTGCAGTCGAATCCAAAGGACGAAGAACGAACTGCTACCCTTACGTCGTGTGTTCATTTCTTTAAATCCTTGCGAATAAAAAGATCGACGCCCGAATGAAATTCGACGTCGCAACCGTAAAAAGGTCGATTTTAATCGGCAAACGGAAAACGCGTAATTTTTGTATTGGAAACAGAGCATCCCCGGATGATTCTAGGACACGCAATCAACACTACTGAAAAGCTAGCTAAATACTATTGTAACAAGTGTAATCGATCTTCCATTGACGCCCTGTTTCGATCATCTTTGTTCACGAGCAAATTGTTCCTCTGAAAAAAAGATCCTGTTGATTTTCGCAGAGCGTTATAGTTCCCGCGTTTCGATCGAAGTTGCGCATTGCTCGCAGCGAATGAATGACAAAACGATGACGAGCACGTGCGTCCTTCACAGTGATTTTTCCGATCGATTGAACAAACGATTCTGTCGATCGGTCTCCCCTTGTATTTTTCATAATGTAGCCGCGCTTTAATTTGATTAAACGAAGCTACCAGCCTTTCACTGAACAACGATCCTTCTTGACCGATTCCTTGGAATTGTAGCAAGGGCGACGTGGGTGATGGTACTGTGGTGATGATGAAAGTGATGGATGACGATAATGACGACTATCGTGATGATTGTAAATGACGATCGGTGAACGACACGAGGATACTGTCTGTTATATTGTCGCTGTCGATGTCGCTGAGGTATCTCGGTTGCCTGTTTGCCGATTTTTTCTTTCTTTGCTTTGCTTTGCTTTTTCTCTAAGGCTCTAGAAATGCTCTAGATTGTTTCTACGATTGCGTGATTGTGTGTATGTGTGTGTGTGTGTGTGTACACGTGACAACATCGAAGAAACGAAGAAGATCGATAGCACTTTCGTTTTCTACGTATTACGATCGTGGCCTGGTCTACTTATCTGCTATCCAGTTGCTGGCTCTTGCTCGCCTGGTCTCGTTTGCTTCTCGATTCCGGTTCCTTCGATGTCTCGTTTCTGCGGCGAAAAACAAACGCGACAACTTCGTGGAGAATTCGTCTGCACGGTTCTCGAATTAACGTAATAACGTTTCGGCGTTTCTAACGCTATCGTGTTCTCTCAAAATTACGCGAAAGAGGAACTCACGAGTCGGTGCAACTGTCGCCATTCGTCGTAGCCGGTCTCGGGGAATTCGAGTCACTGCGACGATCGTTCGGTGTTTCCTCGTCGTCGTCGTCGTCGTCGGATGTTTCCAACACCTTCGTGAGTAATTGCGGCGTTCCTTCTGAACAAGTCAGACTGGATTCCACCGACAGTTCGATGCTTTTCTCGTCCTGCAACGGAAAAATTTCCATCCCTTCTTGAAAACAAGAAAACTTCATACCGGTCTGTCGTCGAGAGCTGAAAGTTACCTCTTTCTTCAGTGTCTCTAATAATCTCTTCCTGTCTGCTGTCAATCGATCCGCTTGCTCGGACTGAGCGGCAGTTTTTATCCCGGAAAGTTCCAGCAGAGCCAGATGCGCGTCTTTCTCGGAGACCGCAGCTTTCAAAGCTTCCCGCCTGTCGAGAAAAGAAATAATAATTTTAGACGGAACTTGTGTTTACTTCGACCACTTTGAAATTGCTCACTTCATTTGTCGGAGATCTTCGAGTTGCGCGTTTCTCTCTTCGGTGAGACGTTGAAGTTTCTTCTCGTATTTCTGCAGTTTCGAAAGAAGGGGTTGACAAGTGATGCATTTCAACGCTGAAGCTGTTTGCATCGAGGTGATTCTTTGTTCCAACTTAGCTACCTGAGAGAAAAGAAAAGAAGAAGAAATATCAAATGACTGTCGTGATTATTTTTCTGTTTTTACAAATAGTTTTAGTCACCTTTTGAAGAGCTTCCTTCTTCAGTTTCTCCTCGTTCTTCAATCTTCTTTCGCTGTCGCTCGTGATGACAACGCTTTCGCGGAGAGCTTCGCTCAGTTCCTCGATCTTGCTCCTTTTCTCTATCAGATCCTGCGAGAATTGTCGTTCCTTCTCCTCCTTTTCCTTAATCACATTCACCAGTTCCTCGATTTGCTCCAGATCGATCTTTTCGCTGAAGGCTCTTTCGAGGGAGTCTACTTCGTCCTCCAGTTGTTGAATCCTCTCGTCCCTCACTCTGATCTCTTCCTTTAAAACCCCAATGTCGTCGTACTCGTTGAGTTCCTTTCTCAAAGCATCTGTCTCCTTTCTGAGTTTCGTCATCTCTTCCTTATTTTCAATGATCTGCTGCTCGTACTCCTGGATCTTGTTGTCCTTTTCAGACATGGCAACCTCCATCTTTTTCATTTTCTGTTCCATTTCGTGCAACTCTGAATGTCCTGCGCGAGGTAAATCGTCCGATTTTTCTTCATGATCTTTTTGCGTTTCCTTTCCTGCAAATTGGAATTCAGCTAGTAACAACCGTATTACACCAAACTGTACGACGTTTAAAGAAGACGACAAACGAAGGATCGGGATTAATATTAGAAACAATCTTACCTCGATGGTTTTCTTCGACTCTCAGTAGTTCCTTTTCCAAATACCCAACGCGACTCTGCAACTGATCGATCCTGCACTCGCGGTCTTGCAACTTCCTCTTCAGCACGTCCACGTTGTGCTTCCTCACGTAGTCTTCCAACTGCGTGACCATCTCCTCCAGTTCGATAACTCTTTCCCGGTCGATTCTAGATTCTTTGCTGTCGCCGTTCTTTTGTATCCATCTCTCCAACTCCTGTATCCGTCGATTTCCAGCGGTCACTTGACAACGAAGATCGTGCAACTCTTTCACGTCCGGATTCTGCTTCAGAAAGTCCTCGAACTCGGCTACCGTGTCCTCCAGCTCTTCTATTCGACTGGTCTTCCTCTCGATCACAATCTCCATATCTCGCACGCTCTCGGTGTCCGCGTGATCCCTGAGGAAATTCTCCAGGGACTCGATCTCTTGCTCCAGCTCGACGATTCGTTTGTTCTTCCTTTCGAGCTCCGATTTCCAAATCTCACCGTTGTCCTGCCTGTCGTTGCCCTTGCATCTCTTCGACTCCCTCATCGAACTCGTCAGGGATCCTATCTCGTTCTCCAGCTGCGATATGCGTTCGTTCTTCACGCCGATCTCCTTCTTCCAAGACTCCTTTTCTTTCTTCAGCTCGTCCATCAGCTTCGTGCCCTGGGCGTATTCGTTGCCACCGTTCTCCGCGCCATCTTTGCAAGCTACCAGTTGATCCTCCAGCTCGGCAATCTTTCGGTTCTTCAGTTCCAATTCCCTCTTCCAGCTCTCGTTATCATCCAGACTAAGGTTCTTCGCGTCCTTCATCTTCTTCGAACAGGCAGTCTGCTCCAGTTCCGATATCCGTCGGTCTTTCATCTCCAGCTCGATTTTTCTGGACTCGTGGCGTTCACTGGCGTTTTCGAGAGCGGTTCCGGAGGAGGTTTCTGGCTGTTGTGCGCGTGCATCGGTGCGACGTGGGCGTTGTGGTGCGTGTGCGAAGGCAACAGGTGTGAACGTAAAGAAAAATTGAACGAAAAGAAGGATGATGGATAGCCGTAAAGATGACTGAGGTGATGGAGGTGGGTGGGTGGAAGGCAAGGGGGGGGGGGGAGGGAGGAAAACATGGCGATTCTTTTGGCTCGTGCGCATCGAATTGTTTCGTGCTGAACGACGTAAGGGTGCGTCTCCGAATGGCTGTGAACGTGCCATGTAACTTTTGGATCTTTATCTCGTTAGCGTTTCTTCTCCGACCAGTTCTTTCTCTCCCTCTTCTCGGTTTCTTCCGTTTCCGTTTCATTCATCTGTCTCGTCGCTCTCTCGTCGAAGCCGTCGTTTCTCGACGGTTCACGCGACGACCGTGAAAATTCAACTCTCTAAAAAGATCTGTCCCTCTGTTTCTTTTCATTCCTCTGCTCGCCTCAGTTCTCTGTCTCGGTGCCCTTACACCATTCACATGCTTTCTTTATATGTATATATTTATATTTATATATCTACATACGTATATCTCTGTCGTGTACGTGTATATACACATGTACAGTACATGCGTCTGTCGATTCTCCTGCGTAATATGTATATACATATATTCATATTACATATACATGTACATACACGGTCGCATCGTTAATAATTAATTAACATTATTGTAGCCGTTATCCTTTCTCTCTCACTCTCTCGCTCTCTCATCACCTTTACATTAATATTTATATTTATATATATATTATATAAATATATATATATCTATATTTATATTTATATATATGTATATATATTTATATATATATTTATATATATATCAGTAATTATTGTTATTATCGTCAATATTTTTTCGCTATCAATTATTAAATATGTTAACAATGGTCGCAGCGTTACGTAAAATAATTATATATCTTGACAAGTGTATCGTCAATGGCGAATCAGTACGATCTCTTTTCGTTCGATTAGTTTTCGTATAATAAGTTCGTGTACTTGTAAAGTTCGTTTAATATGCAAATTGTACTAAAAAGAACGGAGAAGGCGTCCCCAACGAAAATCGACCTTAGAACAAGCTTTTTAGGAATCCGGTGGGACCCGCCTGTATTTTTTCATTTTTAATTTTGTGTCGTGTATTTCGTGTTCGATTTTGAAAATTTTTTTTTTTTGTTCGTTTTTTAATTTCATCATTCGGAAACGCATCGTTCGTTTCGCACGAAAACAAATCGGTATGCGTATACACGAGCCATCGTATTTAAATAACAGCGAACAATCAAATACAGACGAAAAGCAAACACGACGATCAAGCAAGCAAACACATACATAGGTCGTACGTGTATATGTCGTGTCCAGGGTCAGCGTGAAAAAAGAAACAACTGATTAGTCGTAATTCTATCGATACTTGAATTCTATCGATGTTTGAATACGGTTGAAATAGCGCAAAGGAACTGTCGCAGTTGAGGAAATCTAATGGAGATTGTTCTTTGCGCGATTAATAATCATTTCTAATGATTCAAGAGTTATCAAATACAGGGACCGAATGGAGCTGGTGAAATTTTTAATTGGTTTTAAAATGATTGTAACTTTCCAATTATTATCCTTCCTGAGAACTGTTATAAAATACAGCGTATTTGCTGTAACTTTCAGTCAGCTGAAGTTTGTAGCTGAAGTTTATCGAATCGTTTGATCAAATTCTATTTGTATTGTGACAGAATTTAATAAATTATTGGTAAACTGAATCAATTATGTAAAAACCACAATTTGTTTTCTGTTCTACATCTGTTCTGGTTTCAAGTAATGTAATAACATGTTAATTAAAAAAATATTTCCAACTTTTATATTTTCTTCGAAAATGTATGATCCTTCAGTATTTTTAATAATTAAATTAACTTGCTGTAGTATTACAACAAAGTCAAAATGAAAGATGCGATTAAAAATTAAAAATTCAATAAATAAACCTCCACTTGTAAAAGTTGACAGTTTCGTTCGATCCCTGACAAAATATGATCAATTTCATTCTATAGTTATGATAAAAGTCAAGAAAGTTGAACACTGACCTCTTGTTGCTGTGCAGTTGCGGCTTGTTTCAACTTGGCTTGTGCGGCTTTGAGTGCACTGTGAATAAAAATCGTGTTGTTAACGATGTACAACATTCGATAAAAGAACATAGATTTCTAAATGCTCGATACTAACTCTTGAAGTTCTCTGATTTGTCTCTCCTTGGCATTCTGCTCTTCTTGAGTCATCTGTATCAGGTGCAGTAACCTCTCGGTCTCGGCTGAGCTTCTGGTCGACTCTTCTTTCGCTTTTTCCAATTCCTTCTCGGAGTTTTCCAGAGCCTTCTGCATTTCTGCCAACCTCTTGTCCGGCGATCCACCGCTCTTCATTAAGGAAAAAAAGATCACGAAATGATGTTCATTACATAGAGTATTTGTGACTGAAAATTGTTCGATTCCAAACGTCTAAATAATACAAAACTTTCGCGCAGGCACACTTATTAAGTGACTCTTATTAATATTTGGACGTTTGAAAAATTATTGTTCTATATATTTGTATTTGAATTAATTGAAATTATTCTAATTCTGTTTATTTGATGCGCACAATTTTTTGCATAAAAATCTAAATTATTGGCAAAGTTGTTAAAAAATTTAGATAACCAGCAGGTTATATTAGATTTATATTAATTTTATGTATTTTAGATGTAATAGATTATTATTATATTTTATTAATATATTTTATATAAAATTAATCGTAATTTTCTCATTGTTCGAATTGTTTGCAAACTTAAACCTCTTATGCAAAACTGATTTATTACTTCTCATGCAAAAATATGTGCGCAATGAATAAATAAAATTTTTCTATTAATCAGAATAATCGTTTTAAAACATCAGAAAACAAATAATTCATCAACATTACTATAAATAAATATGTAGAGCAATAATATTTGGAAAATTAGTGCCTCAATTAGTAATGGAAGTCACGTCTATGAACTTTCTTCATTATCCAATGTGTAAAACTGATCTCATGAACAACGCCCACATATTTATAAACACATTGTGTTCTATAATTTTCATTTGATTCTGTTTTTACATGGATATTTTTATGTGCATTCGATTTAACACTATCTAAAAAAAAATCCAATTCTGTTTTTATACGATCTAATTTAATCTAATGCTTTTCAAACGATGCTATTTTTAAAGATTCTCATTTAACTCTTTGCACACAAAATTACTTTTTCTACGTTTCTCTTAGATTTTTACTCGAATTTTGGTTGAATTACTGTTATTTTTCTTTTACGAAAAAAATAAAATGTTTTTTTTGGGAATAAAGAGAATTTCAGGTCATCCTTAGACCCCACAATCCTACATACTACAAACTAATGAGCTAACCTTGAATTTATAAAGTTAATAATATTCTTATCTCGTCAGTAGTGGAGTATGCCAGTTTTGAATTAACATACTCGTATTAGGATTTCACGCTTGGAACTAATCTGTCAGCACATACCAAAAATAGAGCCAATTTGCACACGTTCTTCTCGGGAATCTATCTGTCATGTAGGAACAGAACCGAGAGTGTAATGATTGACGAACAAAAATTACTCTTTGTAACTGCTGCTCCAACTGATCCATTTTCGCTTTCCGTTTCTTCAGATCCTGGTCGAGACTTTGGAGCGTCCTCTCCTTCTCCTCTATCGTTCTAGCTTTCTGATCTACGGACTTCGCTCGTTCTTCCGTCTGCCTTCTCTGTTCTTCCATCTGGCGTTTCTGCTCCTCCAGTTGTCTTCTCTCTTGTGTAGTGTCGATACCAGCTTTCGTTGCGCCAGCTTGGAGTTTCTTGTTCGCCTCGTGCAGGTCCACCTGCGACGAAACAAACGTTGTAAACTTTCGTCCCTCCGTGTCCGCGAGACGCTACAGCTAGGCAAATGAAAGCCGCTTCGTTCAGAACCGCGACCATTACGTCTAAACGTGCACTATGTTTCGTTGATACTTCAAGTGCGTTGAACAAGTCGATTTAATGCAACTCTTTTTCGAATGACGATCGTCATGGTCACGGTATTCGTAAATGAGAGATGCAAGGAAATGGAAACGCAATTAAAAAACAAGTGATACGCGCTGATGAGAAGAAACTCGCAGTCCCTGGTAAGTCTAGCGACGTTCATAGCGAAATATAATATGTACAGAATACGTATGGAAAAACGTATGCGTCGAGATAAAAAATGCGTCGCGTGGTGAAACGTACATATACAAAAAGTGCGGAACGCATTCTGTGTGCATCGGTCGTGATTCATTCTCCAGTCTGTACAAATAATCGTGAACGCAGACACAAGGCTCAATTCTCGTGATCATTCGTCGCATTTCACAAAAAAGAAAAAAAAAAAAAAAAAAAAAGAAGAAAGATAAACGAAGTAACCATTTTCTATCTCTGGCATCTCGAGTACAGTAGCATGCTCCCAGAACGAAACGAAATAATAGTGATATACTCGTAATAAGATTGCTCATCGTTGCGATGTCGAACGCGCAACAAAACTGTAGCAGTAACGGTAACCAGTCGATTGAATCGGCGAAAGAGAGGATCGTCGTCGATACTTTTTTTCACTTTCTCGACGTCTGTCTTTTCAAAAAAGAAGAAAACGAATGTTCTTTTCTTTTCTTTTTTTTTTCTTTTTAATCGCTTCGATCGTCTCGTCGCCGACGCTGGCGATAACAACAATAAACACAACGATAAAAAACGGCATAACCATGTAACACAGTCGAGAAAACTGAAAGGAAAGAGAGCAATGAGCGCGAATGGCTGTGCTTGATTGAGAGTAATCGCAAATGGTTCAATGGGGGGAAACGATCTCGTGAAGAAACCGGGGGGGTGTTCATAAGGGTGGGTAAAAAAGAATTCGAGGAGAATGATAATGGTGAAGGCGATGTTGCGCTTCGCTGTGAAGTGTGACGGACGCCCTGAGATATACATGTAACGCATAAGATGAGAAAAATTGTGCGGGTGCATCATGATTTGATCTTTTTTTTTTTTTTTTTTCGATTTCGTCTGTATACGTATATATATATGTTATATATATGTATAGATATATACACGATATCGTTCGATCGTTATCGTTCTGTTACATAATATGCATAATATACATATCTGATATATGATTTGATTGTTATTATTATTATTATTATTTTTTTGTTTGTTATCTGCGGCGTGTATAATGAGCTGTGGGCGAGTTTCTGCTTCGTCGACGACGAAGGCAGAGGCTGCGGTTGAAATGAGAAGACATAGAGAGACGAGGAGGCGCGATGATGATGTGTCGGCAGCCGGTCGACAACGATCAGCCAATGATATATACATATATATATATATCTATATATGTATATGCAGAGACATAATGCAGGCATATTACGGTGCGGATGTAGGCTGTAGTAGTGTAGGTTAGCGCGCGAGCGAGTGCAGGCCGTGCTGCTGCTAACCTGATATTTTTGCAGTTCCTGGCACAGCTTTTCGAGCTGCTCCTGGAACCGCTCGCGCTCGACGCCCGCCTGCTTAACGTTCTCTTGCGCTTGCTCGAGCTCCTTTCTCAACCTGACGATCTCCTGGCCGTTTTGCTGCGGATGCTGCTGCTGCTGCTGTTGCTGTTGTAGCTGCTGTTGCTGCTGCTGCATCGTGATCTGCATCTGCTGGATCTGCTGTTGTTGAGCGTGTAGCTGCCTCTCGGTGTTCTGGATACGTTTTTGCAGATCAGCAGCCTGCCTCTCGGCCGCGTCCGCTCGCTGTTTCTCCGTCTCGCATAGCTTCCTCCATTGCTCGAGCTGTGCCTCGTTCACGCCACCGGCAGCCGCGCCCGTCGAGGCAATCTGCTTCTGAAGTTCTTGCACGCGTTTCTCGGCCTGCTCGGCCCTCTGCCGTTCCTTCGTCTGAGTCTGCGTCAGATTCTGCACCTGCTGGCTCAGCCGATGAACCTCTCGCATCTGTGCCTCGAGGGCCTCCTTCGCCGCTCTATCCGGCGTCTGCGCGTGTACCCTCTGTTGCTGCAACTGTTGCAACCGACGAACCTCCTCGCGCTGACGTTCCAGCTCCGCCTCGTTCGTGTTCAACTCCTGCTGGAAGTTGACCAGCATTTCCTGCGACTTCTCCAGTTGTATCACCAGCTGATCGCGTTCCACCTGCAGCTGCTTCGCCTCCACCTCGAGCTTCTCCTTCACTTTTTCCGAATGCTTCTCTCGGTTCTCCAAGATTGCGGCCATCTTATCGCGTTCACGTTGAGCGAGCTGTAGCTCGTGCTGCAAGTGCGCAATCTCCTCGCTGCCGGCGAGCTGTTGCTGCTGCTGTTGCTGTTGCTGTTGCTGTTGCAGCCGTCTCATCTCCTGCCTGAGTGCCTCTCGTTCGTCCCTGAGCAACTGTATCTCCGTGGCCAGCCGTTCTAGCTCCTTCTTGTTCGCTTCCGCGGCCTCCTGATACTTGGCCGTCTGCATGTGCGTCTTCTCGAGCTCCTTGGCCAGTCTGCCCGCCTCGAGCTCCACCTGATCGCGCGCGACGATCGCCTTGTCAAGGCTGGCGCGCAATCGTTCGACCTCGATACTCGCGCTCTCCGACCTGGTCTTACCCTCGGTTTGCATCAGTCTCTCCAGCCGTATTATCTCGACGCGGAGCTTTTCGTTGTCCGCCTCGAGGGCGTCCGCTCTCGCCTTCACCTTGTCGTCACCCTCGCGACTCCGCTCCTGCGCAGCAGTCGCCTTGTTGGCCTCCTCGCGCGCCCGCTCGAGCTGAAGCTGCGTCTCGTGCAGCTTCGTCTCGAGCTCGGCGTTGCTCGATTGCGTCCTCTTCAGCTCCGTTTCACGGCCCTTCAGACGTTCGCGCAGCAACTCCACCTCCTGTTGTAGCCTACTACCCTCGCTCTGCCACTTCTCTTGCTCGTACTGGTATTTACCTCGCACCCCTTCCGCACGTTCCTGCTCGGTCTTCCTCGCGCGTTCGAGCTCCGCCAACGTCTTCTTCAGCCGATCGCGGAGCCGCTCCACCTCCAGCTTCGCCCACTCGTGTTCCTCCTTCTGCCGTTCTTGGCTTTCCTGATACTTGCCGAACCTGGCCGCATACCTCTCGCATTCCTCCCGTGCGCTCTCAGCCTCCACTCGCAGCCGCTCCGTCTCCGCCTGCGCCTTCCTCACCTCGGTCTGCTGCCGATCGTGTTTTTCGTACATCTTTTCGATCTCCAGCTGCATTCGTGCCAGCTCTTCCTGCGTCTTGTCTGTCGCGGCCTGAGCCTTGGTCACTTGCGAGTGAGCGCGCTCCAATTCGAAGCTGATCCTCTCATTGTCCGCGGCCAGCTTGTCCCTCTCGTTCTGTAACCTGCGTAGCTCGATCTGCGATTTTTCGTATCGCTCCTGAACCATCTCCAGGTCCACCGTTAACCTGTCCAGATCTTCCTTCGATTTCTCCTCGTGCTCCTTCGTGCGACCCAGTTGAAGAGCCGCCCGATCGTACATCTCTTGCACGCGTGCTAGCTCCTCCTGGGCCTTTCTCGCCTCGTCGCGACTCTTCGACGCCAACATCTGTTGCTTCTCCGTTTCGAGCTCCAGCCTGTCCTTGTCAGCCTCCATCACCTCGATGCGATTTTGCAGCCGATACACCTCGCTCTGGGCTCTGTCGACATCGCAATCAGACTCGCGATCAGTTTCGTATCTTTCACAGATCGATCCTTTCGGATCTCGCCCGCGATCGCTTACCTGTCGTACTTCTCCAGCATCTTCTCGAACTCCTTGTTCGCGTTCTCCCGTTCCTCCTGCGCCTTGTTCATCGAATACTGCGCTTTCTCCACTTTCTCCTTCAGAATCTCGATTTCGGTCAGGGCGTCGTCTCGTTCCAACTACGTAATTCCAACAACCGTTACGACTTTGAATTTTCGTTGAACTCCTCTTCCTGATATATATCTTGCAACAAAAATAGAGGCTACTTACGGTTAGCTTCTGATGAGTATTGTGAGCCTTTTCCCATCTTTCTTTGACTAGCTCAAGCTCCGACAGCAGATTCTCCTTGTCCCGTTGCATCTTCGCTACCTGATTCTGATGGAATTCCATCCTCTCGTGCAGTTTCTCTGTTTCTTCTTGAAAACCGTCCCTCTCCTTCTGCAGTCGTTGCATGATCACCTGGACGTCAACGGCATTTATTTTCGTCGAACGTTTCGATCCGCAATCCCCAATCACGCGTTTCTGCCAACAAAACTTCTCTTACCTGAGCTTTCTCGTATTTATCCTGCAACCGGTCCACCTCCAATTGAATCGTTTCCCGTTCTTTCTGCATCCTCGTCGATTGGCCGAGCGCTTTGTCCAGTTGGCTTTGCAAGTTTTCGAAATCGTAGTTCTGCTTTTCCCTTTCCATTTGCATCTATACGGAATCGAATCGTTCTGCTGTAAATTTTCTATCTGGTTTTTACTTAACCTGACTGTGCTTTTCGTAAATATGAAACGTACAAAGCGGATATTTGGAGAAGTACAACGCGATGAGAAAGTGAGGAAAACAGCGCGGTTGTATTCGTTGTACAAGCCACTTAGAAGCCAGATTGTTCTACTTTATTTTTTGAAAGTTATTTAAATGTACATCTGAAATATAGCGGAAATTTTAATGACTGCAAAAAATGTCGACTTTGAACTAAACTTTTAATTTGAAAATCTCGACTTTTTAAAAAATCAAGTTAATCTCAAGATCATCATTCCGAAATTAAAAAAAATCGTGTATGTATATATATATATATATATAGATATAAATATATATAGTTTCAGTTAAATTTTGTGATGGCTGGATATAAAAATAGTTTCGGAATAAAGTCACAAGTTTCTTCCAGATGAAGAATGATTTTATTTTAAATTTAAATATTAAATTTAAATATTTGTTTCAAAATTGAAGAAATGAAATATTGTACAACAAAGAATCTATAATCTGTTAATACATAAACAATTTTGTTATAAGATACACGTGGAATTAAAACATTTTATTATCTACCAATAGTACTGAACATTAAAACTAAAGTTTGTTCTAAAATTTTTAGGTAAGAATGTACGTGCAAGAGTGTAAATTATATTTGCTAATTCTATGTTTTCTCACGAGAAAAATTTGTAAAACTGCATTTCTTCCGTTTCACGAGATTACTGCGCGTGACATGATCCCTCTGCATATTCGCCTTTGTAACTTCAAGCCAAAGTTTGAAGTTTAAAATTTGAAATCGCTTTGACGCAATAAATAGCGAAGGTAATTGTATCTTAATCAGGGCTTCGTAGCAAGTATAAATAAAGTAAACTTTCTCGCGTAAAGCTTTCATTAAAAGTTCATATTACAACTTTAACAAAATTAACAAACATCAAATAAAGATGTGAACATTTGGTCACCGGTTGATTCGTATCGTAGCGTAACTCGAAAATTTTGTAATAAATTTTGCGTTATTTTTTTTTATTATTTAATTATTTTTTAATATTTTATTTAGGAATAATGTAAATAAATAATGAAACAATAATTATAAAAGCTTTAGATTTAAGCGAGTGACAGTAAGTAAATATGAAAATTAAATATACAGTGGATGTAAAAAGTGTTCGTATACTCGATGAAAAATAGTCAGTATGAAAGAAAACTTTGTGAAAAGAAATAGTACAATAAATTTTAAGAGATCGTCGTAAAGGAGAGATTTCAATCTTCAAGATCGCAGTGAATTTAATTACGGAAAAAAGTTTCTCATAAAGTTATAAGAGTTTGAAGAGTCAATTTTTCATTGAGTTTCATTAACGTAATATTTTCTATATCTACTGTAGATGCTATTAAGAAAATAAAAAAAAAAAAATCTTTTGAACTCTCAACAGAGTTAACCAGTTTAGCTTCTCAGTGGCTTGTACATATTAACTGTCGCAGTATGTAATTAATACTTGCATATTGTTATAATTTCTACGTGAAAAGTAAATGTATAAATAATCTCTTTGACTCACCCTGCGAATTTCCGTTTGTGTTTTGTCCAATTTCTCCTGAAGCTTGTCCACTTCGCTTTGCGTTTTGTCCAGTAGACTTTGCAATTTGTCTTGCTGAAGTTGTGCCTTGCCGAGAGTAGCCTGTGTCCGTTCCAATTCCTCTTGTGTTTTCTCAAGTTCCGCGATTGCCTTGTCCCGTTCCGAGTGTAGACGAGCCACCGAAGCTTGCGCTCGATCGTATTCATCTCGAAGACTTTCTTGTTCACCCTGAGCATTTTCCAGTCTGGCCTTCAATCTGTACACCTCACCCTGACTCTTTTCCACCTTCAAAAACCATTGGGAAACATTTAATTTTAGCATTTGTCATTGAATTCCTTGATAATAAATTTAAGTATAATCTCAATAAATTGATAGTTGACGAAAGCATTTCAGATATAGTTACATTCCTGTGTGTATTGAATTTTTTCTAGATCAAATATTGCTGCTTAAGCAGTCGTTTAAAAATTAATTTTCATCAAGTCTCGTATTCTTTCAATTTAGTAATTATTATTACTAAATGTTGGATACAAAACTGGCAAAAGTCAGTTAATATCTTTTTAGTGAGGTTGTTGGATAATTCTTTATAATATTAAAAAAATTAATATTTCTCTTTAATAATTTTATCAACTATTAAGTCGATTTTATTAGGCGTTTCTCAATATAGAATATTAATATGCATTTTACTTGAAAGCATTTCTTCTTGTATCGTACGGTGCAATTTCAGATTAAATTTCATTACTTCGTTCTCAAAGCATTTGAAATCCATCTAAAAGTCTCATAATATCTGTTCCGTGATTTACATTCGCGAAATTAATTTTCAGTCTCACCCCCTAACCCTTTTCCATCCTTTCGAGAAAAAGAATCGAAAAAATTAATATTCTAGATTTAATCTTATTTAGTTTGTCAAAGTATTTACGATACACTTCTAGTCACATTGAATTTTCATTGGATCGAAGACTCTCAGGATAACACCGCTAAAATTTCGCATCTCTTAACAGCTGCGCCGTTGGAGAAAATACATATACACGCACGTATTCAGCCTCGAATCATTATTAATACGGATCTAACGGTGTTCCCTCGTTTATTACGTTCCGTTAATTAAAATCAATTTCTCTTCTGCTCGTCGCGAGTATCAACCTACGTTCGTATCGTACGTGTCTATTAACGCTTCCACCGTCGAGTCGATGGTTTATTATCGCACGGAGGATGAAATAAATACATCGACTCCGAGTAATTGGTCCGAGGTAAAAAGCTTAACGACCTAAAGAGGATTCTAAAGAAAGACCTTCTCTGGGGGGAGGAAGGGAAGAAAAAAAAAAAATCAATCGATCGAAACGGATCGAAACGAGGGGTAACGAGCAGCAACCCTTACGGAAATTCTAACCGAGTGTCGTCGATTGCACTCGAGTATGAAGCTGCGTGCAATTTTCCGGCCACTTAGCTGGCAGTTTCATTACCGGTTCGTTTCGCGTCATCGACGAACATCGGGAATACCGGCGATGCCGGCGAGAAGAACGAAGGCGTGATTGGAAATTAGATTCGACCACCGCAGCGTGTACAGATTGGTGCCCCCGGATCGCGGTGGTCTTGTCAATCGATCGCGATTAAAGGCGATTGTTCTTGCTCCTTGGAACCGGGACAGGGCAGTCAAGTAGACTCGATCGTTCGTTAATAGAGGCGAAACGACCAGCTACAGATTATGGGGACCGTAGCTGGGGACACTTGGATTGTTAATCGGTCGCCAGGGCGGGTCCCTTGGCGTGTACGATCTTTTATCGGGCGATTACTTGATTCAACGAACGTTCAACGTTGATTCAACAGTTGAGGCGATTATCTACGCGAGTTTTGCAGATTCGTTTGGCTTCGAATCGATCGTGTGGTTTAGAAGGTTTGCTAGCCCATTCGAGATCCGTAACCCAGACGTTCAGTCGCGTGATGATTTTTCATCTCGATCGTCGAGGACACGACGTTCAAGAGGATCTATAGAAATTTACATTTCAGCCAGTTACATTTGTTGAATTGCAGTAAAAACAATTATTCCGTCAAAGAGGCGAATAAAATAATAGATGAATTTTATAAACGAATTTAATTGGGAAACAAATTTCGTAATCATGGTCGCGGCTGACGGAAGCATTTGAAGAACTTTTATGCGTACATTAATTGTGTATAATAGTAATAATAATTTCTATATTTTTAGATCTGTTTCAAAGATGAGTAATATAATCATGACAGTTGTTAGTTAATAAAAGTTAGCAAAAGTTAATAAAAAATGTTTTGTGTGGTACATAATGATATATTTATGAAAACTTTTTATAAATGTTCAAATACTTCTGTGAGCAACTATAGATTGAAGAAGTACATAATTAGGAATAATTTCATAAATATAATTTTATAGGAATTAAATCTAAGGTGGTTAGTAATGATTAATGTTGTAAAAACATTTTAACTCTCATTAGTCCCTTTTATTTTAATTTGATAGCTCTTTTACAAGAACTTATATATATTATTGTAAATGCACGAAGATATATTTATCTATTGTACATTTTTGGCAACAAAACCAGAGCTCCCAAACAGTATTTGTTACAAAAAAGACTTTGTGTGTCGATCTGATGTAATCGAAAATTCAGGTAACCACATAAGTTCATACGTGTGTTTAATATCTGGATGAAACAAATGACCGTAACATCAGACCGAATTAAATAAATAAAGATAAACATAAAATAAAAAATTGAATAACTATGAGAATAGAATTATTACGAGTCTTTTAATTAAAAATTTAGCTCATTTATTGTTAATGAAAGGATTCGCCAATTTATCTTTTCATTATATTAATTTAACGTCAAGAGACGAACAGCGGGTTGTTGAAAAAATGAGAGAACCGTGAGAGATCGTTTAAAAAAAAAAAAAAAAACAACGTAAAAGCAGTACGTTACCTTCTCTTGGAGAGCAGCAGCCTCGGCCCTAGCTCTTTCGTTGTCAGCCTGCGTGACCCTGAGCTCGGCTTGCGCTCTCCTGAGTTCCGCTGCTGTCTTTTCCGCTTTTTCCGTGATCCTGTCCATTTCCTGAGAAGAATTCAACGTGCTTCTGCCGTAAGTGCTCTGAGACCTTTCGAGATCGTGCCTGAGCCTCTCGTTGTCCAGCTCGAGCCTGGTCATCCTCTGCTTGGCAGCCTCCCAGTCGGCACCGCTGCGACCAACTTCGGACGCAGCCTTATCCAGTTCGGCCTTGCTCTTGCCGAGCTCCGACTGCGAACTTTCCAGCTTCGCCTCCAGTCGGTCTTTCTCCGCTTGCGCTCTCTCCAAACGGGCGCCCAATTTTTCAACCTACCGTGAATAACGTTCAGAAATTGGCTAAAGAACAACACGAAGGAAGCTAGTCGGCGTCCCTCTTTTTATTAGTAAATCGAATGCCAAGATTGTTAAAGCACCGTGCAAGCTCGAGTTTACGATTATTGATCGTATCGTATCGACTGAAACGATATCAGGGCGTATCGTACCTTTGAACGTAGTTAGAATCGGTTATGCGCTTCATAAAGGACTATGGGCATTCCTGGCCATGAGTGAACACTAACTAGCTTAGAGGTCATTATGTCGAACATGATTTCGTTACGTTGCTTTTGCATTTATTAAAAGATCGTGGGAATTTTCAGAAAATATAATTTCTTTTATACTCGTTTACGTTTACGTCGATCTTTTAACGAACTAGTAATGACATCTTTGTTAAAGTGGGTTCAAATTAAATTAAATCAACGTAGTGCCATTCACTGATTCAATATTTCCTCCAGTCTTCTTAGCTTAATTTTTAAACTAGGTTTACCTACATATATGTTTGCTAATGTAATAAATTTTACATGTATAACTTTTCGTATACAAAAATAGAAGCTCTTTTCGGGAAATAGTATTATTTCATACACATTCATAAACTTATATAGAGTAAGTTCATAAAATAAAAGTAAAAGATGAAAAGCTGCGAGAAAGTAGGACAATAAAATGAAAGAAGTTTCTTCTTGATTCAGTTTCTTGAAATTCGGTTCAATTCTTCAAGCGGTTAATGCTTGCACACACACACTTTTGCTGTCAGTGGTGGTTATAACAGTGCATTATAATAAAATTAAAATGACTGAGAATGAAGATTCGCAGTATAGATTAATTAATTTTCATAGTTCGTTGTTATAAGCAAAAGTATTGAGAAAGGAAAAGCAAAAGAAACTCGATCGTAATGTTTTATAAGATTCTAAGGGTTTCGTTGTATACAGGAAATCGCAAGTAATATTTGTTTTTATTCACGCATGGTCAGAAATATATAAAAGGTGCCGAAATGTCCTTTATAATTGACGTGCAATTTAGTTTGCTTCATGAAATTGATTGGGGGGGGGGGGTGAAGAAAAGAATCTATTAAGCTACCACAAGGACTCACTTCAGACTCGAGGGCGTGGATCTTCATTTTGTACTCGACGATCTCCCTCTCGTGTAATTCCCTTTCTTCCTGTTTCTCCTGCTCCGCCCGGTCCCTCTGTTCCCGTAATTGTGCCATTTGCTTCTCTTTATCTCCTATCGCCTCCTCGAGGCTACTGAGCGCACCTTCGCTGCTGCAGTGGTGCGCCTGCATTGCCGTTAGACGCGCCCTGGCCATGTCGACCTGGTTGTCCTTCTCCTTCAGCAGATCCTCCAGATTCTCGATCTGAAGTCACAACCACTCTGTCGTTAGGTGTTCTATTTTTTTTTTTTTCTTTCTTCCCAAACGTGTGATGATCGAAAATAGGGAAACTAAATTGAAGGGAAACGATGAAATTCTATTGCGTTAAAGATGATCAAATGAAGCGTTAGTTCGAGTTACGTGGTTAATTGGATAGAAAATCTTTCCTTTTAGTGGACGTGATTTGGTAGTAATAACGTATTTCAGGGGTTCCCAAATTGTGGGTCACGAGCTGATATTAAATGGCAAGTTCAAAATATTAGAGAGGGTTTGTGTATTTGTAGCGGCCTAGAGTCCCTCGAGTACGAGTTTCGAACACTCACTCGTACAAGCCGCAAGTGGCTGTGCGCCTAGCGTCGAAGTCAACCGATATTCGATGTTAAGCAAACAGAGTGCGGAACCGCTAGGATGGGTGGACCATCCTAGCGAATAGTTACAACAACAAGCGTCTGGGGTAAGGAGTCGCTGCCATCAGCCCCACTGATGAGTCTAGGCAGCGACTCTGAGACGAAACGCACAACCTTTCCTCACCTTACCCACATCATCACTTCCTACATTATCCTCGCACTATCATCATAGCCATTTCAATCCCTTCATATTCATCGCGAGTGTTCCACTTATCGAAACTACGTGGACGTCGAACTGCAGTTATAATTAATGCAGTTACGTCGACGTGTATCGTATGTGACGTGAAATAATACTTGATATCTTCTATCCTAATTATTCTGACAATTTCTTTCTTCTTTTTGCAAGAGAATAATAATCGTTGCAAAAAATTGTCTCCGAAAGTGGGTCTCGGCCCATAAAAGTCTGGGAACCACTGTATTCTGTTAACTCTGCTGCGTTTCTCGAGTCGTTTCTTGAATTAAATGTATTTTTAAATTGTTAAGAAATTCCTTTAATCCACAGAAACAACCAAGTGATAGTTATGTACGCACGATTTTTCGCTTCAATTTCTTGCTACAGTCCAAATTTATTCGTTTACTTACAAGAGAAAAAGATTATTAAATTAATTGTTACTATTCACTTCAATTTAAAATAATTGTTACAAATGAATTACTTAATATTCTTTTAATGTTGTATTGATGAAATACAATGGTGAAGCAACGAATATGGATATATGGACGTGCAATTTTCAAGTGACACGAGAGGATCGAATATTAATAGAGGATTGAAATATTAAATCTTTTCGTTTCTAATTCAGAACGTAGAAGTTCAAAAAACTGGAGCAGAGTTAATCTAATGAAATTAAAGTATTCTGCAGTCTACCATTCAAAAGCGCTCTATGTAATCGTAAATTCTTACTTACCTGCCATCTCGTATCATCGATCTTCACAGCCATTACTTACGGCTCGATAAGACATTTACTCAATCAGGCACTCGCGATGTACAGCGACAAATAATCAACGGTGTCTACCGCGAAAGAAATGAAACGGAATCGTAAAAACAAGCGTTCCGCGCGTGCGGACACGAACGTGGCAAAAAATAACAGAATGAAAATAAATTAATTGTCAAGTGATAGTCTACGGATCGGTAATCAAGGACGGCTCGATCGATCTTATTGTGCCCTTCAATTTTTAAATGGACTTTCAGTTTTATATTTTAATAATTGGAATTCACGTTTAATTAATTAATTTCGAATCGATAAGCAGAAATTAGCCTCCGTTGGAAATATACATCAGAAATATAACGTGATGATAAGATTATGCAAATCATTAAATAATTAAAATCGAATGAGACTGCGGCGACCCAAATGATCTACTTGGGAGTTAAAAGAAGTAAGATATCGTGTATAAATAATTTGATACACCTATAGCGTAACTCAATCAAAACGTTAACATTTTCATTTCGTTTCTATAGTTACCAGCAATTTTTTTATTATAACTGAGATATTTTAGTAAATAACTCACACTTCGTGAAATTAAATGTGACCGAAGACACAGAAGATATTTCGATTCTTTTAATATTTCAACATTGAAAACACATGAATAAATTCACTTCACTGAGGTGTCCCGATGAAATTAATCTTCTGTCAGTCACTTTCAATTATTGCTTTTTCATTTATTCATGTTAACTGTCGACTGCGTACGTTACAATTAAATTAAAAAAAAAAATTCGTTCGAATTGTATCTGATATGTCTGCAGTAATTTAAAACCGTCGAAATTAAAACTTGTGTGCAATAATGTATCTTACATGTTCTCATGATCACTGTATATTGGCCATCGTCGATCACTGGTGGACGAACAGAACGTATAACGCAAACACATACGGGGATGCGATCGTCGGTGAAAAATAGTGTCGGTGAAAAGAAAAATAAAACAAGGCGATGCAACGTAATTTTGTACAAGTGGAGTTTATTCGAACGAAACGAGATACAAAATGAAAGGTATAAAAAAATAAACGAGCAAACGGAAACGAGGTTATGCGAACTTAAAGATAACGGGGATCTCGAGGGGTTTTACGTACTACAGCCTTTACACAGCACGACTAAGGAAAACATTATTACAAAAAGTGTGTCGCGCGGGCGCGCGCACGTCTCACACTCATTCCAATCGACAGCAAGATTCACACTCATGCGCACTCCCGCGGTCCCGCATCCTACGAATACACATATTCTACGCTAAGCGTGAGCCTCCTCTTTGTGACTTTGTGAATCTGGCTGGCTGATTAATCGCCAGGCCGAAATCTCTTTTGACCCGGCGGAATTAATTACCGCCGCTGGGGAGCCGAGATTGTTCGGCTAGCAATTCGCGGCTTTTCTAAGGCGAAATCCATTGATAACGGTACGATTACAGAATCTCTATATACGTATGAATGTTTGCTTACACGAATGACGACGCGACGCGTCATTTTCTACGATGTTTCTGTAATTATTACGACTGAGAGTGTCCGTGCATCTTTGAAAATGTGTAAAAGTCTGCAGAGAAATGCACGGTTAACATGCAAAAATGATGTGAAATATCTAAAGTGGAGTGTGCGCGATTATTGCAACGTTTGGCAGACGAAGGAAATTTCTACTTGAACTCCGTCCTTTTAATTGCGTTTATTAAAGTCACGCAAATATTCGCAGTCCAGGTTACGATCGTACCGATTCAAGCGAAACGGAACGAATATCTTTGAACGAGATAAATTATACAAGTCCATGGAAAACGAGAATAATTGCGAGGACCGGTAATGGCGAAGATGAATACGCGTCGACGCGCGTTCAACTCGTAATTGAAACAGACTCGTGTAATCAATTAAAGGTGTAATTTGTGACCGCCGGTCACAAATTACCGCTGTGTGTGTGTGTTTAGCCATTCTGTTGAAACAGAATGGACAACCGAGCCTCCCTTCGAAACTATAATTCACATCGCGTTCGAAAACGTTGGCGGTGTTTCGCCTCTCGTTTTGCACGGACTTTCGATCTTGAAAGCGAAATGAACGAAAAAAGAAAAACTCACGAGCCTGACGGATTCAACGCGCGTTAAACCTTTGTAGTTGCTCCAAGATTTCTCCTTTTCAACTCACAAAGGCAATGCCAGTCGGAGAAATGCGCGGAACGAAGGAGAGAGAGAGAGAGAGAGAGAGAAAAAAAGAGAGAAACAAGTTTCAAGGTCACTTACCTTACGCCGAAGCACGTTGATCTTCCGGTCTTTGATGTCCATGTGATCCTTTAGCTCCGTCAGCTCGGTGTTCATGCGATTCCGCTCCTGTTGCGCCTGCATCGCCGCCTCCGTTTTTTTCTCGATCATCCGGTTCTTCTCCTCGAGCCGTTGCCGCATTTCCTCCACCTGCACGCACGTAACCACGCACACCAGGTCATCGTACGGTCAACGTGTAACGGGTGTGGGCTACAGGAACGATTCAGTCCGCATTGCACGGACGGCATTTCGCTGCACGCGACGTGAAAACGCTACCAACAGTCCAGCTGAGATTGGGGAGGGAGCCGGAGGAGGGAAACTTTGCACGACCCAGTTCCCTGCAGTCCTATCCTTCCTTTCTCCTATAACGACCTCCCCTAAAGTCGATTTTCCCAGTTTCAGCCGCCGTGCATCGGTCTCCCTTCAACTCCCTTTGTACGTCACTGCCGCGTCTACCAGTGCACTTGCCAACGCGTTTACCATTCACGTTTGCTAATGCATTTACTAGTTCCTTCGTTCGTTCGAAATTTCAAATTCGAACCGATTACCACGGGAAGTGGAGGGCTTTGTAGAAAGAAACTTGTTGTTCTTTTTTTCTATGTACAGGGTGTCAATAGGTGACTAAACTTTAGTGTCTTATTCTACCGCTCTTTAGGGGGAAAAAGGGCATATGAACACATACGTAGGTCCTTCCCGTGATGTACGTTTTCTTGATTTAAATGTTGTCTGGAGATGAAGCCTGGAGAATCTTTTTCACAATTGCGAGAGTTTGGTTTTTTCCGAATGATATCAACTGCATAGCACAAACCATAAATGAAGATTATCAATATCTAGCATGTTGATACATCTCAATTAGAAATTAAATTGAGATTAGAGTGAAAGAGTTGTGGAAATTCGAATGAAAGAGCGGAAATTTCGAATGAACAGATTTTCACAGGGAGAAAAAAAGATTTCGTAGAAATCGAGGAATGACCTGTTTAGAAGTTATAGTATGGGCTTTATGAACTTTAGTTTTAAAACTCGTGATTTACGAAGTTGTGAAAAGTTTGAAGTCGCCGCATTATTTTGCATTAGACGATAAACTTCTCGCAACTGCCCCATAAATTATTTTGCATAGGTTAAGAGCTTTGTGAAAATTGTCGATATATAAACTCTTTTTAAGAATTGATCATTCACTGGTCGTTTATGAAGCTTTGATAAAATTTCCATCCTCGAGTGGAATCTTCGTAGAGAATTTATTGGGTCGTGCCAAGTTGGCTGGAAACGGAAGGATATCTCGATTCTTTGAACTACTATCTCTCTGTATAAATAGAATTCTGTTAGAAATTTATGCGAGACAAAGACTCTCATTGATTAGAATTTTTCACTTTAGAGGAGGTAGAATTTTCGTAAAGTAATTGTAATAAATAAAATAAAATTTACGAAATGTTGATATATATAGTATACACCTCGGTTCATAAATATTATTTACAGAAATAAATTTAGAAAATCATTGGCAACTTAGTAAGAACTCATTTCGTTTGACAAATTGAGATAGAATCTACATATTCAATTTTGTTTCTCTTTATCATTTTGTATTAATAGATTTTCCATTACATTTATTGTTTCATTTCTAAATATTTTATCTAATTTATTGATCATTTTTTTCAACAAAATTTAGAAATTGAAGCATTATTGAAGTTAATATTTAGTTTATAATTTTCATTATTTTTCTATAATTCCTACACTAATATTAGATGTATAAATTGTTTACAGAAATATACTTTAGTTTAAGAATTTACCTTCGTTACTTTCTATGTATTTATCTCATATATCAGGCAATCTTTGAATTCTCTAAACAAAAAAAAGATAGCAGTTTTGAATAAAAGAATAATGATTTTTCTCAATCTCTTTAAACATGTTAGGCATGTTGATCAGATGATGCCAAATAATGCTAATCGTAACAAATAATCAACTAAAGGGGCTAGATAAATAAACTGCGATTTATCGTGCATTTTTCAATCGATAAACATAGAAAATACTGCGTTGAACAAAATTATGTTCAATATTGCTATGTGATTAATAGCATTTCTTCACTTTGAAGTTCTTCTTTTGAACTCAAATTTAAAGTCTTCGAAGAATTTCAAGATTCGATCCTAGAATTGTAAGAGCCACGAATTAATTTGTACACGTAATTACAAATTAATATGGTGTATCAATCAATCAATAAATATTGTTTTACTATTAAATTAACTAAAAAGTCGTTTGCCGAGTGTCACGTTTTCGCTTCAGGCGCTGAACCACTCTGTACGTATGTAATATTCATGAACGGAGGTGTCGTTAAAACACGTTAAAACGCGCGACAATGGGAAAGAATCGAAAACTCACGTCAGCCTGCAGCATATTGTAGTGTTCTTCCTTGGCGCAGAGAGACTCTTTTAGCACAGTGATGTGCCGCTGGTAATCCTGATGCTGCTCTTCCAGGGTTTTCATCTTCGCGGACATGGCGAGTAGCTCCTGATCCCTACGTTGCACCTCCGTCCGGAGTTCGTCCAGCTGCGAAAAAGAGACGTCGTCCACGAGAGGATCAGTTCGTGCGACCCGGTTACGTCTCGAAATACGACGACGAAACAACGAGCGACGGAGGCGCCTGGTCTGTCGTCTCTCCGTCGTGGCCGAGTACGACGACGATCAGCGGCCAACTTCCCTTCGATCGCTCGGTCGAAACGTAAATCGGCCGTGAAACGGGTCAGCCGTTTCGCCTTCCGTTCCGATCCGCCAACTTTTCGACTTTGCTCTAATCGCTTTGGCCAAACCGAGCCAGCCAGACTGTCACAGGAGGCTGTGTCTTTGGTCCAGCTGGCTTCAAGTTTTATTTTCAAAACCGACGCGCACCGACATCGTCGAATTCCCGGCTCTTTTAAAGCATCCGTTTCTATCGGAATTTGTGAATTTCACTTGGAACGAACAATGCGTGCGCGAGAGATAATATACCGAAAGAAGGAATACGAATCGAGGGGATGAGAAGTTCGCTGCTTCGTTTTCTCGGTTCATCGGCGGACACATCGAGCAGAAAGTGAACATTGTCTTTCGCGAGACTCGTACTATCGGTTTTGACCCATCGGGCGAGGCTTTCTTCGTATGCCCGACTTGAAAAGCTTCGAGACACTTTTTTTTTAAATTAAATTCTCTCGAAGAGTTGGGTATTTCTTTTTTCTTTTTGTTTTGTTTCCTTAACCGTGTCAGCGATACGTCGTCGTACTCGGACAGGAACTCTTCATACTTAGCATGCAGCGATATCGAAACCAACGATACAAAGTTACAAACAAAGTGTATCCTGCGTGTACGAGAGATATACTCATTACGTGTACGAACGAATGTCTCAGGGGGGAACATGATAGAATTCACGGGAATAATCGAGGCTGGAACAGTTTTAGGAAAAGCTTGGAACGTATTATGTATTGTGTCTCTCTCTTTATTATTCGTGTACGTACCTACTACGCTCGTCTGATCTACTCTGGTGTCGGCAGGCCGCGTGAGGATCCCTCGTCGAGATCTCCTCGTTACGAGATCCCGTCGCGGGATCGCAAGCAGAATAAACACAACTAAATGTTTTCTAACTAATCAACTAGCAGAGTACGCAGCGTGGAGGAGATATCGCGGTCCTCTCTGGCAGTGTCGTCCCGTGACCGAAGTAAAACAATTGAGGAATCGAGGATCCAACAACTTTCAGAGAAAGACTCTTGATTAAGACGTTGACCAGAGAAACGTATATAATTTCGAACTTGGACTCGAACTAGGTCGTCTTATACCTGTTCGAGTCGCAAATTTTAATTTATTAAAAAACAAAAAAGAAACAAAAAAAGAAACTCAAACGCACTTTCGACAAACCGCTCGTTCATCTTGTTCGCGAATATTTCGTTCGAGATTACTTCGATCAGAGGGTGTCTGTTCAACCAGATGACTTGCACGCACGTATCTCAGTCCAAAGACAAAGCACCAGGGATCGAGGAATCGACGAAATCTATCGGTGCATTGATCGACAAACGACTCTGTCGATGGATCCTGATCGAATCTCGATCCCCCCTCTCTCCAGCGTTCTATATATCGTGCCAAGATGATGAAAAAACAACAAGTCTACGGTGGAGGCGAGCGATCGTGGCGATCGCTCTCGATCCGCGAAGCGGTGTCCACGCATCGTCTCGGGTTCCTCGGGTGTCTCTCAACGACGGCCACGAGCCGCAGAGGCAGACGCAAGGTTTTCTACGTTCACTATGCTCTACGATTTTTACGTCGTTTTAACGGCTGCACACACACGCACGTACGCGGGAAACTTGGGCCGAAATTTTGTTCCTGCCTCGTCTCGCCGTCAACGGGGGAAACGGCGACGCGCATCGTTTCCGCGCGCGTTACGTGAACCATTGCGAACAGTCAGATCAACGACTCACACCAGAGAAAGGGACAGAGAGATAGATATGTAGAGAGAGAGAGACAGACAGATAGAAGAGAGAAAGAAAGAGAGAGTTGTTGGGGCGGCTGGTCAGTTTTCGAAAGAGGCTCGATCGAGGAGGTTATTTCCGGTCGAGCACACGACGTCTGAGATATTCGAGCTCCAGCACTCTGGACGAAAACTCGGGTGGAAGAAAGCGGCGAGATTCACGAAGGACGGGGGAAAGTCGCGTCGAGACGGTGGAGAAAAATTTTCTTGGGCAATTCGACGTCAATTAAGAAACTAATTTCCAAGTTGGGAGCAAGAGGATAGCTTGGAAATGTTGTTATACAATTATTCATGATCGCGATTGAGAATTTCACGGGAATTTGCCGAGCACTCTCCTACCGGTTATAAAAGTTTCGAGTTACCTGGAAACTTACTGGCCACCCCAAAACAGTGAGAGAGAGAGAGAAAGAATAGAAAGAGAGAGAGAGAGAGAGTGTGTGTGTGCGTGTGTGTGTGTGTGTGTGTGTACATGTGTAAGAGAAAGTGTTACTACGGAACATCGAAACACTCCGTTACATAATACGGTAATCACGTAGATGGAAACGAAGGATAGGTGATGGCTTGGAAGTGCTTCTTTGTCGGGTGAAGAATATCCTTACCTCCTCAGAAAGCTAGAATATCGGGGCACCACATTTAATAATGCTTCGCTCACCACAAAGGCCGCCCAACTCCGCCTTTCTCTTCTACTCGTCACTCTTTTTTTCAACCCTTTCGCTACGTAAACGATCAAGCTTTCCTTTCCACGAAACTCTAAATTCAGTTTCAAACAAACGAACAAACGAAAGAAAATTACGATCGTCGCGTAAAGAAAAAAAAAAAAAAAAAAAAAAATACGGAAAAAAAGAAATTCCCCAATTTCGTTCGATCGTACCGAAAGGGTTGCGGCATATTATCATCATAGATACCGTTCAATTTTTAATCGCTCAATCAACAGACAAGAAACTTTTCACTTATCACGATCGAACGTGATCAGCTTTCCTTGTCCAGTGATTTACCCGAGCCATTTTTATTCCGGGCACGTAAGAATTTCCACGTCGTGGCCATCGTTAAACGCTGCAACGTTATTAACGGTCGTGGCACGATTTACCGGTGGGGTCGTTACCTCCCCGGTGGCCGGAGGAAAATCAAGTCGAACGAGTTCAGCGGAATTGGGGACCACCGTCCATTGCTGACTTATGGCTAACTTAGCACTAGCTTAACCGCTAATGTTGTACCGCTTATGACTATGCGGATGGTGAAAATTAAACCGGTTCGATTTATCTGCGAATCTTCGTCAAACAATCAATTCTTAAAGTCATCCGTTAAAATCCTTTTGACACTTGAGAAATATTCAATCCACTCTCTTTCGTTACGGGATAATCAAGATAAAAAGCCAACAAATGAATTTTGGCTTGGAAAATTCGTCTTGCAGAATTTTTAAATTGTTCGATTTCGCAACTCGTTCATAAGAAGTCGAAGAGCGGGATCGAAAGATAGGGTAACCGAACGATTCGCAGATAAACCGAAAACGATCATTCGAGTGAAGCTCACGAGCCGAGAGAAGGCTCGCGTTCAGGACGATGGTGATCTATGGACGATGATACGTTTACCTGATCGGAAATCGATCAACGAGACGACTGGCTAGATGATGAGAGATGCATCGAAGAGTAACGATACGTTGTCTGCGTGCATGCAGCATGCATCGGGGTACAAAGGACCGCTTCGAGTACTCGCATGCGCTTTCTAATGAAACTGTCAGGATCCATTGGGCGAAAGAATCGTGACGCGACAGCTAGAAAGTGTCAAGCGGTGATCGGACACGTACAAACACGAACAAACTCGACCAAACGATCTACACGATCCGTATGTCGTTTAGAGTCAACTCGATTCCGTGAGATTAGGTCGTCGACACATGGCGTGAAACAAACAGCCGAATCGCTGGTGCATCTTTCCCAAGTGATTCGTGATCTATGCAGGGATTCTTTGCTATCGTTGGGAAAAAATTCTATCGTGTAATTTTGCGCTCGATTTTTGGCATTTTATCTAAAGTTAGATCTTCTTGAAAGCTTCGATTGGTTCGTAAAAGTCAAGATATCGAGTGTAGGAAATTTTTTGTTAATAATATATAAATAGCTCGCGGATGTTTATGCAATTTTACCAACTGAAAACAAAAATTTGCTTCCTCTGGCAAGTATCGTAGCAATTACTCTACTTTTTATGCTTTGCGTGTTGCTATTTCTGGCAAAAAGTTTCCGATAAAACGCAAATACTGTAAAATATTCAAAAAAGCATTGAAATCTTTCGTGTTGACGAATTGAATTGAAATCGGATATTTCATTTCCCTACGTGTTTCAAATACAGTTTTATACTTTAGAGGTTTCAATGCTTTTGAACACTTTCAGATCGAAAAACTTTTTACCGGAGTATTCTACGCACTCTCTTAAATGAAATTCCTTAAAAATGCATAAACACTGGTAATCTTGAAAGATCAACACTCATGTTTATTTAAACATATTGACATCAAGGAATCCCGGCGTAGAATTAAGTGCCTGAATAATTCCAGTGACTGCTACCTTGTTTAAGGTGATGCTAGCTGTGAGATACCCTACTTACTTAGTTACGAATTATGATAATGCAAGCTTTACTTTGCCCTCTGAATCGCAAGAAAGTTCCGGAAGTTCCGAAACTGAACGAGAGACAGAGTCATTGATCTCGGGAGTAAAGATCCTCAGCTTCGTTCAAGCAACAATAAAAAAAAAAGAAGCTTGCACCATTACAGGAAACGTACCTACACCTGGTGACGCTAGAGTGGCAGTTATCTACTTCATCCTACTCTTTCACGCATGCATCATGCCTGAACTGTAGCTACGTTCGAACTCTATGCAACGAGAGAATGGCGAACGACGATGAACGTGTGATGAGAAATGCTGATGATCGTGTCCGACGAGTTGTTTACTGTGACGTCCCGTTATCCCCACGATAAAGCAAATCGACTTGTCGGTCCTAGAAACTCGATTTCATTCGCTGATGCAACCCTGATGAACCCTGATGAACCCCGGTTGACCATGACCCCGTTCGAATATTGTACTATATCGAATTGAACAAAACGTACTAGTGAAACGAACCGACGATCGAGATGGAATGACACACGAATGACGTGCGAGTCGCTAATTCTACTAGTGACGAGTCATGAATGAAACAGATGAGTAAAGATTGATGAAGGCGTGAGAATGACCATAGAGATGATTGCGACTGATCCCTTTCGCGATCAGTGGTTCCGATGATTGTTCAGTGTGATGACTGCGAGAGAAACAAGTGAAACGAGTCAATGACAAGGGTATCACCGGTGGCAGGCTGACAAATCGGTGACAACTCTACTGGTTGGTGATACTACTGTCGAACAAATAGGGGGCAAAAGTGCAGGAATTGTCGACAAACGGGATATTCAAGGTGGTCGAATGATTCCAAGGTCATTACGGAGTGAAAATAGAGTCGATCTGCAAATTGCTCGGTGACAGTCAAACATGGTGATTCTTCAGGATGGGGTGAATACGACTCTACCATTGGGGCGAATCGATCGTTTACGTGTGGGACAAGTGCGTGAAAGGTTGATGGTTGATGGCCGGCTCTCGTGGTAACTGGTGAATGGCGATGAAATAAATCTCTATGGAACGTGACGAGGAAGTTGACGTGAGAACGGAATAAATTAAACGGAATAAAATCAAAGTAAAATCAGGATAGGAGTAGGGATTGAAGTTGTGGAGTCAGAGAACGATTGAACAGAATCATTCTTTCTTTCTCTCTGTTGTATTATTATTATTATTATTATTATTATTCTCTTTTATAATCCATGTAATCAGCATCAATTCGACGGTTGATCGTCACTGACTTGCACCCTTGACCTGTACTCTGTCTAAATCGCGGAGAGAACTGTGAATCACAGGTAGCCTCGTAGATGCAAGGATGCTGGTTTTCCTTTTTTACTTCGTGTCCTTTCATCTGGAACACGATTGTCGGGATTAAGGGAGGAGAGAAACGTTCGTGGGAAGAATCAGGGTCGAAAACGAGACTCGTGGTGTATGTCTCGGAGTTCAGTGAACGATACACGTTTAAACTTAATTAAAGCTTCGTTCGATCGTTTCTTTTCCTGTTACGTATCTGTTCGTTTTATTCCTTGTGCAGCACTCTGGCTATCCTTGCGTAGCACCACTGCCCTCGAGGCTGTCAACGTCTCAAGGAAGTTCGTTTCGCACAGGCACCGGTATATTAGAGAGAACCAACAGGATGTTAGAACGTGGAAACAAAATAGTTTTGTTTTCGTCCGTTTTTTTTTTTTTTTTTTGGTATTTATTTTGTACGTTTATTTTTATTTTTATTTTTTTTACCATCGTTCTCCTTTTACGTTTATCTCGGTTAGTAGCAGAGTCCCACAGACTGAACACGTGCGAGCACGCTGTGGCTTTTAAGCTCAGGCGTGGACCTTGCGAACGTAGTAATCATCCAGCTTGGACGCGTGAGATCGTGAGAAAATATCGTCGAGGTGGAAGGATGTCCGGAGATCGGGGGTGTCCTTGCGAGCGAGCGTACGTCGATTTCTGGTTGCCACGATTCCATCTTCGAGGGAAGGATACACTGGGGGGAAAAGGAGATTATCCCTGCGGGGCTAATGACTCTGAAGTGACGGTAGAGCCAGCTCGCGACCACTGTTATTCCAAAGGAGTTCAAAACGCCTTGATCCCTCGATTACCGTGTAAGATCGTAGGATCGTTCGATCGTCATTGGAAACGACGGCGTGTTGCCTCTCGTTCGAATTTCGCGTGAACGAAATCTCTTGATTTCTTAGCACGCGGCGTATTCTCGAGCAGGGGTGTACTCTTAGTCCTAGATTAGAGTAAAAAAATAAAAGATTGTCGAAACATCCGATATCGTGTCTCAGAGCAGAGCGAATGCTGTGCAAGCGGTTAAGAAAGAGAAGAACGACGTGCACGAACGGGAGCAAATTTGAGAATCCATGGTTCCTTCGGTTTATTCCTTCAACGGTTTATTCAGATTATTTTCACGTGTCTATGCGACTCATTGTTAGTCCGGCTTGACTATACGCGTGATTTCTAAACGTGGTATCACACCGACAGCTCGAGGATCGTAATAGTTACTGGAAGGGTGGGGGTGAGGGGTGGTCTTAAAACGCTCTCAGCTACGAAAATATACCGTTGGAAGCTTCTGCTCGTGTTACTCTTCTTCATCTCTACGTACGTATTGTACACCGACGTTTGCTGCTTTTTGTTAAGCGCATGTGTGTCACCATTCTGTAAATACGTAGCCACACGTGGTCGCAAATATTTCAACGTCTCCCGGTGAGATCTGTCCGTGGAAACCGTATATACGTACGTTTCTCCGAGCGGTTTGGCGAAAAAGATCTCTCAAATGTTTAGATTTTCGGATGGACGATCCGTTTACACTTACAACTCTTTTGTAACAATTGACTAGTATTGAAGAGATGAAAGAACGTGTATCTATTACTTTACGATTCTACGCTATTGGGATATCGAGGCTAAGATATACTTTCAAACAGTTTTTTTAAATGGAGAAAATTTCTTTCCAAATATATATGTATGTATGTATATATATGTAT